GGGGGGGGGCATTACCTGGCCCCTCCTCCTCCCAGAATAAGAGCAATAGCATTGCCCGTAAGGACTCGAGCCAAGCGTGAGAAGTCTGAGTGACGGTCGGCTGGCTTCTCAAACACACGTTGATACAGCTCCAACTGAAAAACAGGTAAGCAGAGAGGAAGGAGGGAGATGGTGAGAGGATGGAGAATAACTCAATGGATAAGTAAATATGATGATGTTGAATAAGAAGGAAAAGATTATGAGAAAGAACTAAATCAGAGGTTAAGATGAAAAAAGCAGCTAGAATGGGACAAACAAATGTGTTTTGATCTGCAGATGAGAAATGAGAGGAAAAACAACTACATCCTACCAGTTTGGGCCGGCGCCTCCTAGAGAAGACCCTTCGGGGACAAGAGAGGTGGAGGTGTCTGGAGATCCAGCTTCGCATGTTGAGCCAGTCCACAGTTCCTTTGGGTGGGGGGCTGTCTTCTTTGTGCAGAAGCACCAGCTGCTTCTGGGCACGCACTGCACTTCCTTCCAACATACGCTCCAGCTAGAGGGAAGACGGCAAGCACAGAAGTTTGAGAACATTTTATTCACATCACTTGCTTCAGAGTGGCTCCTGCGTAGCGCTTGAACAGAATTTTGAACGCTAGCCCAGAAATAAACTGCAAACTTGTGACTTTAAGTGAGCACAATATCAGCACGTGTACAGGTACGCGATTGCAAATTCATATTTATGTTGGGGAGAAATTTCAGGTGTGTTTTAAGGATCAATTTCAGTACATCTCTTATTTTTAAAACATACTACTGTATATGCGAGGAGCTACACTTTCATTTTGGGTAGCCGCAAGGGCAGAACAGAATGAGAGACTATTTGAGAGGTTTATTTTTTTATGCATTTAATTCACATTTGTTTTTTTTTGTTTTTTTAATTGCAATGTCCCAGCTGAGGCCATTTTATAATATCTTAAAAGAAAGGCTAAATAGTCTGCGAGGAAGGTTAGATCGCTTACTCATTCAACAGGCCCACTGCTACAGGTTTAGTGTATGCGCAAGGTGAGAGGATGCGTGTGTGTGCCCTGAAAGATAAAACCCAGAGCTATGACTCATTCTGAGCAAATATTGATTTATCTTTCCATTTCTCCCACCATCTCCTGTTGAACAGGGACACATTCCTTACTTTTCTCTGTGCCCTTTTTTTAAATCTTGGAAGGCAATTACCTCCCCTTAATTACTGTAGCAGGACGGCACTTCCTTCCTCTTTTACAAAATCCATCCACCCTTTGCTCATTTCGCCAATATGACCAATGGTCTGACACAAACCTTTGAAAGCCGGTGAGACTACCAAGTTGCTTAACCCCTGGATATAAGCATAAATCAAGAGCATAATGATCAGCACTCACCCCAATATCAAATCAGAAAGACTCTGGAGAGAGAAATCCTGACAAAGGCTAGAGAATGTATCGTCAGCTGTAACACAGATCATTAACCCGTCAATGTTTTTAATTCACCTCCAGCTTCATATTTTCAGTTCAAGGTGACAAAACCCATCTAGTTTAGTCTGTTTAAGAGTAATTAAAGCATAAATCCAGTGTTGATTTTAAAGCCAACAAATCCATGAAAAGACCAAAACCAACAATGAACTGATCCTACAAGCAATTCTTGTCTGTGTATCCCCAAGCCTGATGATTCTTCTGTGTCATAGACCTCCACTGTGTTACTAAAACACTCACAATGAACATGGGTATTGTAGTTTATTCAGTCAATCCCACATACACACACACTGTCCTGCTGCAGTAAATACATACTAGCTCACCAAATCCGCCACTGAAAATAGTCTAGAACAGATACAATAATAGTTTATTTTTGACACCTAAACAGTTGGGAACTGTAGTTTTTACCAATGTTAAAGGAAATTAAATGGAAAAAATATACATCTTTGAGTTTTGTACTATTGATTGGACACAAAAAAAGCCATCTGAAGATGTCCCCTTGGACTTTTGAACCTTGTGATGGGCATTTTCACTATTTCTTTACAACAATCTAATGATCAAACTAGTGTTAAGCAACCCTACACCCATCAAACAAAGACTGAATTCCTAAACCCAGAGCTGCTTTTGCCACCGATTCTCCTCCCCGAACACCTCACCTCCCCAACGACAGGGTCCTGCTCTCCTAGTCCCACAATAATGATGCAGTCAGCCTGACGAATGCACCGCTGTGTCCACGGGGTAAGCGTGTAGTCCGTCTGGTAAAGAACTATGCGATGGAGGTCTTCTTGTTGGCCCAGCCAGCTGGACAGACGATACTCATGGACACTGAAGAGGATAGGAGTCCATTAATGACAGGCACTGCTGCCTAGCTGGCAGCACACAGTAGATCTCTTTTGTGCCAATAAGGCATACTTAAACTGAATTTAATGAGGGAGTCAAGTACATCTAAAAAAAAAAATAATGAAATAGGCCAATAAGTAGTATGAGTAGTAGTAAGAGTATTTGGAGGGTGCTGAAGAGAACGAAATATTCAACATTCAAATTTTCAGTCAGCCACCAAACATACCTGTCTAGTGCTGCAGCTCCCAGTCGCTGTTTAATTACATCACTGGTCAGCAGAAGAGTAGGACCTGTATGTGAAAGATCACAGCAGTTACAGTCAATGAGTCTGGTCAGTCCATAAGTGGTCCACCACTTAGAGGGTAACATACTGACACCCCTCCCTGTATTTCTTACCTATTGCTATGAGTGCATGCTGCAGCTCCAGGGTGAAGGCCGTGAGAGGCACGTCTTCTGATACAGGCAGGACGGTCACAGTGGAGAGGTTGGAGGCCTGGTTCCCTGCATCCCACTTACTGCCAGTGAAACTGCGAGCTGGGGACATGCATACATACTAGTAAACCTGCCCTTCATCAGTGAGTTGAGATTAACACAAGTGCACATGTAGATCCACTAACCTGTCAGAGGACCATTGACCTGCTGGAGGATCTTCTGTCCCAGTAAGTGGATCAACCTGGTGACAACCTGAAAAGCACATTTTTTAATCATCAGACTGTCAGCTGCATTTAGCAATGCTTAAAAAAAATAACAAAAAAAATAATGTATTTTAACAATTGAGGTACTCTACCTGTGGGAACTTTCTCTTGATGGAGCTGAGAGCTCCTTCTGGTAACTTGGCCAGCTCAGAGTCTCGTACAGCGTGCACTGTGGTGGCTCTGTTCTGATGGGTCAGGGTCTCCACCTGCAGAGACACCAAGGACGCATCACACGGTTTACTCAGTCAGGAAACAAAAAGCTCCATCGTGAGTAGAAATAAACCTTGATCATTTCATGACATATTGTACTACAAAACAAATACTTTGCAGAATACACTGCGTGTATGTAACTTAAGTTTTTTTTTTTTTTTTTTAAATCAGTTTTAAGTTTGTATCTTAGTCGATGTTCGTTTCACGAGTTTCAGAGTAAAAATAAAGAAAAAAAGAGCTATAAATAAGACCTCTCCATCTCATCCAGAGTTGACGTCAACACAGCAGTGCTAAATACGTCTCAGAATGTTAGCCACCTTCAGAACAACCTCATTCCCACCATCGCAGGAGCTGCGAACAGCATCCCTCCTCCAGGTAACAGCAACCACAGCCTCCATCATCCCAGGTATTATTAGAAGCAGCGTGGCAGAGAGCAGCCACACCAGCCAATCAGAAAGTGGGTGGACAAGTGTAACAAACTGACTTTGCTTTACGTAGTTTATCAAAATGATTGTGACAATCAGTATTATCCCCCACACTGGACACCATTTAAAAAGAGAGGTTTGATAGGTGAACTCAAATTTATTTACTTACTTAAGTTTTCATATGGCATTATGATTATGACTGATGACGATGTGGAGTGATTGTGCGAGAGCGGTCACTGGCTTGATTTCCTAATTTACACAATCCTTATGTGCAGGTGGTGACAGTTTGCCATGTGAGGTGACTGGAGGAGGCAGAGTGTGTGAGCTCAGATACTCGCATCGGATAGCTGTTTACAGTGTGTCTGTGTACAGTATGCTGTATCTGTCGCTATAAACCAAATAAAGTTGTGTTCATTGCAGCTATTTTACTCAAACACTTTATGAAAACTAAGATAGATTTGGTGATATATGCACAGCATTAGAAGATTACTGAAAACTACCGCAAACTCTAGTTTAAAAGTGTTTGAAGCCCCTAAGAATAGCCAGATTGTATATTTCATGATGTATGCTGAATAAATGAATAGTACTGCATGTAAACTATAACGTACAGTATGGTATGGATAATAAAGATTCAGTATTTTCTTGTTTAACATCCATTTCAGCTGGCTGTCAGCTAATGTTTAGTCACATTTTCTCCCTAAATATTCATTAGATGTACTTGGTTGACTTTATATTCATTGGCAGTGAGAGTAGTCCAACGCTGGTGTTTTTGAGGAACATACTGACAGTGAATATGTTATGTGAGGATTAACTACTGTTAATGACAAACAGTTTTCCTGATATATTTAAATCTGCATGTTTGCGATCTACTATGTTTGCAGTCATTAATATTTATGAAGATACTAAAAACAGATATTTTTAGTTTTACAACTACTAGCCACCATCTGTCTTCCCCCTCACCACTCCAATCAGGTCGCCGCGTCCGTACTCTCCTACGAGCTCCTTCTTTCCATCTTCCTTCATGATTACAGAGCGCAGTCGACCACTCAGCACTATGAAAGTACTGTCCGATTTCTCTCCTTGCCTGAAAAATATACACAACTTCAATTCACTGCAAATATGCAAACATGCATGTGAAGCAAAACCTTCACTGTTGACTTGTTTGGAATCTAAAATGTATTGACATCTCTCACATGTGTATCAATGTCTATTTTTCCAAGATGTACAAGGTTAAGACCGGAGTACCTGTAGACCGCCCGGCCAGCTTCCACAGCCATCCAGTCGAGAGCAAAGTCTATCTGCCGGACAAAGGGTGACATCCTTCTCACAACCGTGTGAGCAACATTCAGCACAACATTTGGCTCCACGCGCATTATCCTGAGGAGTAAACAAAAACAGACCATAGTCAAAACAAAGAACACATTTTGCCCAAACACACTCCAGTTTATCTAAATGTTTAGGTTTTCGATATGGTCTGATTATCAGAATAAAAAAGGCATACAATTATAGTTTTACAATTCATACAATGTTATACACTCAAACTTCACTATCTATAGTTACTGCTCTCTGCAATACTACATATGTTGAGAACACATTTCAGCTTGGATGGGTGTGTGCAGATGTGCCCGTGTGACTGACTCATAGAAGTGGGTTTTTGAAATGGAGAGGAAGCTGCAGTCTCGCTGGGCTCGAACAGTGAATATGAGGGGCTCTCCGGTCAGGACAGCAAGGTGACCGACAAGCTCTCCAGGGTGCGTCACAAACAGACGCGTCTCTTCTTCACGGTCAATTATCCGCTGGTAGACATGGAGGAGGCCAGAGATCACGAACTGGATGCTCACCTCCTAAAGATCACAGTTTCACACATTGAAAGAAACAAGGATCTGAAAATGCATCTACACCCTCCATTGGTAAAAAAGAGACAAGGGTAAACATGGAAAAACCCTTAAATTAAATGACTCTTAGGTGTCAGAAACAGAAAGAAAGATATAACTGCTTTTGAAGTTGTTGTTCTTCTAACCTGGTCTCCCTGACGAGCCACCACAGAACCAGCTTTGACTTGATGGAGGGTCACTCTGCCATCAAGTAGACTGGGGTCCTGTAACAGAAAACAAAGTTTAACCCAAAAATATCAGATTGGACAATATGCATGCAAATTAGTAGTATCCGTACTCTGACAAAATATGTAACCCTTAAAATATATATCCCAGTTGTTCATTTTGAGTGGTCAACCTCTCACCTGCAGCTGGATGATTCCCAGCAGGTCCTTCTTAGCAGCCTGGAGGATTGTGCAACTCTTACTGAGGTAGATGGCATCAGAGTGCCCCCCACTGTCTGTGTAGTGAAACACTTCAGAGGGTGTGGGCTGCATTGTCACAGTCTTCTTCAGACTGGACTACAAAGACAGACACAAGAGAGTGACTTATGAGGATGAACAAGATAGCAGCAGCATAAGATGCAGTGGATGCTGGGATATGGTTTTAAAATCTACAGTCAAACTGTGATTCAATGTAAAGAGGTGACATGGCGGGAGAGTCTTACTTTGGGAGCGACGGGACTGGGTGGAGCCTCATCTATGGTGACTCGAGCTCGTTCACAAGCCATGTTCAGGTCATTACCTGCAACTCAGGACAGAGGAGGACGGTTAGGATTTTAGGTATGTCGGCATCTGTGTGCGTGTCCTTCCTTTCAGATCAGTAACTGCAGGAAATTAGTGCAGACGTATGCCATTTGGTGACCGCTTATGTCCAAGTTAATAACCCACCTGTGCAGTCGGTGGGCATCGAGGTGGATCGCAGCTTCCTGTAGCCGTTTGAAGGACTGTCCTTTACACCATCTGCTTATTGTACAGTGCCAGCACAGGATCAGTCTCGATACAATACAAAGCACCTTTTTCAAATGTGTGTTTAGTGTACGTTTCGAATGGTTTGTGTGACCTGTCTCTGTGGAGCTCTCCGTGGTCCCAGTGGGTAACTCGTCCTGGAAGTACAACCGACGAGTTGTCTTCACAGACGTCGCATCTCCCATCACACCGTTTACGTTGGACAAGGGCACTGCCCGACTCTCCTGTCAACAAAACCAAGAACAACAGTCCACATTTCAGTTAGTCAGGACTACAGTAACATTTTCAATAACCATGAAAGGGAAAACACATTATAATGATACATAAAAAAATACATTAAACCCTTTTTAAAAACTTCAGGGATTGCCAAAAATGATTTAAGTAGTATTTTGGTTTCATCATCATAAAGTCTGAGGCAAGCCAGGTTTACACGTTACTTGCCTCCCTGTTTTCTGTGGAGGGGTTGTAATCATTGGTACTCATTTTCACAGAGCTTTATGAAGGACCACATTTTGATACTATGCTTAATGTTGTGTGAAATTAACTTGCATGCGTTACAGAGTGTGTATGTGCCCCGCCAGTGCTTGTTTAAGTACAAATTCATACACATTGGTGTTTAGGAATTCAATGTGAGCCTCTCTGTGTGTACTAATTAATTTCCCTCCTACCGGATTGAAGAGCTCAGTTGTTAGGCCCAGATAGTCATGCAACGCCAAGAAGGTGACTCTTTGGAGGCGCACCATGATTATCTGTAAAACACACACAAAATCAAACACCGAGGAAAACAGAGCAGAACATATAATACATCAGATTGTAATTACATTCAAAATTTGATCAGGTTTTATTGTATAATGCGTTCCATTAATAGGAACTTGTCTCACTGAAAAAAAAAAAAACCACACACTGTATATTTATTGTTAAACAATCCGTTACCTGAATGACGCGAACAAGCGTCTCTGGATATTTCTTAAACACAGACTTAAAGGCTGATGCCGGTAACCGCAAGATGGTTGCGCGAGTTGCAGCCCGCGCACATACAGTCTTGTATGCAGCTGGATAACCCTGGAAAAGGCAGCACAAAACAGTAAGAAAAGACAAAGGGGGGCAGTCACTAGAGCCTCATATACATATTTGATTGCAGTGTTGATAGCCACCAAATTAGAACTGTTGACTAATCAAATACGACCATCATAAAAACCATGAAAAGATGCAAGTTTGAGTAAAGATGTTTCATCTGAATGGAGGAACAAAACAGAGGATGACAACATAGGAAATAGAAACAAAACATGCCACTAGAGAAAATACCTAAATAACGTACATGACACAGGGATATAAGGTGTAATGGATAAACTAATTCAGTTGAACAGGAAGTACACAAAGAATTGCCTCTAAACGAGATAAGGATGAGTGGGAAACATGAGAACATAAGAGGAGACAGAGAACTGGGACACAAATAAATCAGAGAGTGAAAGAAGACAGAAGCAGAGACGTTAGTCTGAAGGAGCTCACAGTGATGATGTCCAGAATACTGAGCAAGCTGTGGACGCTGTCTCCTGGGAGCACGTCCTTCACCACTGGTTCAGTACCATCCTAGAAAAAAAAAAAAATACAAGCAGTGACTCACAATGACAAACTTTACTGGGAAGCCACATTTATATTGCACCTTTCAAACAAATCTGCAGGATTCCAGTGAGATTGAGAGGACTAATAAAAACGACCCACAGTGGGGTGAGATTAAACTATGGAAGGGGATGCCCGTCCTGACTTGTACATATTGACAGCATAAAAACACATTTAAATACAAACAAAAAGGTGTGGAGAGCAATACTTTTACTTCTTAAGCAGTAGACTGTATCTAGATAAATGTTGCATTACTGCCCTCTGGTGTTCATATGTTTTCATGGGTATCGTGAGGGTGAGGAGGAAATTGAAAGAGTCATAACACAATGTAAAGTGTGCCCTTGCTTTAAACTTCATTAAGACATTAACATGATATCCACATACGTTCTCGTGGATGTAGAGCTCGAGTCGTCCATCCTGGACAACGAAAATGCTATCGTCATCGTCTCCTGGCCTGAAAAGACTTTCACCCTCCTGCAGTTCGATAAACACCATGTGGCGACACAGCTCTAGGAACACGGGCTTCTCGAAATGGCCCAAGACTCTACAACAAGTTGCAGAACACACAAACACACATTATGAAAACTGATGGGATAATGAGAGAGGCTGAAAATCTGTAGGAAAAGTTGTATATTCATTAACCTGACATTCTTCAGCATATAGAGGACCTCTGAGGGCATGTTTGAGCTCTGCACATCAAACTCTGTTAGGTCCGCCTCCAGCAGGGAGGGGGGAGGTTCCTTAGGCTGCAGGGTGGGAGGATCTTTACGGATCCTCAGGATTCTGATGATGGGTACAACAAAAAAATATTTAACCTGATCAAGCTCTGTCAGATGGAGATGTTATCCGTTTTGGGAAGCTCCGATAGGTAGCCTCGTAGTTCATTCTCAGCTAAAGGGAAATAAGAGGATATCTAAATAATTTTCCAGGACTAGAGTTACTTTTTCCTCTCATTTTCCATGTGTTTTCAATGAGTGGAAAATTGGTCAACTGTTTTTCAGGATTTCCAGGACAAGTAGGAACCCTGGAATTCCATTAATGAGTTGACTAAACAAGGCTAAAACAACCGTTTCAAGGTTTCACTTGCACACACAAAATTGAAAGAAATATATAAATGGAGCATACTTGCGAGCTATGCTTAGAACTTTGGTTCTTTTGCGTATGCGCTGCGGTTGCTTCGTTACTGAGGCAGAGTTGGGAGGAGGAATCGATGACAGCGTCTGGACCTTAGAAAGACAAACACAGAAACATGTTTTTATATTGATATGACACAAGTGGAGACCTAATAAATAGGTCTACAGTGCTTGAACAAATGTAGGGAGCCAATAGTGAGGACCTGGATTCATTACGAAACTAAATGCATCAGTCATTTTCTGTTTTATTGGATCAGAGTGCAATACATTGATAAGATACTGGAGCTTTAGCATTTATATTGCCAGTGGAGTAGGTTTCATGCAACAAGATAGGAACACTCAAAGGAGAACATTTAGTTCCATGTGGGGAAATGTAGAAATAAGAAATTCACACAGCATAATTTATTCCATGAATACATATAAAAAGCCTATTTACACAATTTATAATACTGAGATGAGTCTACCCCACATAAATATTAGTGTATGAGAGACAAATGTAAATAGAGAAAACCTTTCGCATCATCTTCCTTCCATAGAAGAGCACTTTATCTCGCTTTCGGAAGCGATACTGAGGTACACCAGGCTGTTTTTCACCTTAAAATCAAAAAACAAAACACAGATAAAGCCATGTTAAGACCACATTCTGAAGAGAACTGTAAAGAAAATATGGACTTTTCCGACGAGCTTTATCATTAAAAGCAGACAACATTTCTAAATACGGATTATTGCAGTAGAATAGGTATGAAGTTCAGGAGGCGGTTGGATGACTCACGAGCAAGCTTCAATCTCCTGTAGAGGAAAAGCACCACAATCCCAATCAGGGAGACGGCGACTACAGCTCCAATCAGCACACCTGTGAGCTAGAAGACAGACAAGAGCATTGAAACAACAGTACAGACACATGAGAAGGTATTGTAGTTTCCCACAGAATAAGATGTTCTATCTGCTGGTTTAGTAACAGTATCTGTCAACGTACAAAGTAGGTGAAGCTGTAGTGCGTTCACACTGGAAAAGAGACTAAATAAAGTATAGCATATATACTAAAACAGACTAATTGAGTGTACTATTTATGCAAACTTTTGTCCCACAATGGAATTCCAAAAAAGAAACAGGACAAGCTGCTAACTGCTGGAAGAAATAGTGGATAGTGGTGAAACAACACTGACAATAACCTTCCATTGTCATGGTTTGTTAGAACAAATCAGTATAGTATTGAGCTGGAAATAACAGTATACTATTAAAAGTATGTTTGCATTGCATACTGAAAACAAACACTATGTCATGATAAATACACACATGCTTTATGCAGGAAGTGTTGCCAGATTTGACTAAATAATTTGGAATATTTAAAAATCGGTGGAAACATTACAAAAAAACAATCCAGATGATCACAACCCACCCAAAACTATTATCAAGTGCGTAATTAAATAAAAAGCATCCCAATCTGGCAGCACTGTGTGCTCTAGTTGCTTGTTTAACGCTTATGCCGTCACAGTGAATGGTTATTTCATACCATGGTGGTCTGCATCCTCTCCTCCACAAACTGTTGCAGTCGTGCACTGAGTTCATTTTTGCTGTTCACCAGCAGCTAAAACACAAGATTAGCACAATTTTTTAAATCCCCCAAAACAGTGATTATTGCTCAAAGGTTATGCCAGTTGTTTCTTGCATGTTTAAAATAAATAGTGGTGCTTACTGCACTCGCCCTCGCCAATCTGCAGAATTCTCCATCATCCTCTTGTTGGCAGGTCATCCTGCAGTCAGAAACAGGTTTAAAGCCAAGTAGGTTTTCACATACAAGGGATTTGCCTTGATGTTTGGTGCATAACAATAACAATAGTAGAGAAAATAAAAGCAACCAAGTTAATGAAACAGGGAAGAAGCATTGATAAAATAAACCAAACAAATATAGGGTGAAATGTGGGTGTGATCGCACATACAATCACGGTGTGAGGTTATCTTTCATGGAAATCTCACAAATTGTTCAAGAGGTAAAAGGGGGAAGTGTGTAACTAAAGAGGAACATGGATGTAAGAAACAGCAGTATGTTCCGGGCCAGTGCACGCTCATCATTTGGCTTCATATCTTCATTTAAATATGACTTCATGACATTATCAGGAAGCTACACGACGAGCTAGTACGATTAGCCTGGGACAATTGAATTAACGGCTGTTGTTGATTTGGAGTGATTGCAGTCTCAGCTATTGTTTCCATCCTAGCTGTAGCTTGACGTTAGCTAAACAACACTAGCTAGCAGCTGGCTGAGGTAACCCGTCTTGCCAGTGGTTATAAACAACCAAAGTCAACCTCACAGCTAAGCTTCATGAAATCATCAGTGGACAGACATCACTAGACTTACCTTTCGAGCATTTCCGGCGTGCTGCGTCAATCTGGTATCATTGCCGAACAGACGATGGAGCAAAGTTAGGAGGTAGCTCAAAGTTTTCTGTATGCTGGATGTCATTTGCTTAGCCCCGCCCACTTTATATAGTTCCACCAATAGCGTGTTTTGATCTCGGCTGTTGTCTTGACGTCGTGTAATGCTCTTGTCCAATCAGCAACGGCCCAGACACATTAGATGTCTTCTGTCACACTGTATACAAACAATTTCAACAAAAGGAGTAAGGATTGTATTAAATCAAATGGTGGAAAGTAGTTAAGTACATTTACTCAACTACTTTTCTTAAGTACAATCCTGAGGTGTTGTATTTTACTTGAGTATTCCCATTATATGCTACTTTACTTTATACTTATTTTCTATTACATTTAAGGGGCAAATATAGTATTTTTTTTACCCCACTACAATTATTTAGCAGCTGTAGCCGTTACTTTGTAGATTAAAAGTTTAAAAAGACCAAAGTGCATACTAAATATGATGCATGTTGTACAGTAGATATATTACACAACAGTATATAAAGTAGTTCAAATTAACATTACCTTGAACAATTTAAATGCTGTTAATTAATGCATCAGTAATATCTAATGAATGTACAATATAGGTTAAATGTAAGATTAAAAGCTTTTATTATTTTATTACTTACTATTATGATATATTTATTTTTTTAGCTTCCAGTAAACATACTGTATTACATATTTCCTGACATTTACATGTACATTGTTTTCACATTAATGACATAATTGCAAACTCACCAAATATTCATACAACCAACATGAAACTTTTTCACATAGTCTTTAATATATAACATGTCAAAATATATATGTTTCTCTTCACCCTGTCCTCATTCAGTTAGATTACATTTATGTCAAACAACTGAGTCACTACTGAGACGCATGAAGTCATTTACACACACAAAACGAATAAAAAAAACAGACTGTAAACAATGATTAGGGTGACGAAAAAGATTTCTCATTTATGTTCCTTTTTAGTTTAAAAACCTACCATTAAAAGACACTTTAAAAGCAAAGAATAGCATTGGAATCTGCCTTATCTACAGCCAACATATGATATTTAATCTAAAGTTGCATCTGATTTAATATCAACATGTCATTAATAAATTGCAATCAACATCATGTATGTATTAGACACAATATATGCATGCACAACAAAACATAACATAAATATTTTCTGGGATTTACAGTGCTTTCGTTCTCATGCTGGTGTTAAATAAGAAATCTACATAAGAAACAACCAGGGTATGCCACAGTATGAATACAAATACAAATTTTAAGCAACTTTGAAGTAGCACTTGGCAAATTGAAACCCAGTTGATGAAAACAACAATACTTTTTAACGAAAGCAAATTATTGAACATGCCACTGGAAACAATTTTCATTATCCAGACTCTCATTTTGACACAAATAAACATAAATCATGTACAGTTTTCAGACATTTTGTCACCTTTTTCTGTTGTTCCCTGCATTACCCACTCTATTCTTCTTTGTTCTCACTTGTACTGCTTTATTTCAGGTACTTTGCCACAGATTGGTAGGGAGAGAAGATCTCTGAGTCCTTTGGGCAGGTGTAACAAAACTCATCTCGTTTGTAGGCATTATCCAGGTAACGTGTCAGACCTTTAAGCTCTGCAGGGATGTCAAAGTCGCGGTACTTCTTGCACACCACCTGCGGGAAGACGGGCTTTAGGATTGTATTATTTGCAAAAAGACACCAGCAGAACTTAAAGTCCTGGAACAATATGACTTAGAACTCATCTTTATCCATAAAATAATAATTTGTCGTTCTCTGTCCCAATGATGGAAAGGAAGTTTTTATACTGCTAAAATCTGCCCACCTTGACAATATTGAGTTTGGGAAGCAAGTTGCAGTCTGCCAAGGTGAGGGTGTCACCATCCAGGTAGCGGCGTGAAGACCCAGTGAGATTCGGGTTCTGGTCCAGTTCATGGGGGAGAGGAGTCTCTAGGTACATGTTCAGTTTAACCAGAGTTGACAGAAATTTTTTCTCTACCCCTGAAAGAGTGGAGAGGTCCCCATCATGTGGTTATGTACAGAAATGATTGTAAATTTATTTTTGAAATATCCAACTAATGCCCTTACGTTCATTTTTTCCAGGACTAGGATTTTTTATATATCCTGAGAAATTTCGGAAGATGTCGTCACCAGCACCGTTGGACTCTTTGTATCGACAGCACAACTTTGGAAACCTGCCATTGGTGGAATGAATGTGTGTCAGTGCAATAATGAATAGAATATTTAATGTGTTTCAAGAAAAATACTTGACAGAAAACATTCTATAGTCTACTCACTGTGGTGGGGCTAACTTTTCCTCCAGGAACTCCTCAATCTTGTTAATGTCTGTTTTGACGTCATCGTTGTAGAGGAGGAACGGAGGCTGAGAGCCTGGAGCCAGAGCCTTCAGCACATCAGGTGCCCTGCAACAGAACAGCAAACAACAAACAAGTTAAGCTCACCAAAGATCGTCAAATGACAAAAATGACAAAGGAGTACGAAAGGGATAATGAGCTCACTTTTATGGGTTGATTTCCTTCACAGTTTCATCTAATTTACTTAAGATACATTTCCCAATTAGATCTTATTGTTTTATTCTTACTCTCTACATACTATTTGTACTATTATTGTTGTTAATATTGTTGTTATTATTATTAGTTGTAGTAGTAGTCCTTTTCATTATTGTTGATCGAACATTAAAACTACGTTTGGAAGAAATATAGCAAGAGTATGCTAGATTTTAAAAAGAAAATATGCAACTAGAAAACCAAGCCCAGTGTTGCCAACTCTTTTCCAGTTAAAGTAGCTAGCAGCTTAAAATGTCACTAAATCTAGCAAGAATGTCGCCAAGTCTGCAACACTGTCAGCCAGTCCCTTCAGAACTCCCGCCAAAGACACTCCCCCAAAATTATCATTATGAATGTAAACAAATGCCTGGTTAGTAATCACAGCTGTCAAGCTTGCAGCTTGTTGTAGATTCAGGTGACACAATAAGTGCACACACAAAGTGCTAGCAGATTGGCAGGTATAGGTAGACATGCCGTTCAACAGGCTTATTATAGTCCTGCCACACAGGTACCTGATTTCTTTCTCTTTTTTTGTCAGAGCATTTGATTTATTGATTGGTGTTGGGGTGTTAAGATAATATCAACAAACGTTAAATAATGTTTTCAAATAAGAATGCCAACCCTGCTTTAAAGTGAATTGATTATGGACAATAGGTAGGTCCTGGTGGGTCTGATCTCTTTGGCATTTTTGTTTGTAGTTTTTATGTTCCCTCATGTGAGTGGGTGTTCTCAAGGTATGTCCATTTCATCCTACAACTCAAAATCTCCCAAAAATGATCAATATTGTATTGTTTGTCTGTCATAATATCATTGTTCCCCTATTGTAAATATTGTACCCTTTTCAACCATGTGAGTAACAGGCTGCAGTCCCTCTGCAAACCCTGCACTCTGGACGGAGGAATGAAATATTGAAGTGCAGTAAAATGCTTAATACTCAAACATCATTATTGTTTCCTTCCAACAGTAACACTTTTTTTTAATAGGAGCATTGTCTTGTGAGTTGTGTGTCCCATATCAACTCTTTATGTGCAATTAAAATATAATACAATGCAAATGCCATAAATGTTCATTTTTGTTCAGACCACATTGCAAAGGGAGTTGCTGTTTCTTGTTGTATTTCATCACATTATATTGTGAGTTGTATACCAACACAAAACCAATACATTTGACTTCGGGAAAAATAAAAAAAAGATGTGTTCTCACCTCTTCATGTCCACAGTGGTGAGGGTAAAGTTGACCCCTTTCAACCAAAGAATCATGAAGAGTCTCTGACTGAAAGGACAGTTCCCCACACTCTCACCATCGACACTGGCCTGACAGACAAACAGACATATCATTATGAACACATGCACTTCTCATTACTTGCAAACAGTGATGTTAAATCATCTGTTTTTGAAATAGGACACCAATAAGTTGGTTCCGGCATCAGGGTTGAAATTTATCTGACCAGATCAAGAATACCTGCACAGGTATTCTTGTCGAGCCTGCTCTGCTCTGCTCTGACACTTTAAACCAACCACTGAGGAATTTGAAATGGTGAGTTGAGGACGATTTACACCCAGATTAAACAACCCAGTATTCAGATAGTGTCTCTGCTGTATCGTACATTTCCCACTACCGCCTGATGTTGTTGAGTCACAGGCATTTGTCGTGGAGACAAATTATTTTTTGAAAGGGCAGGACACAGGTTTCCAAACTAGACAGGCCTCTTTTTAGTTTCTACTGCTCACCAGTATCCACTCTGATACTTTCCAGAAATAACAAGAGATGGATATACTGAGATTAAACACTAAAGCAATTAATGAAAAACAATATTAAATTAGACACATTTTGACCTAGAAATTGTCTTTTTTCATTTGTTTTTGTCTATAGCTACTAGAGAAGATGTGGGTTAAGATTATTAAGATTAAAAAACTGCAAATGTAGTTATATATTAATTTAAATAACTGCAAGGTTGCTGAAAGTTTGCTGTTATAACAAATAGATGTACTGCACCCCACACATCACAACTATTTTAGGTCTTACCTTAACAAAGAGTTCAATCTTAGGGGCCTCATCCGTCTTTATTTCTTTCTGCTTCGTCGCCATAATGTCCACTTAATCTATTAATCCACAAAATGGACTTGTTTCAGTCCCTGTCAATGCAAAAACAAGTCAGTCATAAAAATAAAAATAAATCTGTGACTTGGAATTTTACATTCCTGTGTAATATTTTGCAAGCTCATTCTTTTTCTCTCACACACACACACACACACATGTCACTCTTTCACAGTTTTAATGAAATTGGTGGTAAGATGTGTTGCTGAAGCATATACTCACAGTCAGCACTGGATCCGAGAACACTGCTTTATCTTTAGTTTCAGTATTTCACCTCTCCCTCTCTTCACTCCCTTCCCTTCTGTGCGTGTGTTTCTGTTTTTTGTTTGTCCTTCACCACACCTGTCATGCTCTGAGAGGCAGACCACACCCCCTCTGGCCTTTCCAGTCAGACCAGCAGATCTGGATGTCTCCTCTCAGCCTGTCAGCCTTCCAGCATATTCTCTGAAAGAACTCTCAATCTGTGACTGTCTCAATCTGTGACTGTCTCAGTCAGTCCACTTTGGTCCTTACCTATCTCTGTTTTGCTTTCTGTTACTTTCTCTCTACTGTAATAAGGCAGTGACAGCCATATCAGTGTTTTTTCCAAAAGACAAATGAGAATAAAGCCATATAATTTGATTGATTTAAGGCTTTGTGCAGCTAGAATAATGTATAATTAAAATGTTGATTTACAATGATTGTATAACACAACTAATTTTATTTCCTTCAAGTGCTTATTTAAATCCCTGTGTGCCCTATATGGCCAGAAGTATGTGTGAACATTACAAATATATGTGACTGAACATCTCAAAAGCAATTAAAATGCTGCTACAAAAGCCTCCGCTCTTTGGATTTCAGGCTGTCAACAAGATTTTTGCTCCCATTCAAGCCCATCAATAAGGCCGGTCACTGATGTTGGGCGATGAACCCTGGCATGCAGGCGTCACTCCAATTCATCCCCAGAGGTGTTGAGTGGGGTTGAGCTCTGTGCTCTGTGCAGGCCACACAAAACATTTCTTAATGGATCTGCGGGAACTGTCATGTTGAAACAGGAATAGGCCTTCCACAAACTGTTAACACAAAATTGGAATCATTTTACATCAAAAATATATATTGTATCAAATGTTAAGATTTGTCTTAATTGGAATCAAAGATTTAACAATGAAAAACAGTCCAAAACAAAGGTGCACAAAAATATCCACATACGTTTGACAGTTTCTTATTGTGTCAGAAAGATATTGAGAAAATGTTCACACTGAGTGAGGACTCGTTTTAAAGTTTGTGGATGCTATCTCTACAGTTTCACAAGAAAAGAGATTCACTTTCATGAAATAAAATACCTGCCTTTATCTTTGTCAATAGTTACATATAATATAGAAATAGAGATATCAATAGCGTTTTTGTAGTTTGGTGTCTCTTGCTTGTTCCCCGTCTTCCTCTTAGTTTGACGTGTTTGGTTTGCCTTCATCCCGCAGCCTACTTTTAGTTGTCGTTCCGCATTCATGACTGGCAGAAACTGCTCTCATGTAGCAGGTATTCATGAGGTTTCAGTGATTGGAGAGAGGAGGCAGAAACACCCCTCAAGCAAGTTTACATAAAGCAAAACAATGTGACAAGCTGAGAGGAGTGAGGCAAAGCTCCCATAATAGAAAGAAACAGATTGGTGGAGATATGTCGTCACATATACTGTATGTCATTACATAGGCGAGGACGCAACAGAGAGGAAATCATGAGGGCGTGATGGCATTCACCTATGACTCTGTGCTGTGGAATCCACAAATTGGACAGATAAGGTTGTAGAAGGTCAATTAAAGTAATTTGCTATTTAGTACCGTCATGTTAGAGATCTCCCTGAAAGGTATTCTCCTTTACACTTAATCGTCCCCGTTAACACTAGAGAGGAACAAAACCAAATGTCCTGGGTTTTATGTTGTTGATGCTGCTGTTGTTGAAGCCGACTGATAATCTTACATAAATAATGAGTGTAATGATACAATGTGTTTTGCTGTACAGTATAAATACAATTATGGAACTTCACTGTTGTTTGAGCAGCTTCAAAGAACTTTAGAGGATAATAAAGGACAACAAAAACAGAATAGGCTAAATAAAAGATGTTGACCCTACAAAGAGAAGGCATACAAAATAATTAAACAATGTACCTATTGAACAAGACAATGAGCTACACCAGTAGTTCTTAATCTTTATGACATATGAGCCTTTAATGCAAAGCTATGTTTATGTTCCTTGGCCTTGTCACAGGTTGCATAAGTGTTGTTCCCTCCTCAGATTATTACATTTGAATGGTTTTTAGAAGCATCGAGAGGGAAACTATCTAGTATTCCATATTAATAGAAAGGTAAAGTGCAGATCTCGTGAGTCTGCAACAACCACTGCTGTATTGTGTGATTGAATAAATACAACTCACAATTGGCTAACTCCCCGTCTAGACAGTAACAGGCTGCAAGGCGTCGTAAAACACACTTCAATCAAAAATCAAAACCAAGTGGTGATGTATGCAGGAGATAAAAAGAGTAAAGAACCACTGGGCTAAAAGGCAGCCTTTACCCTACTAATAAAAAATAAAATATGCGAAATAAGTGTCACGATGCAGTGTTTACTGAGCTTCATTGAGAATTTAGTGGATTACAATGCTCAATGTATGAATTGCTTCCAGAAGAGAATAAAGGAAACAATCACACACAGTGGTATTTAACAAGGGTCGCTCAGTTTCATGAATTTGAAGAAACCATCAATTCAAGATGCAACAACACTTGTACAAGAGAAAATCACAGGGAAAACATATTTTACGTCTCTGTTGCTCATAACAAGCCCAATCCAGATGCTGATCTCTTGAAAATAATTCATCTTTAGATCCGTATACTAAAGGCCAGCCAAGGGTACTTGTAAGAAGTTGCCAACATATGGAACCTAAGAGTTGGTACACCAAGGCAAAGCAACCTTTGCAACAATATTTTGGAAACAATATCCTTATTGCTTCAGTCTACCTGGACAAGGCATTGAATTGGCCCACGCTCGAGTCAGAAGATCGGCCAGCACTTCAGCAGTAGTATGCCCAGTTCATGCACAGAAGATCTGAATGACGTAAAAAATGCATCCCACATGCAAACTTTTGTCTCAAAGCTTCCATTCAGACTGAGAGTAACTTTACACTTAGTGTGAATTTAACTTAGACAAGCAAGACAAGACAACATTTCCCAAAATGAAATCTCAGCATATAAGAGTAGCTTTAGAGTTGTGACCAAAGAAGAACCAACACCTAGTCTGACTCCAGTCACAGCAGCAACAACCAAGAAAGCACTGCAAAAATGACCACGTAACATAGGCCTGTGAAGAACTGAACAATGAGAAACACAAGGAGAAGGTTGAATGCTTCAAAGCCAATGGAATCTTTTTTGGGTGCGTTAACAAAGGTCGTGTAAGCAAAGCCTGTCGAAAGAGCTCATTGAAACTTCCCACAATGTTGCACATTGAAAGAACAACATCAGAAGAAAACGAGGAGGAAGATCCAGACAAAGTTTGACAATTTGAACAGATTCACGGTCATCACATTTCAGTGGTGAATTTGGATGATCTTGTAAAACAGAGAATTATGTTGAACGGAGAGGACGACTCCTTCAGGTTTCAAAAGCAATGCTGAAAATGTAGTTGACACAGCATTTGTCTTTGGGTAAGCAACAATGGCGCAATTGAAAAAGTTGACAAATCCAAGACTGGAATTGACTTGGCCTATCTTAGCAATTAAAGTTGACAGAATTTTGAATCCAGAACTACAAAACCCACTGATGAAATCAGCACTTCTATCTTGAAATAGTAGAACAAAAATGTATAAACTTCAAAGAGATCCCCGACATTCATTGCTAACTGCATTGGAGTCATGAGAGAGTCGACCAATGTTAGTCAGATGTAACATATTGGCATCAAAGGTAATCCAGCACACGAAACCTTCCGTGGAATGACAGCTGAGGCATTCCTGAAGCATGATTGTTTGGATAAGCGGCCGTTCTAAGTTCCTTCTTACATGTCTTGAGGATGTTGGATCAGTCTCCAGTGACGATCCTGTCATAAAGAGAAAGTCACAGTCAACGTAGTACAAACAACACCACCGTGTGCGATCAACACACCCGTTCCTTTTTACTCAACAGAAATGTGGTTTCTTCGTTTAAAAGTCTGTTTAAAAGCATTATAGCTGACGTAAAAGTCAAAGAAAAAGATAAAGCAAAGCAAGAAGAAAGTATTGAAAGTGAAATGAGAACTTTCAAAAGTTTCTAAGTTTCCATGTTCCTAAGGAGCAGACCCACTTTATTTAGTCTCAAAACCCAAGCACGTACACAAACTTGGCGCGTTCACATGAACTGTATCCTCGAGCGAAAAAGCGCCGCCGTGAGGGAGACGTCTGCTTTGCGTGCACAAATGCAGTCCAACGACTTGCAAATGCTCAACACTTGCTCGCTTGTCAAGTTGACTTTTTTTAGACTTTGGAGCCTGTGATGACAGTGGCTGATGTGTCAGCTCCATTGATTTGTCTCTTTCATTCACAGTCTCCGGCCTGACAGACAGTTGTCCCCTGTTTGTCTCTCTCTGTCGGTCTCTCCCGGCTCCTGGCTTCCTGATTGCTGCCAAGCTGTTTCGCCTGCCCCAAACCACATCAGCCCTGCAGTATAGCAACCCTGGCTTTCCTCCAAGTGCTTGATAAATGTTTCCATCAGTTACAGCGGTGGTCTTACATTTCTAACTGATACTGGCTGCCTCAGTATCATCCCCCTTCCTGCTTGCTTCCCCGTGCAACCTCAGCCCTGTCCACCTTGCTCATATTTTGCATCACCCGAGTGCTTCTCAATAAATCTGTTAAACTTCATCTGTCTCCCAGTTGTGTTGGGCGCTTGGGTCCACCTTTTGCACTGAATCTTAACACCAAATGTATAACTTTAAAGGAATCAAACGATCACAATCAACACAAAAAGAGCACTTACCCATTTAGTACCTTTGCCACAATGTATTTTTTGCACTGCCATGTGCATTGTACTAACTTAAAAAACAGCAACTGTGATTTGTGTGGTCAATAAATACCACATACATACATTTTATTCTCCACAACATAGCTACACGGATGACTCACATGGTGTGGGCTCACCCTTGTATAACCCACATCTTTTTCTGTTAACGCTTCCTCTTTTCCTGTCAGTGCACACATGTGCAAAAGCCTTCTGATGTGATCAGTAGTTTATTTTAGAGAGTTGCCAAAGAGACTGCGTTTTTGGTTTGTAAGCGCTTCAAGATCAGCATCATGTTTCTACCAGCAGCGACCAAAAACTGTATCAGTGTTGACTGAGGTTGGTGGACTGAGCGCTCATCCGTTGATCAGGTGAGTGGAGGAAGCTCGGGGTTCTCTTTGACATGAATCACTCTGGTCAATGTGGTCTGACTTCTAAAATGTGCTGTTTTCACATACGTATACTAGTTCACTGTAGGTGAATGAATACATTCAGGGTGGAAAGTAAATTGGTGTGCCCGTTGCAGCTTCTAACGCTGAACAACTGCCAGTGAGGCGAACAGTACCACTGCCATCATTAATCTTTCACCACATCCTGCTCACAGACTGTCTTGAAGTCTCAACTACAGAGGCTAATTTAAGAATAACCAATCGTATCTGAAGGCCCTCGTGTCTTAATCTCTAACCTCTGCAGGCAGATATTCTTATGCTAGTCTACAAAGTAAATAAAGCTGTCTTTGTAGACTAATACTTCTTAATACATGATAAAACGCCCCTCTCTTGTTCTTGTTAGTTCAATTGTAAGTCTTCAAAGTAAGGGAATAAATCAAACTTTAACTTTGCAGGTTTTTTTAAGGTGTCAGATGGAAATGTCTACTTTTACATTCTCAAATGCTTGATATATCCCTTTTTAACAAATGTCAAATCTATGGGACTAAAAACACAGAGGATTTTGTAAGAGCAACTTGTTGTAGATTCCACAGGTTGAATAATACATTTGTATATAATTATGGACAGAATCTGTGTTCTGATGTTGTTGTTTTTAGATTTATTTTTCATGCAAATATACAAAAAACACGGTTGTTTTTTTGCTAATATCTATATATATATATATATATATATATAGTTTCGTAATACTCTTAACAGCTATATGTCCTTTGTGTTTCTCAAGTCCTTATCTGCACACTGTTCAGTTAGATGCCCTTTTTCTTTGTCTTACACAATGTGGGACTCTTTGGTTTAATTTCTTTGATCTTTTGCACAACCCTTATTTCTTAAGATTCCACAGAGGGAACGCACTGTACAGCAGTAAGGCTAGCAACTAGAAGAAGAGAGAAGTTTTTCTATGACTGAACGATTGAATTTTAAAGTAATAGATGGTATTTCGTCATCATTGCCAATCACTGTTTTGAATTTCATTCTTTTCTTAGACATTACAGAAAATATTTCCAATGTAACAGCATGAAACGTATGTACAGAAGTGGTAAATGATTGTGAGATGATGTGAATGAATGGATGCTTTTTTTTTTTGTCCTTATAGAAAGCTCATACACAGGTTTCTCTTGAGTCATGGTTGAGCAGAAAACCGTCATGGACTCAAATTGGAAGTATCTGATGGTGAGTCCTCATTTCAATCATAACTTTTGTTGGTAAATTAGAGAAAGATCTGATGTGCACACAGACTGGAGCTAAACCTGCATGGTTTGTACAAAAGGTGTTTTCACCCTTATTTGGTTTCCACTAAATTTGCTTCACACAGTCACCCTGACAATCTCCCTTTGAGATGGTAGCCTATTTTTCCTGTTTACGTGTCAGTGCCAGGTCATGCAAGTGTTGTGATACCGTCTGTGGGCCTCCAGTAGTAACCTTTAGTAGATTTTGAATGAAAACCTGATGTAGTATTTGGTTGATTTAAAAAGTCAGCGCTGCATTAACTTACTGGCGTGGTTCTTTTTATCATATGGAAATAAATGGAAACTGAATACATGAAACAGTAAGGAAGGTACATCCGAATTTCTAAAACACGGCAGAAAATTTTGCAAAATCATTGAATGTGTTATGTGATTTGTAATAATCTAAACCTGCAAAAATCACTGATACGATGATTTAACATCTGCTTTAACAAAAGGTAAATTCACAAAACCTCATCGCTCCTTTATGATCCTATTTCTTAATTCCTTTGTGACAGGGGTGCGTAAGGGAGGTGCGTAAGAGGATTGTACTCAGCTCAATGAAGAAGCGCCTCCTCCTCTCCTTTCTCTGTGTTTTACCACTGTGTCTTTTCAATGGATGGCCGAGAAGATTCCAGGCACTGAAAGCCGTAAATCTGATCACCTTCGATGACGGGAACAGCGGTAGAAACATCAGCATCCTGCTGTGGTACTGGCCCTTCAGAAAGTCATACAGCCTGAGGGGTGACGTGTGCTGGGACCTCTATCGCATCCCTCGCTGTAGACTGGTGGACCAGCGCTCCTTGTTCCCCTCAGCTGATGTGGTCGTGTTCCACAATGTAGAGCTGGCACTGGGACTGCAGAAGCTGCCCCATAACCTCTCACGACCACAGGGCCAGAGGTGGGCCTGGATGTCCCTGGAAGCCCCTGTTTACAATGGAAAATTGTTGCAGTATGCAAATATCTTCAACATGACCATCACCTACAGGAGAGATGCTGATATCCCAATACCCTATGGCGAACTGCTACCAAAGGAGGCTGAAGGACATCTGGTTGAAGAAGTCCCTCTGAATAAGAGCTTCCTGGTCTGTTGGGTGGTCAGCAACTTCAGGAGCCATCACAGGAGAAGCAAAGTGTACAAAGAGCTCAAAGCCACAGTTCCTGTAACGGTTTACGGCCGCTGGACAAAGGGAGCCCTCCCCTCTAATGCCCTCTTACCTACAATCTCTCGCTGCTACTTCTATTTGGCTATGGAGAACTCGGTCACCAAGGATTATGTCACAGAGAAGCTGTGGAGGAATGCTTTCCAAGGCGGGGCGGTGCCTGTCGTCCTGGGACCACCATTAGACGACTACAAAGCTGTGGCTCCACCCAATTCTTTCATCCATGTTGACGAGTTTGCATCAGTTAAAGACTTAGGAAAGTATCTACAAGAGCTTGCAGAGGACAAGAAACGCTACAATGAATATTTTACCTGGAAACATCAGTGGAAAGTGAAGCTGTACACAGACTGGAGGGAGAGACTGTGTAAGATCTGCACACAGTACAACAGTTTACCTCAGGAGAAAGTTTACTCCAACCTAGAGGCCTGGGTCAATGCCCAAAACTCCTGAGCTTGCATACATGTGGCTCACTTACCACATGGACAAATTAGCATCCTTGAGATTTAGGAAACCTCATCCAAGGACACTGTGGAAACATGTATATGTACATATATGCATACAACTAACATGCTTGAACAACTTCATATTAAGAACAATGACGAAGTGAATTAAATCATAGTACTGATATCCCTAGCACTATATAACAAACAACCTCTCTAGGGTGAAGACTAGTCTAACAGTTTGGGAAATTTGCTTATTCGCTTTCTTGCCCGAGAGTTAGAAAGATTGATACCATTGAGTGGCTATTCCTTTAAATTTAACTCAACACAGCACACTTTGAGGGCACTGATATAAACACAGGCCCATGCTGTCCCATTCAACAGGCAGGCATTTTACATTTGCACTGTATGTAATAAATGTATGTCCTGTTTATTTCATGTCCATCTTCCCTTGCCAGTAAAAATGGTTTGCATAAAATACTTTGTTTCATTGCAGGAAACACCATAATTGCAATCTCAAAGCTCAACTTCCTCAAAGAAATGTAAAACGGTATTTTCTGTAACTGTGGGTAATGACTCAGTTTGTTGCGACATCTCATTGAGATTAAAGACACCGTCAGCACTGCTCAGTTCCTCAAACTCTTCCTTCATATTGTTTATAAGTTAAGATGTTGGACTTTAAGAGTAGGCTAATTAAACTGCAAGTGCGCAAAAGGGTTGGACTCAAGTAAAAACTTTACTGGAGAAAAAGCAGTTTCTTGATTACTAAATGCATTTACGGTTACAGTGGTTTGATTGAAAACATCTGTGTAGCTAGCGTATTAAATAATTCAATCCATTTACAATCTGTTGAGAAAATGTCACATTAAAAACTACTGAGTCTAACAGTTGTGATTGCACATTCACACATTAGTAAATATGTCTAAAATGATTCATGAGGCAAGATTGTTAGAATACTGAAATAACTGGTTAAAAGGATTGTTTGTCACTTCGACATCGTCCAAAGTGGGTTTCAGAATACAGAAATAAGTCAAGATAAAAATTGCTTCACTGTTTTGATAACTCTGAAAGTTTGTTCTTGCCAATACATTCACAGGCATAGTCAAGATGAGTGAATAAATGACATTTAATGTCTTCATGTCTAAAAATGACAGTCATCCAAGTTCTAAAAAAAGAAAAAAAAAAAAAAAAAAAAAAGCTTAAAACAAGACAGAGAAATACTCCACTAAGCACACAAACATGTCACGTATTGAGTGTTATTCAACATTTCATAAAAACCCTTCACAATAAAAACAGATATTGAAATACAATTTGACAGCATAATTGATCCGGGTCAGATCAGACCTAATCTCACTACAATTCATTTGAGACATTGAGAAAATATTGATTGTGTGCAAATGGCAGATTAGCAGCTAAAACACTTGAGTAACAAGTCATTAATCACCTTTCCTGAAATTACTTAGAATCTCACCACCCCTCAAATTATGCAAAAGACAGTGATGATAATCAACAATCTTAAGGCCAAAATCTGTGTTCAGTATACAAGCGGGGCATTTTCTTTTAAAAAAAAAAAAAAATAGAAAGAAAAAAAGAAAGAAAGATAATATTCAACAAAGTTACAATACAACTGTGCAAAAATTATAGAAAAATTTGTATTTCCCATTTCAATGAGGCAGATCAGACAAATACTTCAGCTGCTCTATTCGGATGAAACCTAGAAAGTATTGCACAAACATTGACCGAACCGTCGATGGAGATTTTGGTTTAAATTCCCTGACATGTGATTCCATTGATAACCAAGACCTTTCCTCGCCTGCACCACAGAAAACCTACCCAGGATTTGGCAATAGGGGAAGAAATACCCTGGCTCTTCAACCCTGCTCACATTTACAACCACATTCTCACCCACCAACTGGACCATGCATTGTAGCAAGTTAACATTTGTACAAAATCTCACTTTGACAATGTTCTAAACCTGCAATGATTAAAGCCGATTGAACAATTTACTAGGCATTATCCAAGAAAACAAAAAGGCATATTCTGTTTAAATTTCTTAGTTTGAGGTCAAAGCAGTTGTTGGGAGTTGCAGGTCGTTGTAAGAGGATGTTGCCCAATGGCAATTTGATACATTTTGCCACCAAAACAGGAACAAGTAACCACTTTCATCCATTTCCCTGCTGTGGTCGGTAGAAGAGCCTCCCCACTTGGAATGTTTCCGTCCCACGATATTACGATGCGATCGGTCAATCTGGTTACTGGGTTTAGAGGCTCGTCTTCAGCTTTAGGCGAGGTTGGACAGCGAGGCGTGGGAAGGCAATCTGTGGTTACGGCCTACTTGAGCACCTGAGTTTATCCAGTCAGGTGACCAACTAGTCCGGGGTGCAGGGCTTGTTTCAGGAGGTCAGGCCGATGAAGCGGGGGCATGTAGAGTGTAGGAGGAGGGCCACCGTGGTAGCTGGAAGTAGGGTAGCCCTGACTGGGAATGGGGGAGGTGACCATGTTCAGCGGGGAAGGACTCTGCTCGTAGTACTGGCCGTCGCACTCCTCGTCTAGTGGCAAGGCCAGGCGCTTTCCTTTCTGTCTTCGGTTGCAGAACCACACACGTACAACCTGCCAGGAACGACATTTGTCTTTTAAAAATGTGACCAATTAGACTCATACTTCTTTTAAAAAGGCAAATGGGATCTCTTTGTACTTACATCTCTCTCCAGACCCAGGTCATCTGAGATGTGTGTGATTTCTTGGGTGTTGGGCTTGGGACACTTGATAAAGTAAGACTCCAGAGCAGAGCGCACTGCTCCCTCCAGACTGGTCCTTCTCTTCCTCTTTCTGGTGTCAACAAATACTCTCTCAATCTTGTACATCTGACGAATAAGAAAAACATTTTAGACATGCCGTGTTGAGTGCAGCCTTATTTATGAAGATGCGTATTCTATATACTGTCCCATTTCGTGCATGTCACATATTGAGGTCATGGGTCAAATAAAGTTTCTTGTGATCACTAAACAGCTTAATTGTGGCCACTAGGTGGCATTTTACACTTTACAAGAGTAGAGGGTCTTGATCCAGGCTTGCCCAGCAGAAAGTTAGCCAGGCCAGTTTGGTGATCATCTGTTGTCTTGTAAACTAGTCGGCAGATGTTAGAGAAGCAGACTTACATCCTGGGGATTGTCCGAGGTCTCTGCCTCATTCAGCCATCTCTGAAGAAGGGGCTTCAGCTTGCACATGTTTTTAAAGCTTAGCTGCAGAGCCTCAAAGCGGCAAATGGTTGTCTGGCTGAACATCTTACCTACAAGCACATGCAAGCATCAAAATATGACATATCACAATAAAAGCCCAAACAATGATGTGAGATTAATCTACACCTGACTCCTAATCTGTTTCAGGAATTTGTTTTCTTATATACCAGATCAGTTGCTACTTTCATTAGTGATGTTGGTCCTAATTAAGAACTGATCTACACACCAAACTAGAAATCCAAAAGGTGTCCACCTGGACTTCCATACAATGAGTAGCTCACAGGTGGACCATGAAGATCTGGATGTCGGCAATGAAATGACAATTTCTCAGCTTTGCATTGTCTGATTTAACCCTTTGTTATTTAAATCACCTGGGTTTAACAACTCTTAAAATTTTTTTTTTTTTTTTTTTTTTAAACAAACCAGTGTCTCCGTAAATAAACTCACCATATAAGTTACCCAGAGCAAGGCCAACATCAGCTTGAGTGAAACCCAAGGTAATGCGTTTGTGTTTCAGCTCTTTAGCGAACTGCTCCAGTTCTTCTGTGGAAAGATTCTCCTGAACAGGAACAATTAAAAACATTACGATGGAAAATGTGAGGCACATTTGTAGCCCAGGTGGGATTTAGTCATTTACGTGAGATTGAAGTTGCATTGGTAATCAATCATTGGAGCACTGATTCATTGGCTGTCCTTACCTCCTCCGAGTCGCTGCACCCGCCGCTGGAGGAACCGCTGCTCCGCGTGGAGGAGGCCGGGTTCTGCGGCTGGGGCCCGGCGGCAGTCTGGCTAGTGTTCATGCTAAAAAACGCGTTCCCTGGAAGCCCGTTGCTTGGAGGAGATGGGGACATCGATGGTGAAGATGCAGAGGATGTTGAGGGATTTTGATTGCTGCTACCGGGTGGTGTAATGTGGGTGATCCCGGGCCAGAAGGACGGGTTCCAGGCCGGAGAGTAGAAGACTCCATGGGACATGGCGGCAGGCGCTGATGGGTACTGTTGAAGCTTTATCTCCGTTGAGTAGTCATTGCTGGTGTCCTTCTCAGTCTTTATCTCGGGCAGTTTGATTTGCTCCCGGGTCTCAGCTATGGTGGGACTCGGGTTTGTCGGCTGGGTAGCTGCCGCTACGCCGGGTACCTGGCCGGTGTAATCGGGCGCAGCGAATGGATACCAGTGCTTGGGTTGCCCAAACTCTCCAGCCTGAAGATCGGATCCCCTGTAATCACTGGTGACGGGTGGGAAAGAAAAAAAGGTCTGCGCGGGTGCTGGTGTGATGCCACCATAAGCGGCTTTGTTGTAGAAGAGGCCGTGGTCTGGCAGGACGCCGTGGGGAAGCTGGAATGACGCAGGGCTGCCCGAACTCTCATGACCCAAAACATGGTTGCAAGGGTTGCTCCGGCTGAAGTCATATGGCCTGATTTGGCACTCCGGACTCTGCGATCTTTCGGACATCTTGCAAAATGCGCGAGAACCGGTCAACAAGCGTGCTTCCAAAATCAAACGTTAAAAAAAAGTTTGCGGCGACTAATTCTAAACCTGCTCATCCGTTTCACTTTTGCGCACACACCAAAGAGGGATGAGAGAAGAAGGTCTCCAAAAATAACCCAGCACCTCACAGCGAAAAGTCAGTTTTTTGGGTGGGATATTATGCAAAAATCTAGACTTGAGCAGTTGCCGTTTTGGTGCAACATAACCACCAATACGCCTACGACCTACTCCATGAAGTTCTGACTTTAACACCAACGCCAATCACCTCACCTTCAAGCTCAAACGTTCCTCTCTGGGACCCGGCTCCACAAGTTTTGCTAATCACACAGCTGCGGGTATTGGAGATCGCCGTATCTCTTCACCCATTGGCTGGCGAAGACAATTGCGCACAGCTGATGGTGAATTTGTGAATGACCTTGATTCTACCCAAAGTAGTGGGCGTGTTTTCACATAGCCTCCACTTTAAGCCATTTTGCTGCAGACCAACTATGCCTTTTGCTTTTTAAGTGATTTTCTTATCTTAACCATTATACAGAAACATATCAATAATTCAACAGTGTTGAGTCAACTTTGAAAAAAAACAAAACATATTTACATTGCTAAATAGGCACGAGTCGCTGCTCCTGTAAATACATGTTGTAACACTATAACGTGCTCACCTCATACATTAATTATAATGCTCGGTTTGTTTAAGTTATTCATCTTTAAGGACATGGCTTTGATATTAAAATCCCTGGCATTTAGACCTGAGTTTATTTTAATCACTAACATCTCAACTAAATGAAATAAAGTGGCATTGTAATCTGTGATAAAGACAAATTAACTTAATGATTTACTTTGAAACAATCAGATATGAGACAAACTAATTCATGTTTTTGAGAATGTTTGGGCAGCTCATGAGCAACACATAAGGAAGAAAGAAAGTGCTGGAAATGCACTCTAGTGTTGTGTTTGGAAAGGACGCGATAAGCAGGGAGAACTGCATGATGGGCCACACTACGCCTTTGTGTGATTTTTAAAAGAAGTTAAAAAGTTATGTCTCAAAACTGCTCTGTCAAGATGAATACTTTGAATGCAGTATATGTGAGGATGCCGCCACAAGCTGTAAAACGCGGTACACTGAGAAATAGTGGTTACTTTTGATTCCGCATTTCTTTCCAAACTATGAATAGAAAAAAAATGAGACCTAAATTATAAAACCACCAACAGCATTCAGGTGAACTTCTCCTATTCACCCTTGATCGATGGTCGTTCAAAAGCCTGGATGGCCGGAGCACTGGTACAGATGCGCTCCCCCAGCGCGAGTCGTTGGCTGCAGATTGCGGCAGGAAGACACACTGCGGGGAGGGAGGGGGGGGTGCCATTGTACGACCTGGCCCCGGGGCACCCCGTGGATTTCAGATCCCGAGTTGCGATGGTCGACCATTAGCTCCTTTTCAGATTGGAACAATAAGTCTCAACCCTTTGATTCAACAAGATTCCGCCCCACACCCACCTCCTCCCGTCTCCCCCCTCCCGTGCTCTGAAACAAACACCAGGCTGAAGTTTCACCCTGGTCTGCAGGTCCGAAAGTCCATTGAGGCCATATACATAGACTTTCTGTCTGATATGGCCTAAAGGTCCAAAACTGGTCTGAGGACCAAGGTGCTGTGTGCAGATGACGAATGAGTATCAGATTCATCCATTTTGAAGCTTGTAGAACAATGTGATTTGTTTTTAAATGCATTGGCCCTTTAAAATGAAGTGATACCTGACTGGTGAAACATGTGATAAACAATGATGCTATTTTTTCAGATTGTGCTGTTTAATTATCAACAAGAGGAGGTATAGATGCATTATTTCACAAGAAATTGTGAATTGAAATAACACCAGAAAAATATGATAGTCTAGTCTCAAAGTATAGCTGAAATATATTGTTGCGTTACACCTCAAATGTATCTCTCTTGTTCCCAGCTTGCAAGCTTTCTAAGTTTGACAAATGAACTCACACTATAACCAGGCGGTCAGCACCGTCTCTGCCCTCACACAAAGTTACGTATCTCCAGGACCAGGGGACCTGCGGGGGAATAGCTTAAAAGACATCAAACCCCAACTATACAAGCATTGTTCTGGGCCATGGACTTGGGGGAATAATTGTCATGCAAAAGACAGACAGCAAGAGAGATAGCAGACTTTCAGCCAGGGCTTCAGAGAGAAAGGGACAGCAGAGCACAGCTCTCAGGGTGTCCAAAAGAGGGGGGGAGGGTGGGGGGGTTAGTGTTGAATAGCTCAGTACAGTGAGGAGGAGATGTGTGAGGGGAGTATCTGGGTATTTAGTTGACCCCCCCCCCCAGATGTCTCAGATCTTGTCTTTAGTTCTTTTTAAGTGGCCTCTTCAAGACACCTAGGAGATCTGCTGGCAGGGCAAGTCTGGTCAAACAGAGAAAGGGAGAAAGTTTCAGATAAAAGAAAGCCTGCAGATGCAGCAGCAGTGTGAATGTGTTGCACACCTCGACCAGTCACACCACTGGAGACGAAAAACGACCTCTACCTTGAGCAATGTAACCAAACCAACTCCAAAGAATCAGACCGTCTATTGCTCTTTAAAATAATGTATCTTCATTTCTCCTTCTTCCCACCTTCACGATAAACTGTGTGCATTTGAAGGAAAGCAATACAGTTTGTGTGTGTGATAACAGACTCAGAGGTGCTGCTGTCATGTGATTGACTGTTGGTCCAGCAGTAAGGAACTGATCTCTGAGCTGGTTTCAGCTTTTTGTGGAAATGTTGCTGTGTTCACAGCTGGTTGACACATACCGCTGTCTTTCATTTTAGGTTGTATGGTTTTTCTCACGTCAACACATCTAAAAATGACACACCGATCTAGCTAAACTTGTCATCTCAAGACGTGACATTTCATTTAGGGGCTGATGTGCTTACGAGAAGCACTCCTGAGAAGTTCTGTTTTTAGAAATGCTGTAAACACTGGTGTCTTCTTTTAAGATTGCTAGAATTAAAGTCTAAATGTCTCCCTGAATAATGACAGTGTGAACTAGACAACTCAAATGTAACTTAATTGCTTTATTGTGATGTTTTTAAATAAAATAGATAAGGACATAAGACTCAGTCCCTACTTTTAAAAGTTACTGATTTAATAAAGTAATAACCCTGGAATGTAAATACTGCCCATCCTGTAGAGCAGCTCAAACGTCTCCCTCAAACAAGTCTGATGGCTTTTTGATTTTCTTCGGCCCTGCCTTTGATGGCCCTCCGTCACAGACCCTCCGCCCACCCAGGTTTTTATCCGAGGGCCAATGGCTGCCTTCTTTCCACTGTCCTGCAGGCACAAAGGGCTTTTAACGGCCCTTGGCATGTGGCTCAATGGGGACAGGAGACTGACCCATCCCCTCCTCAACACACACACACACACACACACACACACACGGATATACAACCACATACACAAAACCCACATGGAGGTACATGCATGATTTCTCTTTGCCCCTACCCCCAACAAACACACACACAGACACACACACTGGGTGTAGTCGTTTGTGAGCCGACGGTAAAACAGGATCACCACAAACTAGACAGAGAGTCAGGGACAGCTTGAGGCCGTGAGGCAACACCAAAGGTGTCACGCTGCAAGCTGAAATGTGTATGTGTGATGGCAGAGTTCATCTGAACAGGAAATGCTTATGACTTGCTGACTCAGAAAGGCTAAATGTATATTTAAATGCATCCGACATCCCTTTTTTTGTAAACATATTGTTTTTACAGAATTGCTGACTAAAGTGTTCTAGGGGTTTGTAATATTTAAGTTTAACTGGTTTTACCCCAAAACCTCGGCTTGTTGTCATTGCTTCAAGAATCCTCTCAATGGCAAAAAAAATAAAACAGGTGAATGAAGAGGAATTTGTTTTCTGTGGGTGTTTTTATGAGACAGTGGATCTTTCAGATCAATTCAAAAGAGGTCCTATAGTTTGCACGGTCCACATTTTATCTTGAGTGTTTGATGCAGTGTGGGACTCACAATGGCCTGGTCTTGGTGTTGGCTCTGTCCCAACGTCTCAAAGTGTTGGCCTTGTCTCGGTGTTGATATACTGTCTTCATGACCTGGTCTCGGTTTAGGTGGTCTTGACTACAACACTGCGGACACCATCACATACTGTTATGGATCAGCTTGTTATAAGCTCTTCATTGAAGCTATTTGAAGTTTACACTGACAGCCTTCATGTTTTTATGGCAGTACCATTTCATCAAGTGAATTAAAAAATGTCCTGTGCATAATTTTATACCCAAAATTCAATCTGAAATATTTGGTATCTTTGGAAATATGTTGTATGTATGTTTGGCAGCACAGAATTAGTTTGTATTGAACATCCTTCAAGACGATAACACAGATGACATCATTTCTCACATCATCTCACAACACCAGAGAATGTGATCACAGTTGCCAACATTCTTTGCATTCCGTTTCGACCTTTGTTGCATCTCTTTCCCTCAGTGCCTATTGTTCTTGAAACTATCACAAAAAAAGCATTAAATGTCCATATATATATATATATATATCATTGAGTGTATACCAAGCACGAAAGGAAAAGTAATTTCCACATGTGGTAAAAACTTTAATTCCAATCCTTGGTCTGCATGTACAAATATCTATAAAAAGTGAACACATTCACTCTTTGTATGTACATTTTGCAGCAAGAAGTGAACTTGGGCCCCGACAAGAAGACGGAGAGGAAAGAGGGACAATACAAGATAGTGATATTTACCACCTACACATCCATCAGTTTAGTCCCGTCACCAAAATTTCATTCAAGCGCTCATAAGTCCCTTTGACTGTACGTTCCTCCTCCAGCAACAAGATGCATACATACAGGAGGCAGAGTAGTTGAGCAAAGCATTGCCATTATTCAAACACAGTAAGTCAAACCATGCAAACAGACATCATCAAGTACTTCATTTTCATATATATATTTATAATCTTAAAATATTTATGTGCAGCTTATATGACAAGGAATAAAATCGGCAACACCAACAGTAACAACCTTGTGTGGTGTTAGGGAGTTTTTACAGAGGTATCACAGAGATCTGATCTGTCAGGAATGTGGTTTAGACACTATCTATGCATGACAAAACACAGAGAGGGCACCTGTTTCTCAGCTTGTGTGTGTGTGTGTGTGTGTGCGTGTGTGTGTGTGTCAGTGTGTTGTATACATCTGCTATTGGATCACATTCTTTGGACACAGCTGCAGAAATGAAGGAAAGTAAGAACGGTGGAGGAAACAAATCTTAACTCAGAGAAAAAAACACCGATTGGGATATATCTGGGAGGACTCTGATAACGTTATGTTAAAAGACAGTAATGCTCAAAATCTGTGACAGACATAAACTAACAAGGAACCCAACATACATTTGTAGTAATAAAAGCCGTACTGGTGGCAGATATAGTAAAGGAGGGGCAACAAGAAAACAATCTTTTTTTTTTTTTTTATTGACCTCTGCCAGGCTCCTCCATTTCTATATGCATGCAATGTGAGATCAAGTGGTTTCCTCCAGAGAAGTGGCTTGTATACCTGTATGTAAATATGTGTGTGTGTGTGTGTGTGTGTGTGAAGTGTTCAAGAATTAATTGATATTCCCCTGGTAATTTAAAGTCGAGTCATCAAACAGCGGGTTCTTCACTTCCATCTCTCCAGTCTGTGAAAGAGGGAAGAAAATGGATTTTCAGTCATATAACATCATCAGAACGGATTTGTTGGTGTGTGTGTGTGTGTGTGTGTGTGTGTGGGTGTGTGTGTGTTCCCACCGGTGCAAGTCCGGGGCACTCGTATACTGTGAAGTCTCCGCCCACTTCCTCCTCATCTGATGTGACCTCGGAGTCAATGACTTTCTGCTCAGGTTCGTTACTGAAGAAGGAAATAAAAAGACAGTGGAGTTGCGGCAAAGAGGTGACACAGTTAGAGGAAGTGGTTGAACAATTTAACTCTGCATTAAGACATGAGAGATAAGAAAAAGAAAAAAAGCTAGGGAGTGGCACAGAGAGTGTCGAAAAAACAAACAGAAAAAAACTTACTTTCCCATCGAGAGCATCTGCTGTTTTTGATGTTGGTAGTGATACATTTGAGCGCTTTGAGCCAGATTCTTATCGCCAATCTGAGGACACAACAGAGAGTGTGGATGACACGTTTGAAAACACATCTTCTGTGCACAGGGCACAATCACATCTTGTGGTTATTACAGAAAAAAAAGTGAGAAATGGAAACAAAGCGAGCTCTAACAATAGAAGTTAGCTGAAGGAAACGCTGTGCGCTTACAGAGGGAACGTTGGTTGTGGTTGGGGGTGCGCTTGCCCCTCTGAAAGCAGGGTAGTCCACCTTCTGAGCCAGACGCGAGTCTTTCCGCAACCTGTGGGGGACAGCGTGAATCTGAGTTTCCTGTTTCTGACAGCTGTTAAAAACACCCTTTCAGCTAAGCTCACACATCTTGTGATACGTGAACAGCAAGTCGGCCTTTAAGGGCGATCAATAGGTGTAAATGATCAAACAACCAACATGAAGTGAAATTGACTGAGAAATCCATTCAACAAATAATCACTGGTCACAAAATGAAAAAACAAAACAAATTTAGTTTTATCAAGAGTTTTTCTTACTCTTTCTGTGAAGTCATATTAAATCAACCAGCAGAGCTCAAGGAAATACTTTGTTCTTCGTGACTTTTAGCTGATAGTTGAATGAATCTGTTAATGGCTCGCGTTGAAGGCTGACTCCTCCATAAAATGTTGTGGAATTGATGATGTTTTTTTTGCTGCAATTGAACGATGTGATACATACTTCAATTTAAATATCATGATGCCAGCTTAAATTTATTTTCTCTAAATGTTAATTTTTCAGATATTTATGAGTTTAAATTATGCACAATTGTGTATATTATAAATTCTCTCCACCCAATTACAAAAATTACAAAAATAAAGTGCATTTTTTTCTGTCATTTGTATTAATCTACAAGTATTAACATTTGACGTCATACGGTTTATTACGCAATTAAATCTCAAACCCAGATTGGTCTTTCTAGTGCATTTAATTTGGTTTAGAGAAATTCCTCGACAACAAAAAGATGAACTCAAGCTTTCTCTTACGTCACTTGTGAATTCAGGTGTTCAGACTTACTTGATGTAACAGACGCTTGCCAGGATCACTGCCACAGTGCCCACCACCACACACAGCGAGATCACCACTGCAGGTTGATAAAAAAGAAAGAGGAAAACAAAGGGGGAGCCGATCATGTTAAGGAGTAAACAAAGAGTGATTGAGTGGCAGTCAGATGATTTCCCTGCTGAGACATCTTTTTTTATGGGTGATAAATATAATCATATCTTCGCCCATTTGCTCATTATGGGTTGTTATGATCATCTTGGGTAAGATGATCAACACACTGGGATGAATAGAATCAAATATTCAGTTGGGACAAATGAAGAACAGAAGTGATATAATCTTGCTGGTAAACATTCAGACAGCAAACTGCTGAACAAGAAATGAGGCTGACAAGATGACCCAAATCTTAACATGTAATTTGATTGAGTTTTTAATCCATGGTCTGCTTGTATCATTGTCTTGTAGCAGCACTGTATTCTACACCATCAGGCTTTCACTCCCCGGGTGCAGTAAAGCATCCTGGTCTGTGTTGAGGACATAAGATCATACTCACTGATGATAATGTTGTCACTGTTGGATGTTGGCAGACCTATAGGACACCCTCTGCACCGAACTTTAGTGTCCCTGGGCTGGGCGGTTGCTGCGTTGGGAGGGGCAGAGACTGCAGGGGCTGCAGTGGTGGCGTTGAGGTTCTCAGTGAAGAGACGATCCTGGCTCGTCTGTTTGAGTCTGGAGGCATCTGTCCTGCTTTTAACAACATCTGCTTTGGCCACTGCAGAAAGTAAGGAAGACACAAACAGAGGCAGAGTCATAATCAAAGGCTCACATGAGGGGAAATCACAATATCTAATGGAGGTGAATGTCAACTAAAGGACGTGTGGGGATAATGTTAAATCCTGAATCACCTAAAAAAAACAACTCTATAAACTAGAGGAACTTAAAGTAAATCCCACACATCCAAACTCAAAACAGTTTTTTAAAATTGCGTTCAAGGCTCTTACCAGGATGTTGCTTTGGTGGTTTGATATCTGTCACTTCCTGTTTTTCAATGACGGCGTGAAGGTAATCGATCTCTTGATCCAGGTCAGGGTAGAACGCCACTACAGACGAGATTTAAAGTTACACTGATTAACTTCAACATGAATTAACTCGAGTAGAAGTACAAGCTACAATCAAAGAAGAAAGGCAAAAGGATATCCAGATTGCATGTAATGTTGTACCACTCACAGTGACACAAAGGGCTTCTTATTATAAACAAAGCACCTTCATTCACACACATAACATACAAATCGGTTACTAACTGACAGTCACTCCATATGCATCACAAGCACACGTTACAATGACTGAGGTTCCCATATTAACAAATATCTCGCCATAATATTCAATTAATAACCTTCCAACAGAGGAGTGACAATGATTTTCTTCAGGGGTGTACTTAATTATTCTTTAATACACCCCTTAATTAAGTAAACCCCAGAAAACTATTCTGTTTTTAATCAGCTGATTTCTTTTTTCTTAGATTAATCATTTGGTCTATAAAATCAGTTGAAAATAATATCCAAAATTATTAATCTAAACTGGGAAAATGAACCAAGGACATAGCTTTTCTGTCTGAAAAAACATATTTTTGCAGCTTGACCACTTTCATGACCAACTATTGAGTGTAATAAAGGGAGAGACTGGGAGCACATGCATGTGATTCAGCCACATATCAACGTGTTTTTCCAGGGTCTTGCCTCTGAAGTGATGAACAGGGAGTGTGCCCATGTGTGTTGTTTGTTTGTGGACTGATAAAAAAAGGACACAATACTAAACTGTTGTTAACAGCCCTTGAGGCCAGACAGTGAGCCGCATTCCTGCAGTACTGCCGAGGTGTCCAGGGCGACTGGGCCGATAGAGGGTGTGTGTGAGTGTGTGTGTGTGTGTGTGTGGCCGGGGGAGGAAGCACCGCAGGGGGGCCGGAGCAATCAGCCAAACTTTGGCTTCACTGGGTTCTCAGTTGCTACATTCACAATAGATCCCATAGCTCACTGCTAATGGCGGTGATCAAAGGGCTGTTTCCCTTTATAAAAGTTACCCTGCAATATATCAAATTATAGGTACTTGCACGCAAAGCTGGAGAGGCAGCAAGTCATGTGAAAAGAAGAATTAAAAAAAAAAAAAAATCGCAAGAAGCTGAAGTTGCTTGCGTTGCTTGCTAAAGTTGATGACTCAATTCAACATCATTTGCCAATAAAAGGTTTTTTGATGAATGTAGAAACCAGTGAAGATAAATAAATGATCAGTGCAGATAAATCTATCCAAACAAATGTGTTATGGCACATTTTTACACCACCTACATTACATTAATGATTACATAGTCACTTTTGCTCCAGAAGGCCGACCATCTGGCCGAGCTAATATGTATGATATGACATGCCGGCACTTCCACTGCCTGCTTTGTCATTTTCTTACCCCCCTCCACTAATGGCCATTTAGTGCACTCCGTGGCAGGTGTCTGTGGAGGCGGGATGCGCCATCTGTACTTTGCAGGTGGTTGAGAGCTCCAACTGTGCCCGTGTGCTCACCAGGAGCATGTCGTAGTTACAGGATTACATTTTAGAGGAGATTTTAAATGTTGTTTTTTAAATAAGATGTTTATCGCATATTTTTTAAGTGTGGATTTATTTGAAATCAGCAGGGAGATGGGAAAAAATGGGTGAGCAGTAATTAAAAAAAAAAAAGGCGGTGATTTTCTGTATGCGTGTGGTTTGTCACACACTGACTAAACACGCACACCTCTCCTTGTCTAAGAGAGTTTTGTCACCGGCTTGATAATGACCCATAACCTCTTGAGAGGCACCCAGTGGGCAGTTGGGTACAACAAACAAACAATAAACAGCTCAACAGGGATTGAGGATCACACACATCTGTGCTTTTCTATTTTCTCTTTTAAAAAGCATTCACCTTTCTTCCTCCCCCAAACCACATGCATGAACACACACACTCTCCCTTCCTGCCCCCTCGTCCTTGTTTAGAAACTCTAAATCAGACAGATTTCACAGATCTCGCCATTTTTTGGTCGGCAGTTGTGTGGAAATTGCAAATTGTACCGTGATCTACACGCATTCGATTTTGTCGACTAATCGTTTAGTTAATTTGATCGACAGATCTTTAAGACTGAGATTCTCCACAAAGATTCACAATTAAGCAACATTTAAATTCTTAGAAGTAGAAGGACAAGTTGTCAGAGATCACAGTGTCTCCCCTTCACAGTGAGCATGTCCTCAGTCCTGTCTAAGGATTATTGATTTATACTCGGTGTGTGCTGCTGCCCTCTAGTGGGAGATTAAATATGTGACCTACATAGAAGGAAGAGAGACAGCCAGAGGGACTTCAGGTCTGACTGATTGCTTATTCTCAAATTCTCTGAAACCAGAATCTTGACCGACTCCACAGCTAACAAAATACAAAACGGGGCCGGCCTCTTTCAGATCTTTCCAATTCCTGTGTTCTTTCCACGGTGTTTGGAGGAAAGGCCTAATAGGCAAATAAGAGAAAACAGATCAACAAGATCACAGTTGAAACAGCAACTCGTATCTACTGTACTTTGTTAGTGAGCCTGTTTTGAATGAGGGAGTTAAAATGTCATTTTGCCCATGAAATCTAAAGTTGATAAGTTAATGCAGAGGCGCACCCTCCCACCTGCTATAAAAAGTTAGTCACAGATGACTGCAGGAAATCTCTTACAATGTTCTCACCTTCAGTAAACAGTCCCTATTTTTTTTGTCAGAACTTCTGTTGCCATTGTATCTGCTCGTAAACATGCCATGGCTTCTTAGTTTATACAATACTTTCAAAATCAAGAGACAATGCTGAAAATATAAAATAAATTAGTTTTTTAAAGAAAGTATTTTGTTATTCAAGTAATCTAAAAAACAAACATAATATTAAAAAGAAAATAAGTATACGGTATTTCATTTATTTTTTTGAATGTGGTTTAAAATTGTTCTTACAAAAGGCACATTTTCTTCTGAAAATAAACATTACTTTAACTGCAACTGTTAACAGCCATTTACTGCAGCGGAAGAAGCAGAATCCCCTTCCTCGTCTATGACCACATGAGCAGGTCTTAGCTGTTGTAGCTGCGGTTACTTCTCTTGCTAGACATAGTTTGAACTGAAAGTGTAAGAACTGCAGTTGTGTGGAACTGGTGGCTGCTGTCGACTCAAACAGGAGAGAAGTGTTTCCCACAGGATTTTTTGAGACTATGTCGGGTGGACCTCCGATCCTGTGGCAGGGCACCCTCTGGCTGAACATTACACCATGCAGTTACAAAGTGTGACTGTTTACAATTGTAAAAAAAGCCACAAAAAAATGTCACGCTGAAGCTATTTCACAGATTAAGTGTGCCAAGTGGAAAAGCATTATGTGTAGAAATGGTGGCATCAACATCCATGAATCTGTATATAAATAATTAACTCGGATATCAGAGGGTGATGCCATTCATTTCACAGTTTAGAAGCAACTCACTCAGTCCCTCAAAAGGTGTCAAAATGTTTATTTAATTGTTAATAAGCTAAAACTGTCGTTTGGCTCCATCAGTTTATTCATCTAACTTCACGTCATTAAAGTAAACTGCTGCAGGATATCTGTTCATGTTTTGTGTAGCTGAGCGCCTAAAGCGGTGGTTTGAATGCCATTGTCTTTACAGTTTGTCGATTGCTGTCTATTGTATATTGTATATTGTATAAAGTAAAAACATACAAACATGCGTGCACAAAAATAGACCGTAAAACCCCGGGCTACATGGAGACAGCCCTGCCTTTAGCACATACGCAATTTAACTGCATATAATTGAAGCATACAATTCACGTACTTTGTGCGGCTGCTGAACAAAGGACATGGCTTTGAGGTGTACTGTGTGTTTACCAATGGCAGCGCACGCCTCCATGTCAAATACAAACTGGTCCTACTTTCAATAAAAGGTGCTGCCGGCGCCTCCCCCAACCTTGTTCATCCACTATGCTCGTTCATCCTCTTTGTGTTCATTTACAAAAGTGTAGTGGACAAAAAATGTCAACCAAGACCCGACCATCTAATATTAGTTAACAGCTCTATTAAAGCAGCCAGCAGAGGCAGTGTAGATGCCACAGTGGAGCAGTGTGGGGAACAGCACCCTGTAGCTATAGCAGCTTCACACAAAACAGCTTCTACAGCCAGAGAAGGAACAGCAGGAGAGTGACGAGGTAGAATCCTGGGTGCTGTAAAACACTGATAACATGCCGATAGTTCCTGTCCTCCTATACATACACTAAATGATGTATTCCTTTCTGGCCCACATAAAGATCTCAGCGTCTAATTCTCTCAAAGCACGTTAATTTAAGAAAAAGGGGCTTTGTGATGTTACTGCAATTATTCTACAGAACAGTACAAACTCTGAAAATTCAACCTGGCTGCAAGGCCAGTGAGTCAGCTTGATGGTGATGACAAGATGTGTGAAGTCGAAGAACAAATGGTTCGATTTTCTCACGAATTTTCTCTTTAGTCACGAGCGTATATGTGCGGAAGTGAGACAAATAAAAGAAGAAGAGAGAGAATGAACCGACGACTACTACTATGGGGGTGCAGGAAAACCGTGCGTCAGAATCAACAGTTTTGATAATGTGTATTTTTCATGCTTTAGCAAATGCACAAACATTTTAGATAATCAGCTGTTTAGTCCTGAAAACACAGCCATTACATTTCCTCTGAGCGACTTGTAAATTGTTGTTTGCAGCTTGTAATGCTGCTAAACAACCAAGGCAGCAGCTGGACGATGCAGATTCTATCGGGTTTTGATGCATCGCTGACAAACCAAATAAACCTAAATGTTGTATATTTAGGACAGTGAATTTCTAGTGATTTCATCTGCTTATTTCAACATTTTGCGCGTGTCCCGCGTACACGTATCCACACCAGTGTGAAAAAGAGTCAGAATTGGTCTCCCATGCGGATCTCTGTGTTCTGTGGTCTCTCAGGGCTTTATGTAACCACTAGGGAGCTAAGCTGAGGCTTATGATGTGCGGGATTCACAACACCACGCAAACAAAAGCCTCACACATGAGTTACACTACAGAGTCAGGTTTTATCATCAAAAAAACAACTTCCTCTTTACTTCTGCATGATGTGACCTTTCTCTCCAACACATCCTCACACTCATCTCCTCCTCATGTTCTCCTCTCTCTCTCTGATGCTGCCGCCAATTATTTGAGCCAAGTTTGTATCCTCTCCTGACGCAGACCCATCTAAATTATTAATCCTGCAGAGCACACACACACACACCGACAGACATAAATAAACAGTCAGTCACACACACACACGCTAGTGCACTCATATATACACAAGATGTTTCAATTTCTCTCCCATTTCTACTGCGCCATTGAAACACGGCGTGTGTGCCAGCAGTGCGATGTCATGCCATGGAAATCAGAAAAATACGATTTATTTTTTCCGCAGCTTGGCTCTTTCGTTGAACGAAGTTAGATTCAGTGATGAAGATGAAGGGCGAGAGAGAGAGAGAGAGAGAGAGAGAGAGAGAGAGAGAGAGAGAGAGGGGGAATGTCGTCTAAGTGATTAAAGCCGGTGTGGGGGCGACGCGTGTGTGTGTGTGTGTGTGTTGCAGACGCAGCAGTGGATTAAAAAAAACACAGAGGATCAGACCGTACCATAGTTGTCAGAGGTATAGATGGAGGGAGAGCGAGGACCAGAGAGGCAGGAGAATGGGACAAGAAAGGAGCAAATTAGAGGAGATACATGAGATATGGGGGAGGAGAAGGAAAGCACAGACGCAATAAGGCAACTGGGGAAAAAGAGGTGGAGCGGAAGAGAGAAGCGGGCAACAGGATACTGAGGTCAACTGGAAATAAAAGAGGCAGTGACACAGAACGAATGTGCAGTGAGGATGTAAAGGAAAGCAGAGAAAGAATGGCAGCGAGTCAGTCAGTGCATTTACATGCACGCTTGTTGTGTTACTGTCATTTAAAACTGAAGCAGGTTGTCTTCGTAGAATTGAGGTTGCAATTCATCAGTATTAATCAATCTTCAATTTACTCTTGTCCAGCTTAATCTTTACTGTTTTCATTCAGAAATCACACAAGTCATAAAGAGTCAAAAATATATTGTCTCCATTAACTGCTTTTGTCTATAAAAGGCGACGTCTTTTCATTCCTTGTTTCGTCCGACCGAAAGCCCAAAATCCAAAGATACTCAATTTACAGTATTAGAAGCATGAAATCCTCACATGCTGGAACCAGACAATATTTCACATTTTTGCTTGAAAATTAACTGAAAATAGTAGCTGGCATTTCATTGCAGGGTACCAGACATCCTTACATCCTTTTTACTCTAATGTAAAATGACCTAATCTTACCATCTCAAGTTATTTATGCGCATATAAATAAAGTTAGTCGGTCAGTGGGTTGAGGAAACCGACCTCCCCTGAAGTAGTGAACACGTCTGAAAAGATTCGGGTTCAGCTATAATGTGATCAAACGAAAACGAGCTTGTGTGTGTGTAGCGAATGCAAACCTGCATGAAGTGTGTTTGTGTGTGTGTGAAATCTGTATGCAGTATATATATCATACCATGCGGACGGTGCCTCTTCTTCACCGTGCAGCGACCTTCCTCGTTCTCCTCAAACAGGGCGAGGCAGTGGCCACATCGGGAGGAGCCAGGCCTGCAGATGTGGCGTCTCTCTTTAGCACAGTCTATATGGTGAGGGCACTTACTGCCAGCTGGGAGAGAGAGAGAGAGAGAACACAACACTTTCATTCGTATCCAAACAACAATAATGTGATGCAGAAATTGGGCTTTTTAATGAGGTAGTTAGACAACAAGTCTTTGTGTGGAAAAAGTGCGATAAAAAAAGGCTCTCAATAAGAGATGCTTCAAATTTTCATTAGTGAATGTGTGAGCTCTTCCTGCTGTAACCTCATCAAGGCGTCCATACGGGCATGGTTTGCCAGATAGGACAAGAATGTTTGGATAGTAAGAAATTTGTATTACATTTGTATTTCTTTTTCTGCATTTCACAATGTGGTGAGCCCCACCTGTTATGACAATCGGAGTCAGGTTAAACCAAAGTAAAGAGTGATCGGGAGCTGCACTCTCACAGATCGGCCCTCAATCACGGTTCGATAAATAGACTATTTCGATATATACGCGCAAACACACGCAGGAAGGAGTGGGTCGCAGGGCCACAGCAGGTGTGTTTGGTAGCAGAGGGCAGGAGGAGCACTTGAGTGCAGAGCGGATAATGAGCCCCGGCAGAGCTGCACAGGAAGCCGGCTAAAAGGTGAACAGCACAGTGGGTGTTTACACCGACATAACAGACAGCAGGTGAGATATGGAGGAAAGATGAGCCCGGTGTCTTTGGGGGGGATAATGGGTCTCAAAAGGTCAGGGTTGTTCAAGTCTAGAGCTGACAGGAAAAAAAAGGGGGGTGAGCTTGGTGAGTGTATTTAAATGATCTACTGAAGAGGGCAAACAGGTCTACTGTATAATTCACTTCGATGTGGCTTTAATAAATCACGACTCACTGAGGCGTTATGAGATACAATATTGCATCTTCGGCGTGTTTTTTCTTGAGCACTGCTACTAAGTGCGGTCATACGTCCTTTCTAAACCAGGATTACACATTCATGACAGGAAATCACTGAGAAATCATGGCAACAAGGCCTGTAACACCAGGAAAGGATGCTTTTGATGCTGCAGAGATGAAGAGCAGATAGAAGAGTGGCAGAGGACTTGCCTTTTGTATCTGTGTACACATGCGTAAATGTGCATGCATCCTTTCATCGATACATTTCTTTATCGAAATAAAAATAGACCATGGGTATTCCAATATTTAATATTTACTGTTGTGTCTCTCAATTTTTGAAATGTGCTCATTACTTTGCACTTGTGTGGATTGACTACATATGTCGGACCGCCCGAGGCAGACTGTCGGACCTTGTTGCAATAAAATGAGAGGTTTATGCTCTGGTGCTCGGAAACACTACCGCTTTGGTCTACGGGAACCGACAAAATCAGAGTTCCTCGTAGTAGCTTTATGACGCACTGAAAAGGGAACGTTACAACATTATGAAAGGATTCACCGATTCAATTTGTGTTCACAATACTGGTTGCTCGAGACAGATACAAACATCTGTTTTGAACTTCTTTCATCAAATCCTAAACATAAATCTTAAAACCTTATGAACTAAAAGCTAAAGAAAAGAAATAACCAACAGCTAAAATGAGCAAATCCACGCTACTGGAAACTAAAACATTAAAGAAACACTAATGAAAATCTCAATCTTTCAACAACATCACACATTTGGATTGCAAACACCACAGACGGTAGACCCCCCTCCCCCGCCGACATACACATTTCGACTAATCTAAACATCGCAACAACACCAGGGAGCTGGACGCACACACACACACACACACACACACACACACACACACACACACACACCCACATCTTCTCATGGTCTGCCTCAGGGAGTGAGCGGTGGAGTGACGCATGTGTAATCTGAGAAGGCTTTGTTTTCTGTTCGTGTCAAAGACACAGAAGGAGCAGGAGGATGGGGATGTTTCTGTAACATCTGTATAGCTGAGGGGCCAATGGCTTATTCACTACCATAAAACTAACCTGCAGGTATACAGACAACTCCCACAGCGTCTTTGGTCGTTGTTTAACGTCTCATTTCCCCCCACCCACAGCTTGGCAACAACTCTGTCACTTCTGTGTTTAATTGCGGCCTCACCTGCGATGCCACGTTACTCCACATCCTTGAGTGTGACATGCTCATGTGCCGAGCCTCACTCTGTTTGCCGTTTTCTCTCCTCTTCCTCCCCCAGTTGTCGTGGCTTCTATTCTTACATGGCACGTGGCCTCCTTTTAATTTCCCTCCAGGTATCTATTTCACGTGTTCTTATTGATTACCGTCGAGCCCCATGACCTTATAGAAGACATTAATGTCACTGGAACTAGATCTTGGGCACGTGCCTGTGCAAGTCTTATTCTCACTCAGTCAAAACATGACTGAATGTGTTGGCTGAATGGCTTTAGTCTCAGACTTTTTTTTTTTTTTTTTTAAACATACGCACAACGATATGTTCACATGTGTACAACAATATGTTCACATGTGCTATCATTCAAATGTCTGACAGCCAGAGATGGGAACAGCTCTAGAATGAAAGTGTCTGCAGTGAAGCAAGACACACATACAACTCAGTATCACAGGAGAGCGTACAGAGATATTGTTGCAATTAAGTAGCAATAACGCATCGCAAGAGACGGTATCTCAGTAGAAAGCTGAATCATTCGGTGCATTTGTCCAGACTCCACATATCATCATGCACAGAAAAGACAATTTGTAAATCCTGGCACGTACAGTAAAGGAGTCCCTGGTGTCTCAGACAAAAAAAAAAAAAGGCATTAAATCCCTGTTATGAAAGCGAGAAAGCAATGGCCTCTATATTTCAGAAATCGGCCGTCTTTATTATAATGGAGCTAGCATCTCAGCACCTCCAGCCAGCACTTCATCGGTTATTCATCACGTTGGATGTTAATATGGTGCAGTCACATGAATGCAGAGAATTATTCTCCTCACTCACACACACAAGCAGCCATATATACACAAACACACACCCAGTCACCAACCGACTCTGTGCGTGCTTCATCGTGACTGTGTGAGACGTGGAACGGTGAGAAAACAAAGTGTGAAAAGTAGGGAAGAGCTGTTGTTTTTTAAACACTATATGCCAACAAATATGGATTGAAACACAATACATGTTAGATACATGTTGTGAATTTTGGCAATACTACTTCCATCTCTTTTGAATAAATTTGGACTTTACCAAATGCAGCCACCACTGAAATGTAATAATTCTACTAATTTTAAATTATTAATAAAAATAGTGTTGCTAAACTTTAAATACTAGACATGCAAAAAAAGGCCAGATTATGAATGATGCTTCAAAGCTTCAAACTTGTTGGTATTTTACCAAACTCACAAATACATAATGGAACTTTTTCTAAACACAGACGAACCTATGAAGATGCTCATAATGATAATTACATGTCAAAGCAGCTCAAATCTCTGTGCCAGGATAACAAAGGAGTCGCACAAGTGAATGTCAAGTCGCCACAGGTGGGTGGACTTGAGCCGGCGTGCCTCCCACATGGAGCCGCCGCTAATTAGAAAACTCAATCAAGGAGGAAGATGAATAAGAAATCGAGAGACAGACTGGGAGATGGAGATGGAACAGACACGTTCCTGTGGTACATCGAGTCGTTCGTTATCGGCGAAGACGGTGGAGGTGTGGAAAAAAACATCACGTAACTCAGGGACACAGAAAGCAGCCCTTGGAACGAATGAAAAATGACTTTCTTAACCATCTGCTGCTGCTGCTGTTGCCAGGCTGTTGCGCTCAGCAGCAGCTCTGCCAGAGAGAGCTGAGAGGTAAACAGAGGCATTGTCACAGCCTGGTGAACATCCACACACCCACACACTTTCATGTCACCATTAACTTGTGCTCCTTCAAGCTGTTCCACAGCTACTATACAATAAAATGTCACCCAAATCTGTAATAGTGTGTGTGCATGTGTGTACGTGAGGGAGATTTAGAGAAGTAGGAGGAAATGGGTAGGCCATACACTCCCATTGTGCGCCTTTCCTGACTCTCTGATAGCAGACAGGAAGTAAGACAAACACTCCAAATCAAGTGGAAACATTGAAGAGCTCTGCTCGGTGCTCTTCACTTGATATATTACCACACTTTATTTCCACATGGATAACGTGCGTGCGTGTGCTCATGTGCAACCATGCTCCTGTTTATCCAACGGGCCTCACTCCAAAAATGACAACAGCAAACAAATGCCAAGCAGCCTGTTTCTAGTTTATTGTTTTAATAGGCATCAGTTGGGACAAGTACTGCTATATGCTGCGAGTCAGGATTCGGCAATATGACAATATGCTGTGTAAGCCATAACCAGTCAGATATTCTGCCGTACTAATTATAGAGTGGTAGCTATCCTTTGTGACTGCTGGCCAAACGTCATCTACTCCATCCAAGGGCACAAATATGGGATTTGTTGGACAGAAATGCAGTTATACGGTTTTGAATATTTTCTATGAAAACTTAATTTACAGTCTTTTATGATGAAGTGACAGATTTTTTTTAAGGATCCATTTTAATAGTTTTAAAAAGGGATTAGCATACAAACTAACTGTTCTGTGTATTCATCTTATCCAAAAACAGGTTCTCAATTGATTATCCAGAAAAGTTTCAATATCTTATTAAATACAATATGATATTGTCACGTAAAATAACATATACCGCAATAACATATTTTATATATAAATATATAAAACATATATGGATATAGTGCAGTGTAGTAGTGGGCAATATACACAATATCCACTCCAATACAACCCAATAATCTCAATTAAATAACATTTTTAGATCAGTAACTGTAATAAAGAGGGCAAATAATGGGGCAGACAGAAGAACGAAACAATTGTGTGATCAGGATTTAAGCATATATGAAACTGTTAGAAATAGAAATAACAGTTGAGCATATGGAAAGAAAATGTATTTTCCTTGCTCAGCTAAAAAAAACACAGCATATCATAACAAAAATGAGCACATTTCGTACAGGTCCTTGTTCCGTGGCTTTGCGTGGCCAAGGAATTAATCGGAAAATTGCTCATTCAGCTCTGACTCTTTAACAAAAACAGCCACATAAACTTACACATAGCTTCACTTCCCAGTAAAAAGGTGTCAGAAAGCCACGAGCCTACGTCAGATGACTAACTGTGTGGAAACTGTCTGCCTTATCAGTTTCAGTTACCAGTGTAGTGTAGGTGTTGAGTTCCCACCATAATCTGATTCAGTGACTCCTACATGTAACTTTTTTTTTTGCCACACTTCGTGGAAAAAGGGTGCGTGACGTAGCACCTGTTCAACACACAAGACACAGATCATAATGCTGAGGAAGGAAATAGGAGTAGTGTTGGTTACGTGACTTTAAGGTGAAAAGGAAATGAAAGTAAAAAAAAAAAAAGTCAAAGAATTTCATCACCAAAAGAACTCAAGGTGAAACCAGTCTTTGTTTCCCCTCTCACGTGGAGCCGTCGTGTCTCTCCTGCGTTATCTCGCTCATCATTTTTCTTTTCTGTTGCAGCAGCTTCTTTTGTGTCACACAATGCCGATTTGAAATCATTACACAGAGCGGATAATTACTGTGTCATTATCGTCAGAGTGGGGCAGAGCAGCACACCCCGCAGCAAACAGAACAACGGTTGAAGGGAATTGTACAATGGCAGCAAGTATGTATGTGTGTGCGTGTGTATGTAAAAGCTTCCGAAATTTGTCTTTTTTGTTATTTTACCTTTTTCATGGTCGTCATGTTTGTTAGCCTCTGGATGGTCCAGTTGTTAGAATAGTCTTGTGTTATGTAATACTGCGTATTCAATAACTGGATTAACCAATGCAAACAAAAAACCCCAAATTGATTGGGCTGATTTGGCTCACAATTGCCGTCAACTTAGTTTTTCAATAGCAAACCTGTTGTATTGTTTCACCCGGTGTCATGTTGTCAAAATAACTTGCTGCGATATCTAGGACAGAGAGATTTCTGGGTATGAGCAATAGTGTCAGCATTTTTTGGGGTGCATTCTTGGTAAGGATGTGGCTACACACACATGCAAAGTTGCACATGCAAAACCGCTGACATAGATAAACTGTCTCTTTTCTGATTAAACCCAAAAAAAAAAAATCAAATCAATTTTGATCGAAGGATTGGTTTGGAAAAAAAGACAACTGCCTGTATACGACAACTAAGGTTACGGTGTAGTCCTGAAAACTAAATGAGAATAGTGCGTCTCATTCCGGCTGAACTGTGCCGACTCTGGCTTAGATCAGATGTCTGCGAGCGCTCTGTAAGTTGATTAATTGTGGCCCTCTCATTTCCTGGAGATGTCTGGTAGCCGTGCGGTCTCACATGAAGGTCGGGGGGGAGATAGAAAGAACGAAAGCAACACAGAGCAGTGGTTTAAAAAGGAGCCACAGCAAAGCCTTGGCTGACCACTTATTTTTCAGACCTCCAAGTTGAGGACCACAATGGGAAAGATCAATAATATCTTTCCTGACTGTTGCAATTTCTGTATGATGGTTACCACCATATAATTGGGTCTTTCATCTTTTCTCTCACTGAAGAATGCTGGTAATGTCTAATCCCCTCGAAGACCACACACAAGCTACAAAACAGATCCATTTGAAAAGCAGAGGAAGCACTTGTTAGCTTTAAACTGCATTTTCTAAATGACTTCCTGGCAGCACTGACTTCAATATAAATCTAATGTGTGGAGAAAAAGAGGCAGATTTAGTGATTTGCCATCGGAACCTTTTAGATGTGGTGTTATTTTTTGTTGGCAAATCTGACAAATAACAATGCCATGTAACCATTAACTAGTCTTTTAATCGCATACTAACATAGATACACTAAATCTGCAGTGACGATACAAATGCTTAAGCATATAAGCCCTCATCTGTGCTCTTTATGCCGCATGCAGTTTGCTTTTCATAGCTCTCAATCCCATCTACAACATCCGCAGATGACTAATTAATGCTGCAGGGCAACAAAAAAAAGGTGATTGAAAAACACTGCAGCCAGTGTGTGTGTGTGTGTGTGTGAGACACTGAAGATATTAATCGTTAAAGATTAATCCTGGTGGAAGGAAAGGCCGGAGGCAGTGGGTCTCTGAATAATCATCGCACCAGCTCACTGTGGGTTCGGTGAATGACAAACCTGGCATTTAAACGTGGCGGCACAACAATGGTCCGGGTGAATTAGAATATTGAGAATTGATGTTGATACAGGGAAATGATAAAAATTACAGCAGCAAGAACCTTCATATATATATATATATATATATATATATTCGTGAAAAAGTTGATTATTCTGCTGCTAATTCGACAGCAAGCATACAAGACATTTATGTGATCAAATGGGTTCATGGAGATTTTGGACAACTTCAATCCCAAGAACCAAATGTTCCGAGAAAGCTTTCTGGCATATTTACACATGATGAAGTGTCGACGTTTGCTGAATCAACCGACCTGATTACTATGCATTTCATGCTGTTGTCACACTCCAGCGAAGTCACCCTGAAACCTGAGTCACTGTTAAAACTGAGTGTGCTTTTTGTGGTTCTGCAGATGCCTCCAATACGATATCAACGACAAATAAAGTACTATTTCCTTAAAAAAGTGCCCGTGGAGTAGATATGACACCATCTTTCCCCCCTCACAGATTTGTTTTTCAGCCCTGGGGATGGGAAATGATGTTATTCGGATTGATGAATTTGGATGAAAAGCATAAAATCGCTTCACAAATTTACAGAAGAATAAAAAAAAAAACCCCACTGAAACTGCGACACATCCTCTCCGTCGTGCACCAGCAAAATTAAGCTTCACACCATCGTGATATCACGCACAGCCTCCGGTGAAGCCGGAGTGGACCACGACGACTGCGTGGATGGGTTTATGTTTTGGTGGGAAAAATATATCAAAGTCTATATATTCACAAAGGTCTGTGTCCAGGTCCAGTCAATACATGTTCAGTGCGAGTGTGAGTGTGAGTGGGGGTGTGTCCTCAGATAAAGGCTAAAGATTACAGGAACCCAGCTGTTGGTTCTCCCACATGGTTTCTGTGTTAAAAGCTCAGAAGCAGATTATCTCCGCAGCAATCATCCCTGTGTGGAGACCCATTACACGCTCACACAGACTGCACTCAAATATGTTTACAATATCTAAAAAACTCTTTCCAGATTAACCAGTCACTCAATTGAGAAAGTATTAACTGATGCATGCCACAACCAGTTGCTTGGCATTCACATTTTCCAAATGTGGAGCAAATTATTAGTTTTTTTGTGGCTGCTGCTCAGATGAAGTAAACAGTAGGTTATTGTCTTCTTTAAATTACACTCAGGTAGAGGTAATATATACTGGTTAATCAGCTAATCAAAGCAATACTCAATCAAACAATAAACAATACAAAAAAAGCAGCTCTATATCACAGTATAAGAATACTTGTATGGCTATTTCCACATGGGTGTCCTATTGAATTGGATTGATTAATGTATGTCTGGGCTAGATTAGTGTAATAATAACAAAAAACTAACCTGTGAGCACACAAGGAAATACATTGAGTAAAGTAACAAGGAAGGGAATTTGTATTTGTTCACCCTTATCCTTTCTTTGTGCTCTTGTGTTACACTAAGAGGTACACCTACCTGTCTAGCCTGTCCAAAACGTCCATCTAAACCTAAACTTTATCAAAAATGACAACGATTAAAATAAAGGCAAAAAAACACGTGTCTCCCTAAAAACGTTACGCAGTGAATTAAAAAAAAAACCAAAGCCGCTTGTCTTGCTGTTTGTCACAAGCTCATCAGTCAAAGACGCCCCAGTGACGGGGATTCATTAGACAGATGACTTACACTAATTGCTGCGTCTGGTGCTGGCTGTGTGTTGTTGTGTATTTACCTGCAGGGCTCGCGCTGACAGCGGCGACACAGTGGAGGACCACGGCGAGTAGCAGCAGCAGCGAGGCCCGGCGCAGGCGTCCGTTCTGCGGGCTGGAGAGCAGCAGCAGCAGCAGCATCCTTGGTGGTGTCTTCTCGGCGTCGGAGAACCGCAGACGGGTAAGGAGTTTGTTGTCATTCCCCCATCACATCTGTCTTGTGTTTTGTATTTTCTGTGGGCTTTTTGTTTTTTGTATCTTTAGCGCAAAGTAGGCTGCACACACACACACAGCGGTAAACCTAGCTGGCCAAAGACGCGACGCAGTCTGTGACACACTGCGCACTGTAATCCGTGGCAGTGCTAAAGATAGCGGACCTTCAAGCAGGGTAGGAGGTAGGAGGTAGGGGGGGTATGCTCGTATGTGCGTGGGTTTGACATGCTGCCTTCAGGTCTCCTCGTAAAACCCACAATATAAACAGATTTATCACTTAACAGACAGCAGAAGTGTGTTTTCCACATTATTATCATCATTATATTTTTATGCGGACGGTCAGAGACTGACAATCCATTAATAACCTGTTCAAATGTGTGCATATTTCTACTCAAGTAAAATATGACAAACGTCTAACGGAGCAAACAACTGAATTGTAAATTGTGCAATCACTGACAACAAAATAATGATTATTGATTTTGAACTTCAGTTTTTGACATACACCTTTAAATCATTTTTTATGCCTTTATCATAAGATCCACCTCATGCGTCTGCAAATTCTTACACTCGAGATGTCACTGTTTCCCACAGCACCTGAAAGCAGCAGTGTACTGAGGGATTACATAGATGAGAGGAGGTACGTGAGACGTGATGACGTGTAAACCGGTTTATTGGTTAAAATAACATTATTATGTGTTTGGTTACATGGTTTACACACCGCTAGAGATGTGCTGATAAAAAGGGATAATATTATTTACATGCTGTTGAGTTCACAACTTATCAACCAATTATGTATTTATGTCTATCAATTTATTCATCATTAAACAACACAGATTGGCTAATAATAGCCTGATGGCGATAGTGGTGGAGGGAGAAAGGTGATTATCAAGTAGTTTATTTGCCAATTCAACAGGATGTAGCAGGTGCAGTAAAAGGATGCCACAAGACATATTTTATGAATGTATACACAAATAAAAATGAATGCCAGCTGGTGACAGTTTGTGTACTTGGAGCTGAAAGACCAAACAAAAAAAAAGGCCGAAATTCATTGACCAGGGCAGAAACAAAACCACCATCACTTGACAGCAGCTGGTTCTGTCAGTTATCAGATATAAACTACCACCGGTAGAATAAATCAATGTACCAACTCTGAACAGTAACAGTATAAATGTTTATAAAGTATACTACCGGGGAACTTCAGAACTGTTTGCGTGTGATTTCATGATATAACATGTGTGAATCATTTGCACTTATCAGCTCACCGCGGTCATTATCAATGACGTCATCTTGAACGTCATTTCGTACGATTGTGCTCTGAAGCAGCTGTTTCTATCCGGCACAAAAGGTTTCAAGGTCTGTCTCATCTTCTGCTGACATTACAAAAGAGAAAAAAAAAAATAATTCACAGTGGCATTTGGTTTTCTGAACACACGATACATCCTCATGTTTCCTCTCTGAATGCTTCACAGGAAACACATAGTGATGCTAAAATAACTTCATGTAACGTGAAGAGATTCAACTACAAAGAAGATCTTTCCTACCGATGTAACATCCAGTGATGGAGTAGAACATTTTACAGTCAAAATACAACTTCACTGCTGAAGTTCAAGATTAGATTACTTCAATAGAACAAAATATTATATTCCACAGCTGTTAAAAATGCAGTCATTTCAATCTATAATGCAGGAAAAACACAGGCAAAAGCTTTGATAATTGTGATTTCAAATTTATTGAAAGGACTGCCTCGGCTCACAGTCGGAAAATAAATACAGAGAAGATGTGAAACGGAAACTGGAGCCACGTTATGCTTCTTTTTTGGCACTTGACTTTCAGCCACTGATCAACAGAAATCTTAAGAGAACAGCTGAAACTCAAATAGCATGAAAAATTATTAAAAACATCTGCGGTGGTTTTCTCTGTGTGAACTGTAACACACAGTCCTGAGGTATACGGGTCGGCAAAAACCTCACACAGGCAAAACAAAAAAATGAATGTTGGATTAAGACGTGAAATTAACTTAGCAGCATCAAAAACATACTCTGGCATGAAAAGTGTTTTCCCCCCACACAAACATAAGCTCACATTTAATGTAACACACACACACACACACAAACAAACAAAATCATGCAACACATTATTAGAGAGAATGAGCTGATAAGAGTTCTGCATATTATTGAACAGTTACATAAAGTGAGTCCTCATAATATACGGTTCAGTTTGTGTAGAGAGTAGAAGCGATGTACAGGATTCAATAGGCCTTTCTGGTTTGACTGTTTTAGATGATGACAATCTAAATGTATGACTCACTAACTATTAGTTTTTTTTGGTTTTCAAACTATCCTTGTAGAGTTGTCCATATGGGCTAAAAAAAACGTTGCATCGGTGCACAATGTAAATTGGACGATAAATGACTTATTGCAACACAAACAAATGGCGTAGACGATCATCATACCCGTGTTTCAAAGTGCAAAGCAGTCTGGGACCGCAGACCAACCTGTGCCGCTGCCTCTGGAACTAAACATACAGACTTACATAAAGACTTCAGTTGCAAGAAAACCAGCTTTGGTCATTTTTGTTTGCAATGCTTTAAGATGGTTCATCATGTTAAAGATGGCTTTAACATGATGAATTACAATTCAATGACTACAAAGTTATTTATAGGCTGGAAAACAGCCTGAAAAACCCAAACTTCATTTCTTAAAATTCATGGTGGCTGATCCTACAGACCTTTTATTCCGTGCATGATGACTCTGTAAGAAAAGTAGGGTTTCATCAGAGAGCAATGTTGCAGACTCACATACTCACACTAGAAAAAAAGAAATGCACATTTCATCAAATGAGTCAACCAGGCAAACTGCATTCACTCTCGAAATTCCCTGAAGATATTTACTAGTACAAAAGAAAACAAACTTCCTAAATTGGCCCCAGCTCATCTCCTTCATCTTCCATTGTTATATTATTGAGAGGCTACGGTGGCTAACCCCACCTACTGGCCAGGTGATATTCCACTCCCCACCACTGAATACTTAACAGTCGCTGTTGGAAGTGAAACGGTGCTCTCCACTTTAAAAACAAACTGCATTGCATAAAAACCTAGCTGAGTACATGTTTGCTTTATCTATGTTTTCCTCTAAGGTGAGCTCATTATAAATTCTAGTCAGTGATCCATGTCCTTATCATCAAGGACACTTTGTATGTGCCAAGCAACACTACAGGCTGGGGTGTGGGCAACACCAGCCCGGCCATCTTAACCTACAGCTTCTGACCTCTAACTACCTAGTTTAGTCTCATGACGTCCCTCATTTCAGCAGTTTCAGTAAAAGCTCCACTTTGATTCTTTGTCTAACAAATGCAGTACCATCTTTAGGGTTAGAAGTCGAGACAGGATGTGAATGTGGTGTTCACACTGCTTTCCTCTCCTCCATCGGTTGTAAACATGGGTCAGTTAGGGCTCCGTGTAGGCAGTGAGGGGCTCTGAGGCGCACGCCATTCAGAAACTGACGAGAAATCAGTGTCAGGAAACTCGACTGCTTACGGGATCAGCAGTGGTCAAGGTTTTGCGTCTGGTCTACTGTTAAAGTTTGCGGTTTGAGAGGACTCGGCCGAACACGGTTCAGTTCTGTCGTTCTCCGCTGCCTTTGAGCAGAACTGCTGTGGTGGTTGTTGTCGTCCTCTCGGCTCTTCTTCTTCTTCCTTTAGAAACACCTCCTGTTTCTCCAAGACGAACTCCAGGGTGGGCCCTCTGGTCGATCCGTCCTCCAGCTCCCCCTCCTCTGCCAGACGGAATTTGATATTCATGCCGACATGTTTTTCTGTCTTATCTGGACAACGAGGAGGCGAAACAAGAACAGAGAGAGGAATTACAATTTGATCAAAGAGGCTTTTCTCATGGGATTTGTTGACAATAACAAAAATACAGAATATCGCCAGCCTTATCCTGTAATCCTCCTCACCATGGCCCAGCTGCCTCTCCTTGGGCAGCAGCAGCACATCCACATTGTGATGTTCCTCCAGAGCTGCTGTGAGCACGGCGCCCTCGCGGCTGAACAGGAAGACCAAAGGCAGGGTGATGTCTTCAGTGGAGTCGCCATCTCCAACCATCTGGAAGAGGGGAGTGTCCTCGCTATTACTTCCCTCGCGGTGGTCTGAGGAAGGGAATAAGGGAGTGATTTGAACAATTAAAGTTCCATGAGGTCACGAGTCACTCTAACCTATGCGTATTGAGCTTTGAGGTGGAGTTTCAGCTCCTCTGGTACTCATCCTCACCTATAAAGATGACTCCTATGGCCCCAGCTTCCTGCAGCCAACGGGCCTTTACAGCAAACATGCAGTCACCGCGCAGTGCCAGAGCGATGTGCCCTTTAAGCTCCACTGCACTATCTATTGGCTCACATGCAGTGTAGGGAGAGGCCTTCACTATGCTGCCCTTCACCTGCGGCACAAAAGTTTGTGTGTTATTACAAGTGCAGGTAAAACAAAACAGGTAGCAGTTGCATGGATCAGAAGAGATCTGTAATGTAATTGTAGGAGTCCATTGTCCATCATTTCGCGTTATCATCATCAAACACCTGTTTCTTATAAGAGCTACAGGACTTGTTGACACTGTGTACTGTATTATGGTCACATTGGAAGCTCACCCCGTGCTCCTGCTTGGTGAGGTCCATCCCAAACTTGGCAGGTCCCGCTGTGAAGACTGTCCTACCCAGAAACGGGGGGGATATGAGCTGGACAACGTGGGGCAACACTTCCTCCTCCTCCGTGGTGTGGCTCACCTCTGCCACAAGTTTCACCCGGTACACTCCTTTATGCTCCTAAAAGGGATTCATATTTAGAAGCTCTGTCATTTATATTCAATGTTTTCCCATGATGCCAAGTGACATGTTTGAGTTAAGAGTTAAGGGACATTCTGTGACAATGTTATGCTATAACCAGTTACATTTCTATCATGGTTTATCAGGGAATCTGTGGACATTGGGAATCTGGTATAGTTTAGTAACATTTCAGGCATTTTTTACAGCCATGCGTGTATTCATTACCTTCACCCTAGACAGGCAGAACTTAATGTCATGAGGTGAGTACAAAGTAAGTAGAATACCTTCAGACTTCCTGTTTGTCCTGCAAACACCTCATTGAGCGGGGTGAGAGAAATACCCATGCTTCTCAAGAACTCTACTGGCTCCATCCCGTTATCATGGAGCGGTAGTTCAATTTCCCTGTGAAGCACAAACACACCCAAGTTAAAACTCAAAGTAATCAAGGCAAAGTCAAACTGGAGATCCCCTAGAGACCATCTTCAAACCTGACCTTCACTTTGGTCTCCACTACACACCTGTAAAGCTTTGTGACTGCATCTTTGCTCGGCTGTGACGTAATTTGCGGTGGCTAAATCTGTCCAATATAATCACCTCGTAAAGTATTTTAAACCGCCTCTGTGGTAGTTGCTGCCATAGCAGATGTCCAGGACCACGTTTCATCCCGATGATCTCACAAAGTGAAAAAAAATAGAGTGGTGTAGTCTCATTTAGCCACTTGTTTGCAACCGCCTTTTTCAAATAAAGTAAAAGCTTCAAAATTCACAAGAGGGTTATTTACGGATATATTTTATATTGTAGAAAACGCATCGATTTTGAGATGAGGGAACCGGAAGTGCAACAGTGCTAACTCATTTCAGGGCTTTAAAACATGCAGCACTCTATAGCTGTAATCAACACACCTGACAGGTAAGGGGTGGAAGGGTCGTCCCACTCCAGTGAGGTACTTGTAGCTGTCCCGTATGGTTTTGGCAAAGGAGGGGTTGTTGGGAAACAACGTCTCCATGCTGGGGCAGGAGTGTGTGAACAGATCTTCTTCTTTAGAAAGGGGAACACTCTCCTGAAGCACAGAAACAACAACACGTTTAGCTCATACGGTAAAATGTCAACCTGTTCATACTACCTGTGTCTGTGATAAAGGGAGAGCTCTCACCGTATTGTTGCCTTGACAGGGCGTCTGGGTGGTGGAGAGAGACACAGGGAGGAGGTGAGCCTCCGTGGTGAAGATGTAGTCGTCAATATCGATGGGCAGCTGACCCTTATCCGTAAACAGCAGGTACAGGTATTTAAACATCTCAGCCAGAAAGAATGAGTCCATCCTACACAGAAAACAAAAGACGTTATCACACATTCATAAGAGATGTTTTGACACTGTAAACATGTGCGTGATGGCATTCGTGCACCTGTCTTCATGCCTCCCGGTGCGGACATCTTGCACAGCAGCAAACCCGCAAGGCACCCTGGCGTAGGCGTTGAGCTTTTCCACGATGGACTGTCCCACTCTGAGGTAGTACGGGTCGCCAGTGGCCTGCGGAAATTAAATACAATTTTACAATATTACAACCTAATACAAATGCTTTGTGTGGAGTAGTTTCGTTAATTAGCCTACTTATAACAGACCTGGCTTTTCTAATTATTAGTAATGGTATGTTTGAATAGTATTATAGTTTAAATAGAGTATGTATTTGTGCATCTATGTCACCTTGTAGAGGTAGTAGGTGCTTTCCGCAAACTCTGGTCTCAGTAGGTGTTGGCCCCAATGAACTCTAAACTCCGTAGTGAACGCCTGCAGGAGGTTAAGCAAAGAAAGTAAAAGACATGAGTGACACTGGCTTCTTAGAAGTTTTGTTTTTTTACATTAATGAACAGATTTCATGAACAATGGGACAAAGAGAATTAGCCACGAGAAATGTCCATTTATTATTTCTTTACTTGGTGTAATGCGATGACTAATAATATATACATCATAGCATAGTTCCATACATCTTAAACCGTGATGATTTGCTACAGCTGCTGCACACCTATTCATTGATACATTTCTCATCACCTTTAGCATGAACATGTCATACTGTAACATGTCATTCTGGGTGATATGACGATATAAATAACTTCAGTGATAGAAACTATTCATACTGAGGTTGTTATCCCTTCAATACTACTGCTTCTATCAGGTTATTGCAGGCAGTGTTGTAATGACAAAGACTTGCTTAATGGCAAAACTGAATTTTCAAGATGTTTGCATCGTCATGATGAAGTATCTATATTTGTCCTATTCAATACAATGGATCTAATGGTTATGCAGTAGCAGAAATTTCCCCAAATGAGCGTTATATTTGCTATACCTTGCCTACATATTCCTACTATATGTCATTAAATAAACAAAAACAGCAACAGTTATTTACCTCTGGAAGGAACTTGTGCTGTTTGGTGACTTGATAAAGCATTTCATGAGTCTCAATAGCTGGTTTCAGGTCTCCTCTCAACACCTGCATGAACAATAAATGTCACTCGACTCCAGAGACAACGTGTGCAACAATGTCTACGCCTTCTACGATGTTTGATGGTAGTAAATGTGATTAATCGAGGATCCCTGACCTGTAAGCCGGGGAAGAATGCCAGGAGAGAGTCCATCCAGCTGCGCACGTTCACAGTGGGGTTGTGCATGTGTACATTAAGCAGCAGGGGAGGCTGACTGATGTACTTCATAATGGCACTGTAGTGCTGTTCAAGACAAACACAAAACATATATTAGCAAAAGCTGCTTGGATATAGATTTCTATGCGGGCGTGCACTGATTGGAGGACTTACAATGTTGAACCTTTCCAGGAAAACATTGTCTCCTAGAAGAATGTAGGCCTTCATCAGATACTCATAGTACGAGTCGATACCAGCACCAACTCCACTGTCTGCAGACGCAGAAGTGAGAAGATTAGTAGAGTATGGCTCGTGTAAACAGCTGTTGAATATGTATGTACTGTACATGTAATTATGGATTATCAGTGTTCTATGTGTGTTTTTAATCTCCTCACCTCTCCGGACCCATTCTTCACTATGGATATTGATGACGGTCCCCACCAAGTCACTTCCCCTCTGTCTCCTCTGCCAGAGGACGTCCAGAGCCTTCCTGGCATGTTCCTATAAAACAATAACAAGTATTATATCCGTAAGATGTTTCTGGGAAAACAGTTGCATCATTCTTACAGGATTTCATCAGTTATAGCCAGCTATGATTTCTGAGAAAATGACTGTACTCTACTGTTACAGCTCAGTAATTTCACAATAAGGCTGTATTGCAAAGAGATAACAAAAGAAATGAGTCTCATCTCTAGAGGGGAGTAGAGAGATAATACCTCAAAAACAGAATCTCCTGACAGTCGGCTGAGGGCAGCAAACTCCAGGATCATTGTTCCAGCACATGCTGTGCAGGTGTCCGATTCTGTGCCTGTGCGTGAAAGTGGGTTTAGGACGCCGTACCGCAGATTCACCTGGAAAACAAACAAAAAAAGAAACATTCATCTTGTCTACTTTAGGTTCTTCAAATAAACTCAGCTCAAATTATTTCTAGTTATTTACTATATTTAAGCTGAGCCATCCTTGATAGGATTCGTCATGAGGCTGTCTGTTCCTTCTGCGTATTGTAGATCTAAAATAAGCCCTGTGGTATTTCACAATGAAAGAAGAAATACCTTAGGGTAGGGAAGGCCACTTGTGGTGTTAAAGGCAGGCAGTAATCGATGGCCCAGCTCTTTGGCCATGTGCAGGAGCTCGTCACGATACCACTGCATCCTCTCCCCACGCTGCCGGAGCAGGTCGGCCATCACGTGGGCTCCCAAAAGCCCTCTGGGGAGAATTCAATGAAGGAAGGAAAGAAAGACAAAATTAAACAGAAAGGTCGAGGTGGAAAGGTTGAAATACTTAGCACTAGTATTGTGAGGATATGAAATAATTCTACATTCAGAAGAATTATTTATTTAAATGATTAAAGATGAATCTATTAAAACCAGCATAAAAGTTTGAATACACAGTGCTAAAGTAAATAAATAAGACATGTTTCATACCCTAAAACTCTGATGTTGGTCTCAAACACGGACACCACCACATCGTTGTCAAGGCGTACATCTGTGATGGTCTTCTTCACTGCGTCCTCAAACTCATCGAGCTTGTTTAACACCTGCTCACACACACACACACACACACACACACACACGCGCACACACACACACACACACATCTACTGTCAAAAACAGGGGGAAAAACCTCAAAAAAACAAAAGAAAAGTGACAAAAGAAAAGCTGATCAAACTACTTTTATTTTGGTAAATAGAGGAAGAACTCACCACCAGCGTATCAAGGGTGTCAATCAGTGTGAGGGAAAACCTGGTGAAAAGATGGACGACACGTTACGATGATGTCCCACTTCTCCACTGATCCAGTTTCATATTAATGAACCACAGACTGTTAAATGTCAAATCTGTTGCATTTGCAGTAAAATTACATTATGCAACATGCATGGTGCATAAATGGATGTATTGTACTGCAAGTCGGTGACTTATTGCCTTCTTGTAAGTTAAATTGAGTTAATTTTGCATCAAATTCATGTATTCCTATAAAACAGGGGCATCTACTCCATGTTGAATTAAATATGTTTGGAGCAGAACAGTATTACACGAGAAAACTGAATCCTTGTCTTCTTTGAAAATACATTTTAAAAAGAGATGACATTACATAAATATCACATTGTGTATTAAATCTACATTCACTTGCATATTTGTTTGAGGAAATTTAACAGAACTTACTGCCCCAAGGAGTCATCTATGTCCCCTCTGTTGGGCTCCTGGCCGCGGACTCTCCCCCTGCAGCTGAGAGGCATGAGCTCGTCTGCTGGGTAGGCATATTTCTGCAACGCAAACAACAGTTACTGTCTCCAAGCTTCATTTAGCAGTCGACACAAAAGTTGTCATTAAGGAAAAATGGAGGCTTGAACATTCTCTAGGAGGGAAAAGAAACAACACAACTGCTGGATCACTAGTGGAACTGGTTTCTACCGATTCCAGCTATTTCACGATTAACATTGATGGTCAATTTGAATTTGGTACCCCAGACTTAAAATCTGATTCTAATTAGATGGCCTGAATAAATTATGGAGCTGAGGTCTGAAAACAAATTTCACAGATCCTTATCAAAAACATTTGTTTCTGATATGTGTTCATGTCAAAAGCAATATTGGCCATTTCAGATGCAGCTTACATTTAAAACTCTTGAGCCACTGAGTGAGTCGAGCTACCCATGACCCCAATCACATCTTGCTGTTCACTCTCATTGCTTTGCCTGGAGGAACATCCAGACTCCTGGAAGGGATCCCATCACTTACAAGAGCTGAATCAATATTATTAAGACCACCATGAATATCACATAACGTTCTGCTGGCATCTGTTGCACCAGTCTGACACTGCAGATGCAACTTAGTCCTGTATGTTCGCTTTCTGCACAAGCCCACTAAATCAAACCCAACGTGTTAGTCTCACAATAAAGTTTTTTTTTTTTTAGTGTTACTAGAGTGTTGACTTCTTCAGCTTTTCATAACTTCCTTCTTACAATCACAATTTTTTTAAATTGACATCAAAGTGAACACCTTACCATGTAACTGCCGTAGGCATGGTCAAACATTTCAATGATCTGGTCACTGAAAAAAACAAACAAACAAAAAAAAAATATATATATATATAAATGAATCAAAAGTGAATATGGCAAAAACACTGTAAAAGTTTTACGATATTGTAAATAGCCACTCAATCACAATCACATCTAAAAGAGTTACATATGTCTGTCTCTAGATATCTTTTACCTGATAACAGTCCTCTCCTCTGGTGTCATGCTCTGGCTCTCCTGACATTCCGCCCAGCCAAGAAGACTGGTGATCACGAAGGTCTTCAGCAACATCCCAGTGCCAGAGGTGTGGACCAGATACATACTCCTCATGTAGTCTTGTTTTAGTTTAAGCTTTAATATGGACAAACAAACTCCTGTCCTTTGTCCCACACAGAGTCAACCAGTCCAGCAGACACAGCTGTCCTCCTTCAAAGCCCCGATCATCCTCATCCAGGTATGAGTCGGCTGCTGAGTTGTGACGTTATAGCTTCCTCCCAGCCCCATGTCCATATGTCCGCTGCAGTTGTTCCGTAGCTGATCCCGTATTGTTACAACCACCACATGCCCACAGTGCACATCAGCTGACCGTGTAAACAATAGATGCAGCTAGCTACAGCTGAACCTCGGTAAACAATAACTGTTTACGCTTTCCTGATAACAAAAACAAGACTGACCACCAAACACCGGCTAACTAGAGAAAAGCCCAAACAGGGCTAAAAGCACGCATCTTGTTAAATCAAGAAAAGTCAAAAAAATATTTAGAAAAATATTCAGGTAGCTGCAAAATTGAAAGACAGTGTAGCTAATTGTTGCTAGCCATAACAGTGCTAGCTAACGTTGACAAGTTGCTAGTTCGCCGTCAGCGATGCTAGTTAGTTAGCAAAACAGCTAAACGGCTAAATACGAAAAATAAAGCAAAACATATTTTGGCTAAAAAGAAATGGTTGACTTGAATTTTAGTTGATTGTCATACAGTTAAATGGTCAATGACACGTCGTCAAGTATCACTACTGCCATACAGTAACCTGACGTCGAGTACGGAGCGAGCTGTCAAAGAACGGACAGGCTGTTTAGCTACCCGGCTGAGCTATGACATGGGAACTTTCTGCCCTCAGTTTAACATTTAAGGACAGCTTTGTTCACACGTAGGCTAACGTGAACTCTCCCCTTCAGCAAGTGACACTCTTCAGAGGGTTAACTATAATAATGTTTGTATTTGGTTTATGCTTATGGTTGTAGTTGGGACGAGTATTGTACGTCGGTTTATTGTCAAGACAGAAAGGAAGATCCCCTGGCAGGCTATATTTAGGGCACACTATCCACAGTTCCTTACGTGACTGAGACACGTGTCACAAAGTAGGTGGAGTCAAGGGGGGTGTATTTTGCGTAAGTTAACTTACTGGTAGTATATTCTTACTGGTGTGCCTCAGTGATGGAGAGAGGGATAACGTATTTATTCTATCTTATATAATAGACATGTGAATGACCATGTTATATTTGACCAAATGTTTACATTCATGAATACCATTCTGTATTTTCAACACGAACACAATGAACTTGAAAACATGTCCATACCAGTTGAAATGTCTCTCGGCACAAATCCTTATGACAAATCTTCATAACTTATCTGGCAACCTTTTTCGCGCCCCTGCATCTGTAGTCGCTACAATGTGCCACAAGATGTCGCAACGGTACCCCTCTCCTCACAGTGTGGCACTCTCGCTCCTCCCTCTGGTTATATGCATTTATGTGTTTGCACAATGTTTACTCTGGTTAACAATCTTTTGATAACATCATGTCTCCAGTGTAGGATGCTATGGTGAGCTGACACCACTCTTTAAGTGTTATCTAGGCTACACTTCTATTTTTTTTCCCACAGGATGTTAAGTAGGGCTATCTATGAATTTTGCTTAAGCAAAAGAATCCCTCAATTAGTAAATGAATGTGCATGATTACAAAATAGTCTATAATTTGCTATTATTTACATTTAAATACGTTTAAGATTTAAGAGCTGGTTTGAATACGCTGAAGAAACTGTAATGACATGCCTGTAGATCAACATGCAGTTACTGCGGTGATGACATTAAATCAGATAAGGTCGATTAAAAACAAAAAGTCCCCTGTTTGTCTTCCTTCTCTGTGACTCATGTCCTTGCCCCAGCCCTGAAAGCAAACATGACTTTGGACCCACAGTAGTTTATGATGGAGCTTGTTGGATCACTACTGGAATCTAATGGCTTGTGGAGATAGTCTTCAGCAGATGATGCCACTGGTTTTTTTCGTGATTGTTACGCAAAGGAGTCGGGTTACAGAGCGCAGGCACCGTTTCTCAACTACTTCCTGAGTCTGTGAACGACAAATAACAGGGCAGAATAGTTACTGTGTAGCAGTGAGGAGGAGTTTACGAATTATACGTCTCCACGATTCAACTGCCTCCAGCTCATAATGGGCGTTGCCTTTTGAACTTCTGTAAAAGGTGTGGCGATTTCTGGACACCGTGAAATTCCTCCTCTGACATCAATCCCGTTCCTTTTACTAAAGGTAAGATGGAAAATAAACCTTTTCTGTGTATTTATTCTCTGTCTGTGTTCCGTGTTTGTTTGTTTTAATGCGTTGCTCATGGAGAAAATGGTATTTTAGACCGCAGCGGTCGACATCACAATGTTAAGGTTTTCATTTTCTGCAGTTCTTAGTCACGTACACGTGTCCACGCGACTGTGAAGGCTTGATCAACCTTAAACTGTCAAGTTCACGAATTTAAAATGGATTCATACTAAGATATTTAGAAGAACAGTTTAGCTGATTTTGTTTACTTTACCCGAAGTGAAAGTCAAAAGATGAAGTGGATGAGAGTGAATCAGAAGCAGAACTCTAGTGCTGAAAACATATCCCAATAGAGCGATAAGATGCTGATACTGTGTGCTTTTCCATCTCCCTAGTTGAAGACTTCAACCACAACAATGTCTGGTTGGGTGAGTAGTTGTATGTGAATTAGATTGTAGGCCTTAAACAGAAAAATGCAGTGGATAATGAAAGCATGTTTGTTGACTTGTATTGTAGGATGACTTGGACCTGCTCTTGGACTCCCCCTCCTCACTGACAGTGACAGTAAGTTAAACACACTCTTACCCTTTAGTTCCCAAGATGATGATGATGATGATGATGATGATGATTATTATTACTACATGAGATGCAATTGCTTGAATGGATAGTGACAAATCCTTAAGGAAAGCTTAGAATATACAATAGTAAACAGCAATCAATAAATACACCTGTATTATAGCGATGTTTTAGTGTTTTACATTTTCAAACATGCTTACGTCATGCTTGTGTCAGCCTGTGATTGTTTCTTCAGTCCAACACAAGAGGAACTGTGAAGGACAAGGCAAACTTCAATGTGGAAGCAGATGTGTCTGCAATAAGGAAAGCCATCGAGGGCGTTGGTAAGCTAATGAATCAGTACTCTACTATATCAGACCAACAGGTAAAGCACCTGAATCATATTTGACTAAATGTGCACATCTATCTGCTAGTGGAACACATTTATGTAAATGTTTGTATAAGGTTGTAAACCCATGAACTCTTTTGTGTGTCTCTTCTCTTCAGGTACGACAGAAAAGACGCTGATTGAGGTGCTGACCCAGAGAAGTAATGCTCAGCGTCAGCTTATTGCTAAGGCCTATGAGAAAGCCACAGGAAGGGTATATAAATAGACTTTATAATAATAATAATAATTCTTGAGTGTTGTGACAAGAGACATAGAAAAATGTGTGGTACAATTCTTCCTCCATCAGAAATTAGTAGCTGACCTGGAGGGCGACACCCACGGAGACTTTGAGGATGTGTTGGTAGCTTTGGTAACCCCTCCTGCTGTCTGCGACTGTCAGGAAGTCATCAAAGCCATCAAGGTGAGACTTTGTCCGATTGACTTCAAGATGACATGAACCTGCTTCAAAACAGAGCCTGTATTGGCCTGCTGCTGCTTCAGTGTTCAAAGAAACAAAACAGGTTTCAAAGGGAGTGAAGACACCAGTACTACAAGTTTCATTTGTTTGAACAGACTTAATTTGCTTCAGATTTGTTTGGATTCATAAAATGTTCCTCTGGGGTGTAACAACCACTGAAATGCAGTTGCGTTTTTCTCTATTATCATTCACTTGTGCATATAACATTTTGTGTGATTCGCATACAGGGAGCAGGGACCACCGAGAGTACGCTGACAGAAATCTTTGCCTCGAGATCCAACAGGCAGATCAAGGCCTTGTCTGAAGCATACCTTGCAGGTTTAGTGTCTTCAACTGTAATTTCACTTCACAGATTAGACAGCAACTCGGAATATTGTGAAACAGTTGGCAAATGTTCGTGATGTGTCTAGGTTGTTGTGAAATCGTCTGTATTGTGCCGTTTCATTCAAGAAACTGGAAAAGCGATGATTCAGGATCTGCAGTCGGAGGTAGCTGGAGATTATGGCAAAGCTCTGCTCATCTTGGCTGAGGTACCGTACGTTACATTAAAACAGTGAACGCATTCTCAATAAATCAGAATCAGACCTAAAGCTTTCAATTCATTCTAGCTAGACAGGTGTGAACATTTCTATCCTATGTCAAAAAAATATAACAGAAACAAAAGTCTGAATTGTAGAGAAAAATCAAATGTATTTTCTACAAGAACTGTAAATCTTTCAACAGTTTGTCATCTCAAATTGTGACAAATAAAAATGCTACTCAAAAAAGGCTCATTATTCAAATGAACAATGCCAAATGTAACAGATTACTTCTACGTGTTACAAACTATGTTCTTCCGGTCGTCCTCACAGGGGAAGAGAGATGAGAGCACCAATGTGGACACTGCCAAAGCTAAAGCAGATGCTAAGGTATATTCACTACTCGCTACACACATTATCTGGAGGTAAAGAAATTAGGCATGATGCACTTTGTCTTAACCATCGACAGTTATAGTCTAAAGCTGTATGTATTTTCATACTCCTCCTTATTCCACCCAGGCCATGTACAATGCCGGGGAGAAGAAGTGGGGAACCGACGAGGGGAAGTTTATTGACATCTTGTGCCACAGGAGTATTCCCCAGCTTCGACAGAGTGGGTTCACCTCTTACATTGTTCAGTGGATGCTAATGAAATAAAACACCTGCAGCCATGCTAGCGGCAGCTCTATGAGGTTGCACAATTGTGGTTTGATAAAATATAAAATAAATCTATGTTAGCCTACATCTGATCTTCAACAGTTACATTCAAATCTGTGTTTCGGCAGCTCTGGTGGAGTACAAGAATATTAGTAAGAAGACTCTACAGGAGAGCATTGAGGGCGAGATGTCTGGGAACCTGGAGGAGCTACTGGTGGCTGTTGGTGAGAATAGTGCATCATATTGTCTGCTTATTTCTGACCCTCACATTGAATCGTGGTCCACTTAACATACAACTTATTTTTTTTCTAGTTAAGTGTGTGAAGAGCGTTCCCTTATACCTGGCTGAGAGGCTTTTCATGAGCATGAAGGTAAACCGTCCAATAATATGTCCATCTGTATCATAAGGGCCCTTTAAACCCCAGAGCAGTGGCTCCCAAAACAAAATCCACACATTGTTTGGTTGCATCCTGATCTTTTTAGCCACAGCAGACATTTGTATTCGTCTCCAGTGGTGTGGAAAGGAATGTTAAGCCAGTGTTTTATTGCGGCCTCTTTGACTAAACGTGCACCGCTGGTTGAACGGAGTCGACAGGCTCTAAAGCAGACGGCCAAAAACATGCGACACCACAGACATAGAAGCAGCAGTTACTGCAGGATAATGTATATAAACACATGTCACTAGTTAATTTACCCAGGTCCAATTTCTGCCTTTGCCCCCAAATTTTCCTTTTGTCCAGGGTGCGGGGACCACAGAGTCCATTCTGACCAGGATAATAGTCGGTCGCTCAGAGATAGACCTGCTGGACATCAGAGCAGAGTATAAGAAGCTGTTTGGAGGCTCCCTCTACTCCCAGTTAGAGGTCAGTGCACACGCCCACAGAGATGAAGTTACATATGCACCACGACCGAAATGTGCAACTAAGTTGAAATGTCACGGTATCTTGTTTTGAGACGCTGGACAATCCTTTTGTTGGATTGTCATCAGAAGGTACATGTTCTTAATCTTCCTGTATTTTTCCCCTCTCTTTATGTTTGTGTAGTCTGAAGTGTCGAGCAGTTATGGCGACACCCTCAAGAGTCTATGCGGCCAAGACTAACTGCTTCCAACTCTAGTGATGAGAAACATGTGGTGTGAAGTGCAGACGGGAAGAACCGCAGCAAAAGAGGAGGATAGCATCGTACTGATACCGTTGACCTGAATTCAGCTGGAACTAACCAGCGAGAAATGCTTTTGAATGTGGAATTCCAGTAATGTTCAGCCAGACAGTGCAGTCTGATGATTAACACACACAGATTTAATAAGTGCAGACATGAAGATGCTGTTGAATGTCTTTTTGAACTTAGAAATTAGTTTGTATTCTATGTGACTGATATCAGTCAACTCCACATTTCTTTTTAGCATATTGTAACACAAATAACGTCATAACTTTCACATTAAAAAAAAAAAAAAATACTGTGTTCTACTATTTGATGTTAGTAAACAAGAGCTACAAGACATGTTTATATAAAAATACTTGTTTTATTTCAGGGTTTTGTTTATGTTGCTATAACCGACTCCTACACAGGTCATCAGGACCTTGTCCCCGCCTTTCCTTTCGTCTTCTGAAGGCTTCTGAAGCTCGATCTTGAACATGATCTGGAAGAAATCTCTAACGTGTCTGAGGAACTCGATCCTGGAGAGACGGTGGGGGGGTGGGGGGGGAGAGAGGGGGAAGAAAGTCAAAAATGGGAGATCAAATTTCAGTTTCATTTTCATGGAGGAGAGGGGTTGAGATATAGTCCAACTGTCAATATTACATACAGGGCGTTTCACAACAGTGTCCAAGATCTACTCCGTGCTGTGGGCTTCAAATGACGTAGGTGAACGTCAAAGGGCATCAGACGTTATCTCTCACGAACATGGACGTCTAAAGTGTAACAGATTTATAGGAACAAATGCAAACCTGATTTCATTGGTCTTCAGAAAAATCAGCGTTAGCCGAGTAATGAGGAGCGCATTGTGATGGCACTGCCAATCTTCAGTTATCATAGTACTGTACTTGAGACGGACACAGCACCGGTACCATGATAACTGAAAATGGACAGTTCATAGTTCTCTCCACATTCCTGATGATTAAGGTGTCTGAAATCAACTTTTTATTCAGTTGCTATATAAATAATAAATATATAAATTCACCACACATTCAACAAGCACACACACTATGAACTGATGAACAGCTGGCCAAGTCCCATGATAATGCAAGCATGCAAAAGCAATGTGCGAAAAAAAGAACGATCCGAAGTCCATTAATTTCACTGAGGCTGTTATTTTAATAAAAAAATCCTCCATTTCTTTCTTTATCACCAACAAATTCTGGTGCATGAACTTGCATTTGCTCCCTCTGTTCTCTTACCTTTGTACAAACTGTATATAAACTGCAGAGCCCAGTGTGTGTTTGCAGCAAGAAACAACAACTTTTGGGAGCATGGGGCATTCAGTTCAGGTTCAAGTTAGTTCAAACTTTCAGCACACCCTGGTATTTTTCAAGGAAAATCCGTAAAAGCAAACAATGAGGCAATGAAAGGGTGTATTTATTGCCTCTGTTTGTCCAGCATTTCATGCTCTACAGCGGGACGAGAACTTTGGAATACTGTCACTTGCCAAGATTGGACGAGTAGAAGAATAACAAAGTGCATCTGTGTAGTAACTTATAAAGAAGCCGAGGCTGTGCGTCTATTATTGAGTGATGGGGACTTACGTGTACGGGGAGAGGGGTCCGAGCAGAACCTTAGAGACGTCCTGTTGGCCAAGGGTCATCAAGAGCAGCGCCAGGCTTTGATTGGATGAATCCACACAGCCACCCTAAATACACAGAGAGAGAGAGAGAGACAGACAGAGGGGGGGCGATGCGTTTCAGCAACAAAAACAACACAGAATGACGTCATGGAGGCGGAGATGTTAAAAAAAAAAAAAAAAGGGACACGGCAACCCCTGGACAGGTCCAACACTGATAGCCATCTACACTTGCATAACATAGTTGGAGGCATTTGTAGGCCAGATGTTTTTCAGGTTTTTCTATCTTAAAAAACAAAAAAAAGTCCATAATGACAGTGAACTGGACATATTAATTGTTCTCTCTACCACATGTTTCTCTTCTTTACTAATGCTGCATTGTCCTGCCCCATCTGACCTTCTAGTCTGTTGACTTCTTTAACATCAGAGATATTTAGAGGACAGAGGATCCACTCTCTGTATCCAAGTGATCACATGTCGTCGTGATTACTTGATAGCAGCTGTGTGAAGAGGACTATGAGAGACCAGACACACCCAGGAGCAATCTATGAGCCAAATGAACATTAAATTGCCCATTCTGTGATGCTGTCAGCTTATAGTCAGCTAAACAAAATCAGTTTCTTGTACTGTGCATTCATTCTAACTAAGTACGCATGTGGCCCAGTATTATGGCATTGTGACAGCATGATTCAATTAGATAATCATATCACCGAAGCCATGGCGAAACTATGGCGACATTGTTGTTATTGTCTTTACTGCCAACGAGGCGGCGATGCAACCGTATGAAGACCTACACCTCCCTCACAAAGTATTTCAACCATTTTACTTCACAAATGAGCCTTAAAAGTACAATGATTGTTGGTTTTACAGGTTTTCCCTTAATCTGACATGAGTTTACCTTACAATGCACAAAGCACATCCATCTTAATAGTTATCACAAGTATGTTTTCTGTGTATACTTCCAACTGTCTGGATACATGAGGGACATATTTCATATTTCTACATCCAAGACATTTTATCAATCACAATTTGCCTCCAGTAAAAACTCAACGGTGTTCATTAAGCACAAGGAACATTATCAAATTCAAGGTGTGGAAGATGTTAGAGAAGTGTCACTGTAGTTTGATAAAACCATTAAAGTGGAGAGCACATCTAGTTGACTATTGTAAAAGTGCCTGATCAGCATTTATGTGCTGTTGTTCTGGGCTACAGAAGTTCAAACAACTTAGATTTTCCCTGAAAAGTTTCTGGTTTCCCACTCTTTGTTCAGAATATCTCTTTCAATATGCAGATTTGTTTTCAGTAAAAAAATAAAAATAAAAAAAATAAAAAAAAAATAAAAAAAAGAGAAATAAAATATATGAACATAATCTCTGACAGCTAGATTCAGGCACTATATGCACAGTTGAAATCTCCCAAGAGACCACGAGGCCCTCACAAAAAGTCCCCCAAATCCTTCGAGCAACTGGCAACCCCTTTCAAACAATCAAACAGGAAAAACGAGGGTGCCGACAAACTCAAGCATTATTAAAATTTTCTCATGTTTGATTACATGAGAAAACTCAACAAGCATACACACACACACACACACACACACACAGAGCCACGTTGGTAAACTCTTAAAGATCATTCGATACCAAAAACTCAACAAAATTGGAACCACTTACATGAGCTCCTGTCCTGTGTTGATGTTGCTTCCAAAAACAAAATGTCCATCATGTAGCTTTGGTTTACTACAAGAAGGCGGTACTGATTAACCATTAAACAAACAAGACGCACGATGCAGAGCGCACATGCCCTTTAATGCAAAGCCAGCTAATTTCCTTTCTCGGTTTTTCAAAAATTAACTATTCCAGCACAAGAGTCCCATTTGTACTCTGGTGTCTCAGCTCGAGCAATCACTCCGTCCTCCTGCTGCAGGTCGCTGTTAAAATCAGCAGTTATTCAAACGCTGTTCAGTCTATGAAGTGGTGAACAAACCTGTTCTATCAGCAGCCCACCAACCTCTGCGGCTGCTAAAGAGAAACGTTAGCTCCCCGCTCTGTTGAGTTAAGAGGAGCCTGTTTCAGGGTTAATCTACCCTGACCAGCTAACTGGACTCACGTGGCTCCTATGAGAGGAAACATGAGGAGGCAAACTGCAGTCACACAATCGCTGGATCTAATTGTACAAATTCTGATGAGGTGGCTTCTTTTTCCTGACTATGGGAGATTATTTTTGCCTGTACATGTTTTTACTCGCAGCCAAGTTAGTTAGTTTTGCAGCTACTACTGTAAGTCACACTACACGGGTAGAAAGATATGGAGACATAAAATGTTACTTATTCTGAGGCCTCAAATATAACCGTAAATGCACAGACATATCTGTGACTTAAATTCATAAAGGCATTTTACTCAACTTTCACTTTCATGCTACTTTTTATTTTATAATAAAATTGTTCACGTGTGGGTTATCGTCAACTGGCAGCTGGCCTCTTCTGGCTGAGCAAAACATTGTGAAAATGTGGCATGAAACATAAGTGTCATTGGGAACAATAAATCAGAAGTTGCAAGTCCTGACAGGATGAGGAACCTCTTCTAAGTCAAGGCCAACTTTTCCAACATAGAGACATATTTCTATAATGGCTTTATTAAACAGGCATAAGCGTGACCAAAACATTTGATTTGAATTGAAATGCTATTTTGTTTTTCTTCTGCCCATAAACTGTCTCTCAGTTGAATTCCAGACCGGGGTCATTACCGGAGAATGCGGGCAAACAAGGGCAGCAAGTGTCCGTATTGCATGCTCGGACTCTAATGAGTCCCGACTGTCTGCGTCAGGTATTCCCTAAGAATTTTGATTTGTCCAGCTGCTGTGTGCAGGGGCAGTGAAGACCTGATAGCATCCTCCAGTGATAATGGAAATCTTCATAATAGTGAAATCATAATAGTGAAATCTTTATGGTGGACAATCCTGAAGTACAAGAGGCAACAGATAAAGTTTCTCTGTGAAATCTATTTACATCCCTTTAAAAGCATAATAAATGAGCATCGGATGTAATCTGTATATCAGACTTGTTGGAGAGGAGTACGGACAGGTAACCATTATGCTGGCTTCAACTATGCAAATAAAACAGGACAGGCGTGGTATTTTAAATGGCAGTTGCTTCGTAGATCAGTTAGGTGAAGAAAGAGCTGGCAGTTGCCAGCTCTTTGTGAAACACCATGTACAATAATGTAGCAATGCCTTATGTTTGCAACTGAAGCCGTTTGTGTGGCCTAAGACTGCGTCGGTCTTAAAGGGATAGTTGGCCTGTTTTGAAGTGGGGTTGTATGAGTTACTTATCCATAGTTCGTTACCGACAGTAGAGGACGGTCTGCATGCCCCCAGTTTGGAGAGGGCAGCTGCAAAACGTATTTTAACCACTGGAAAAAAAGATTTAGCCGTTTAAGTGCACGCTGTATTGATTTCACTGTCCACAGTAGTGCTACTTCAAAAAACAAACAAAACTATCCCTTTAAGTAAGTAGGAACTTTGTCTGAGATGATCTTACAGACTAAAATGAACCAATGTTGTAACCTACACAAAGTGAGAGATGACCATCCTACCATGCGCCATGGGCTTAAAGGTACAGTGAGCCACTAAACCGAGACACTTGCATTTTTTGAATTCCACATCTGATCCCAGGCTAAAACGACAGAAATCTGGATCTTTGCTTGAATGAATAACCCCCCAAAAGCACGAACATGATGAGTGTGTGTGGAAAGTCCTGTGTGGGTTTTTTCGGTACTTACCCGATGCACCTCCTCCAGAAGCAGTTTGGCACAGTCCTTGCCGAGGTCCTCTGGTAGCGTGGGGTCTCCCTGCCCCTGCGGCGTCGACGACATCTCAGCGCTGAGGAAGGAGCCATTCAGCGTCTCCGCTACCAGGGTCAGACCGAAACCTGGAGACCTGCAGTCACCCAACAAGAGTTACGTTGTGTCCGTCTCTGAATATGCTGGGATAGTTGACACATTGCTAATAAATGCACAAAGAGTGTGGTACCAGTGTGGTTTGTCGGTATGAATTTTACACAATGATGGTCTGAATAAAGTGAGTACAGCTTCTAAACAGCGAGCAGAATTTATTTTTTGGCCCTTTTTGTTTTCCATCAACGTGGAGACACTCACTTGCCAGAGTTGGCTCCTTTCATGTGGTCGGTGTAGATGTAGATGTCTGGGATGAACTGGTTGAGGACGCTCCTGGCTGAGTCCACTATCCTGTTGGCCATCTGAGGAGAAACTCGAACTGAATATCTGGGTTCAGAATGTCAAGGACCTTTGAAAACTCTTATGACATAGTGAGTTCAACCTCAAGCTGAAAGGAGCACGAACCTGAGAAACAACAAAGTTTCGTTTCTGACATTCATGAAGTGATAGATACTAGAGAGAGATATGTCAACTAGTCAAAAGTCACTTATTCAGCAACTCAAAAGTGAGGATTTGCTTTGAGAATATCTTTATCAAAACATCTGAAGCTATCACATTTGGCTTAAGGATATTACGAGTGTGAAAATTGTCATTTTTCACAATTTCCTTGTTTCTAAATAATCAGAAGATTAGACAACAAAATACAACGGGACTAAAAAGGCTTGTTTACATCACATCAATTACATTTACAGGTGGAAAAAAAGGCCATGACTGTGAGCCTGAGAAGGATACGCCACTCCTCTGATCCTCTTAATCTTTCCTGGGTCAGTCAGCTGCACCGGCCTGATGGTCCTGCGGACGGGACATGAGAACATTACCTCTCCTCCCCCACCAGGCCCCATACCCCTCTTCACCACCTGAGGGAGCAGCAACAGAAGGAGAGTGAGAAAAGAGACGGATCGACTGAAGTTGCAGCACCACATTTGAATGTATAACATGACACTGTGCTTATCAACAGACCACCATTGTGTCCTCACCTTGAGATCAAAGCCCTCTCCATCTATGCCAAACTTCTTCATCAGAGGGAGGGCTGTGGACTTAAGCACGTCGACCTGCAGGAGACAGAGCGTCAACATTCTTGAAACACGCGTCTACGTCTTCACCGGTACATCGTAGAGATGCACCATTTCCCATCACAGTAGCAATATTTTTTTCCGTGACATCGCCTCTCTCCAGAATCCCCAAAGCTTCTTCTTTCTGCTTTCCCATCTGTGTTTTGTTGACTTTATACACTTTTAAATAATGCATTGCATGAAAGGATGTGTGCTCTAGAGGGCAGTGTTCATTTGGGAGAGACCCATAAATTGTTCAAAGAAGTCACAGTTTTCTTTGCAGAAGCATGCTCCAGCCCCGCCCAGTGCTCATGCGCTATTTGAGTCAAAATCAAATCAGAAGGTGCAAAATGACTAAGTAAAAATGAATAGTCAGAAGGTCATCAGTTGCATGCATGCGTGTCCTCACCGTCGGGTCTGTGGGGTCGTTGGTGATGCCCCTCAGCATGGCCTTCAGAGGGGTCTTCATGAATGGAGCCAGCATGAGCAGGGCCTCAAGGTAGTAGCCAACGGAGCGCTGCGTGTTGCAGTCGTGTTCTACGGAGCCGCCAAACAACAAGCCGGGCTGGTAGAATAACACAGTACCTAGTGGGGACGGATACACGGGGACAGCGAGTGAGTCCATAACGCAGTGGGTGGTACCTTACAGTTTTGTGGTAATGAAGCTGAACATTACGACACCTAACGCCACATGCAAAGAGTAAAGATGAGATGTAAAATCATTATGAGAGAACAAAAATACTGGAAACAATATAAAACTTCTGCTGAAATCCTGTTATTCATTTGTCTGCTGGTGTTGATCAATCCTGAAATCTCAACAATCTTCTGGCAGTAAACAGTATTGTCCTCATGATAAGGCTCACCTGTTTGATTAATCTCTATTTTGGAGCCATTGGTCACTTTGTCTAGCAGTCTTATGAAGCTGGCCTCAAAATCTGGAAAATACAAGCAGAAAGGTATCGAGTTAGTCAAACCAAACATCTTCCAACAGCTGGATCTGAGGATTAAAGGCATGTTTTCTTCAATTAAAGCCAAGTCTAACAAAACTTTGAAATATCAACAAGTTAGTTTGAACAAACGAGTTATTTTTATACTTTGCCTACAGTATTAAAAACATATGGATGTAAATATTGTGGGTACTTCTGAGGATCCTCACTCACATATGCTAAAATGAGTCTCTTAATAATGAGAAACACAGCTCTGCACGCACGCGCTCAATGCTTTTAACGAGCAAAACGACATAACTTTGTACAGTGAGGTAAGATATGATTTATCTCACATTTACACTACTGTCCATTCGTTTCCCCACTTATGACGCCCAGTGATAAAACACACTCCCAACTGCGTAACAGCTAGCCCGTTAGCGGCCGAGCTAACTGCGATGCCACATGAAGATGCAACTCACCTCGGAGCCCCGGGTTGTCATCTTTGGACCGTATGTTTTTGATTTTAACACGCTTCCCGCTGAGTGTGGCTAAAACTAGCCGTTGTCTGAAGAAATTGCAGCCGTCGTATGCGAGCCCCTGGCTTGCCATGTTATTGTTTCTGCCTGGCGTAAGTGGAAATCCACGTGTGTTTGTGCAGGAAGAAGTTGGTGGGAGGCGAAAGTACGGAAGCGCAGGAGGGACAAAAACGCGTTTTTTAAGGGTACATCGCTGCTTTGGCCACTAGATCGCGCCAGTTAACCATTCATACAAAACACGGTGGGAGCGCGTGACGATATCTTTACGTCTTAAAGGCACAAGACCTGCTAAAAATGTAAACAAATTGGTTACCACCATAATTTGCAAGGACTATCTCGAACATCTTTTTTTTAAATACAGACTGTAAGCAAAACTGATTGTTTTCTGAACTATTGAAGTGTTATTCCGATCAGTAACGTCTCCAAACAGGCATTTAATCTCTTTAAAACGTCCTCTCTTTTGTTTTAGAGGCTGAATAGAGCGAGCAGACTGGTTGTTAGTCATGCTAGCCTGCCTGCCAATCTGCAGGTCTGTCCACCGATGGGATCAAGGCTCTGAAGGGATTAATCACCGCAACCTTGCCAGCAAGCTCCCCCTGCTCTATAGATCGATTACATAACCGTGATATTGCTCTGACCTACAATGAATAGGTTACACCTTCAGTGCACTATGGACAGTGGCATTGTTGAGGAAGTTTGTCAACACGCCTGATACAGAAGCTCTTATTGGTGTGCGTCGCCGCTGCTGCTGAGCTGGACACATTTCTCGTTTTCTTCCTCCTCCTCCTCCTCCTCGCGTTTCTGCAGGAAAATAAGCAGCCAAGGCTGCGAAAGTTGCGCCCACTTTCGGTTGCGCACTCGGGAAAAGTCGTCTCCGTTCCAGTCTCTGCAGAGCATCCAGAGAGGTTTCATGGGAAGGATAAGGCTATTCTCTATTCTCAGCTTGAACAAATACTCGTCCAGAGATGGTTCTTCAACGGATTTTTCGCGTTGTCATCATGGGACCTCCGGGGTCGGGGAAGGGAACCGTGTCTGCGCGCATAGCCAAAACTTTTGGACTGAAACACATTTCTAGTGGGGACATTTTGAGAGCCAACATAAAAGCTCAAACCGGTAAGATAGTGTCCTATCTCAAACATATACCAGTGCCGATGTGATTTTAAACACAATGCTGCAACTTCTGATGTTACAACCCTTTTAACAAAAATGCATTTCAGAAATGTTAATCAACGTCATTGTCTTCTGGATACACTGTTAGAAACAATTTACATAATGTATGATCGTGCTCAAAACAAAACATATGCAGATTATAACACACAAACAAGACATGCATGTAGTGTGCAAGATAAACTAACTAACGTTTATTCCCCAGGCTGCTGTGAGAAGAGCGCTGATCATTTCCCAGTTTGATTTCTTGTCTTGCTGTGACTTTGAATCTGAGTATCTGTATTCTCGTTATCCGCGTTCAACCAGACTTGCAGGGTGTTGTTTCATGTGTATACTGGAAACACTTCACCTGGCCGACACATTACCTGAGCTCAGGAAGGAGGCCCACTGCTCCTCAATATCACCTTGGATGAAGATAACGAGAGGCGTAAAGATAAGGAAGGTTGCACCTTTGCTCCTTGAGAGGAGGGATTTACAGATGAAGAGGTTTGTTTTTACAGCTGAGGATCGAAGCAGCAAGCCAAGGTTAAAGTGGGGTTTGGAGTCCCTGCTTTTTCCCCCTCATCACGTCCTGTTATTCTGTCCTGCACATGCAGACATTTTCAAGCTCCTCTGTTGGTTTCGTATCAGCTGAGCAGCTCCTCTGCTGCAGTTGGCAGTCAAAGTAGTTCTCCTTGACTTCCCCTGCTCAAATCTTTGGAAACAGTCCTTGGAACTGAACCAGTGATCTTCCACTTCCTGAGGGCGCCTGACTAACCTTCCTCACAACATTAGAAGTGTCTGTTCGGGTGTGTGCACTGCAAATGAACGCTGTCACAATGTTATCAGTAGCACAGTCCTCCTTACTTTGCCAGCATTTGCCTTGATGACCTGGCAGCCATGCAACAATGCCTTTGCTTTCTAAACACCTAGTATACAGGCCCAGAGCATACTGGTGATCCATCTTCATTTATCACATTTGCTGTGAACACACAAAGGAAACAGCAACACATTCAGTAGTCTGTGTTTGTCACATACACAACTCAGAATAATTACTTTAATCGGTTGTTTCCTTGTTAAATTCTAGTTATTTGCTGCATTTGTTTTGTGTTTTCCCCTTTGCTCTTTATTATGGTTACATCACAGCACATCCTGGTCATTTCTGCAAGGCTGCAGGGAATTCATTTCTTCAGCTGGACTTATGCCTTAATCTCTATTATCCTGATAACATTTCCATTAAGTAGCTTTACAGCTGCTTGTGCAGCTTGCTTATGAATATTAGACATTCAAACCCAAGATGCCTAAACTGTTTTGTGCACCATTTTATACGTATTTCTGTCATCCAGCATGACATATTATATGTTTGTATTTTTTTTTTTCCGATGTAAACTACAGTTCTGTGGCGTTAAACGCTTTACAACACAGAATGTGTTTAAAATGACGGACCCACTGCAAACACTGCCAGGGTTGAAGCAGCTAAGTTCATACAAACCTTTTATTTTCTGGAGGAAATGAATTTCAATAAATGCTTTCGGCAAGGGGTAGAGTTATTATTCAATACTGTGGTGTAAGTAGCATTGCTGTGAGAAAAAAGACAAAGAGTTTTGTAATGGACAGCATCTCCTCTCTCTATCTCTGTTTTCCTGTGTGTGTGTGTGTGTGTGTGTCAGAGCTCGGTCTGTTGATGAAGTCCTGTATTGATCAGGGTCAGCTGGTACCCGATGATGTCATGTCTCGTCTCATCCTGAGTGACCTGAGAGCGATGGACCAGAGCAGCTGGCTGATTGACGGTAGGCTCGCTCATATCTGCTGGGAAACGATTGATAATAAAACTGTGTTATTGTATTGTTCGTCATAGATCTTTCACTGATCTTTTAAAGTCCAATTTTCGGTATAGTTATCCATCACATCCTTCTAACCTTTGCCTTGCTTCGCCGTGTCCATCTCTGCCAGGTTTCCCTCGCACAGTATCCCAGTCGGAAGCTCTGGATGACGCCTACAGTGTGGACACAGTCATCAACCTCAACATACCTTTCCAGACCATCAAACAGAGGCTCTCCTCCCGCTGGACTCACCTGCTCAGCGGCAGAGTCTACAACGTAGATTTCAACCCCCCTAAAGTCCCTGTAAATACATCTTCTTACCTTTTACTTCTTAACTATCCTAATGTCAGTACAGAAGCCGCACAGTCAGTAGCAATGCTGTTGGATCTCAGCTTTCTGACTGTTCTGTGACGATGTCTCTCAGGCAAAACAATGTTATTGAAGTTATTCTGATCACCATCATTTTTGTGCATGTTGCATCCAGTTTCCATGACTACAAACAGAGCTCTCGGATGTAGCCAATTACTTTTTGCAAACTACGGTATAATGATATTACCAAGTTCTTTTTTTTTTTTTACAGACTTTATGTCCTTTTACATTTTGTTTTTACAGCTTCCCAGCATTTATTTTTGACATAATGAGGTTGATAAAGTACGTGTTTCTGTGTAACGGCTGGACGATTCACAGCCGACATGCTTGTGGTCACGTGTTCTCGCTGTGGCAGTGATCTGCAGCACGTTCCTGCTAGATGTCCTGCACATTCTGGAGGAGTTACGCATTCATAGTTAATCATTGGCTTCAGTCTACTCCTCGCAGTCCTGTTTGAGAGAGAACAAGGTGACAGAAGCAGACGTAAAAAGAAGTGGAATGAAGGTCACGGGTTTAAAGAATACCAGTATTTCTTCAAGCAGCTTTCACCTGTCCTTAAAACAGTGAACACACTTAGAGGTAATTTCATCAGGTATGTCTTGTTCCAGAGATGTGACTTAAGCTCTCAGAAAAACTTAAATAGTTTGAGGCATGAATACACCTTGAAGTGCTCCTCGGGGCCTGTGCGTGCTCTCTGAGTAAACAGAAGAACAGAGGACACTGTCTCTGCATGTTTCATAACATTTATATCATATCATGTAACATCTGCTGAAATATACACGAGGGTAGACTGATACTATGACGGGATGCAGATAGTGTTGGGATGTTTGCACACTTTCCTTCTAATCTTATATAAGTCTTGTACCCTTATATAAATGATATAGAAGACAGAAATCCACTTTGCTGTGAGCTAAGAGTTATTTAGATGGTGATGGGTTGATTCCATTTAGCTGCTTTGGGTTCAGGTTCTGGGACACTTGAATAGAGCAGAGCTGCCGTTAATGTAGTTGGTAACACCTGTGCTTTCCCTACTATGACAAGGGAAGATGTCTGCTGTGAAACAGGCCTGTGGCTTTGGTCAGCATGTGGCCATGAAAGATATGGTGTGGTCACATGTCCTGCTACCGTTTCTGTTTGAGATCATTATCTTATGACCATCTGCTATTCTGGTATACGTTTGTCACCATGTATTCCATGGAAACATAGAGATGACATCTCACACAGGGTTGAAATGTCGTTAACACAAAGCAACCCGATAAATGTCTTTTTACATTATTCAGCTTTGCTATTATCAGCCTTGTCTCCTTTTGGTCGACTGGTTTGAAAGCAAAGACAACATGTATGTGCCTTGAGCAGTGTTTACATTCTCGTCCCTGGGCTGTGTCTGTGTTTGGGCTGGAGAAATCAAACGCTTGTGGACTAGTACAAAGAGTTACAGTGCCTCAAGCATTTCTGAAGCAACTCTGGCTCAGCAGGTTTCTCACATTTTTTTTCTGTTAAACATGTGTATTATATATTTCCTCTTATTTATGTGTTTTCTTCAGGGTTTCGATGATGTGACGGGGGAGCCTCTGGTCCAGAGGGACGATGACACACCAGAGACGGTCACGCGGAGACTGAAGGCCTATCAAACCCAGACAGAGCCTGTCCTAGAGTACTACAGGTAGTACAGACAAATCAAAACATACCACCACCTACTTTTGTCTGTGTTGATTACATTCAGACATTGCTTGTGACAGGAACCTATTTTGCAGCCATAGACACAGAACTTAAAGAGGAGAAATCAGCAGATTTGACTGTATTACAGTGTAATATCTCACTGAAGTGTACTCCTCATTAATGCCATAATGCCTTAAGTAAAAGTCAAGCAAATGCCACTGAACCTTGTCCTCCCTACACAGTCCTCACCGTTACTTGCATGAATGAATAATTGCTAAAGAAGCAGGTTCCAAGAGGACAAGCCAATAAGCGCAAACACCCGTTTTCTTCTAATTAAATGAATATACAAACATTGATTTTAATATATTTTCTATCATTAAGGTTTACCAGAATCAATAACCCAAGCAGAGAAAAATAAAACAAAAAGCACATGTACGAGACTTACAAGGCCTCAGACCCAGTTTCTACATGCATCATCATTTCTATTTCTGGACTAATTAGGCAGGAAAGCATATTACTCTGTGTTCCCTCAAACCACAGGGATGTGCTTAGCTAGTGTCCCACTTATTTTTACCACAACGTCTGTGAGGCTGTTAATCATTCGAAGAAGTACGGGCAAGTAGCCCACAGGACTGGGAATAGAAATGAACGAGTGTTCACTTGAAGATATGGAAAAACTACTTTGATTGCCGTTACATGTTTATTTGCTGAACAAAATATCTGAAGGTCGTGTTCACAGTTCTCTGCACATTAGAAACCGTTAATAGATCACTTTTCTAGTTGCTGTGTGATATTGGAATAGGAGTTCACATAGTAAAATCTGATTTTCTTTGCCCTTCCAGGAGTAAAGGCATACTAGAGATCTTCTCCGGGACAGAAACCAACAAGATCTGGCCGCACGTCGAGGCTTTCCTCCACAGAAAGCTCTCCCCCGTCAAACAGAAGGTTGCATAGAAAGCCTGAACGGACTGGGGGGGCGAGAAGGGTTCACGTTTACTGGCAGAAACCACTCCGTCTAATCAGCTGCCACTTTCTGTGAAACAAGAGGAGAGCCATCGGTGTAATAATATATTCTGAATGTCCATGAGGAGGACCAAGCTCATGTCAGGAAGTGAAAGTAAGATTGCACATGTTGTTGGAGAAAAAGCCACCGTTGCACTGGTTCCACAACGTTGCTGAAATTAGTTTGGGAAACTCTCAGAAGGTGTGCAAGCGATCATTTAAATATGAATTGTTAGTTTAAATATTGTCTCTTTATTAATCAATGTGCCTTAAAGCCAGGAGACTTCACTGAATCAACTATCAAGGTGTTTAACAGTAGAATATCAAGGTGTATTTCACAAGATATGTTTGATTTTTAGGTTTAGTAATCGCAACAATTTCTTTTCCTAGTTGATGGCAATGATAGAACGGGCCCAAGCAATAAGACATGTTGAGCTAAATAAGAGACGTTCCTGCTTTTGCCCTGAGGAATCCTTTGAAAGCAATATTAAATGGGCTTTTTGCCCGACCATCACAAATGTGTGCATAACGTGGGACCGTTTCTTGTGCAGTGTGTAATTACTAAAGGGAATTGAGTCATGTTATACAAATTACTGTAGGTTCCCTTTTGCACTCGAGGGCTTTCTGCTGCCTTTGAAAGGCAACAGGTAGCTCAGTCAATGTAGTTTGTAGATACTTTTCATGAATAATGTGTAAACCACACTCATTATATTGAATATTTTTTAATCAAACCATCATTGTGTAACAGCTTCTTTCAACCACCATAAGTCTTAATTGCGTTGCCTCTGAAATACACAATGTTTCCATTTCAACCAGGCGCTCCTTGCTCTGACGAAGTCTATAAATGTATACTGATATTTGCCATTTAATGTGACTTGACAACTGAAAACTTGATGTAAAAAAAAAAAAATGTATTAACTTAAAACATTTAAAGCAGTTTGTACAGGGCTTTCTTATTGTTCGACGATATCGCAGCAAACAAAGTTGATCTGCAGTTGTGCGTTTGCACTCGAGTCTTAAGAATGTGTCACCGTGTTAAAAGCCACAGAAATGCTTACTTGCCTTTTTAAATATACTGTAGAATGTTTCCTGAATTGTACATTACACTGAATTGTATATCTTAAACACTTGAATACAACATTTAAAAGCACAACTGTGTCATGAGTATTTATTATAAGTCACAATAAACTTCTGATACTAGTAACTGTATGTAATATATTATTGTACACCAGAATAATACGACTGAGTAACTTCAGTCATTCATTTAATTTTGACACATCTGGCCCTAAAGCAGACAGTTAAAAGACGCCTACTCCACCGAGTCTGCATTATCGATCAGACTGTTCTTTTGTTGGTGCCTACATTACCAACAATGCAACTTGACAGCAGACAGTCGGTTGGAGATCTGGGTGTGTTATTGCTAGTTTATGAAGGCTTGAGCCATTAGTCCCAAGCAGAGATGAGGAGCGAGCTGCAGCGGTCTGGTACACTCGCTTCTTTCTAAACCCACACATTTCCATTTTCAAACTTGTAGTCTCTAGCTACGGCAGAGGATTAGGGCCACATGTGAAATATTAGTTTAAAGTCAGAATAATTATGAATTAAAACTTTAAACTCAAACTTATATTTTTCCACATGTAGCCCTGATCCTGTTCTGTATCTCGCTCCAACGAACCTTTGTCACATGTGCAGCAGTACTGCCCCGGGGCCTGTAAACAGATTAACAGTGTTAAATGGGAGGAGTTCACCTTTAAGGACTTATAGATGACAACATTTCAGGCGTGTTGTCTGCATTAATTACTGCAGGTCTACAAAGAACTGTAGCAGCTGACATCAAGACAAACATTTAGCACTTGTTTTATATTTGAGTCATTATCAAGAGAAGACAAATCTTACAGTACAGTCTACTGTGAATGAGAAGTGTGTCATTTTCCTAAAACTCAAAGCTTAGCGACTGAAATTCCTACTTTAAGTCTCTCGATCTTCACTCACATTTGTAATAATCTTTAAATAATTTAGGACGTTCAGACACCATATTACAACAGCCTTAAGCCATACAATTAGTTTGCATAGTGGATTAGTCACTTTGGACAAAAAAAAAAAAAAAAAAGTGCATTTCAAACCAAAACTTCACATTCCTTTAGCGTCACCGCTTACAATACCAACATGTGTACAGTACTTATGGTACTGCCCGACACCAGCACTGTGCAGACGTAAAGCTGTGACATAATGAGTAGTGAAACGACAGGCTCACTGCAGAACAAAGCATCACACAGCAGCTTTAAGTCATCCACACATGCATTGTACTTTAATGCATCATATGGTATATTCAACTCCCCGGTCCGCAGTAAAAACAATTTTACTGCTCAAGCAGATTTTCACACTCATTTTGGCTGTCTTTGTTAAAATAAAGAAGACTATTAACAAGGGGACAGTTAATTGGAAGCCTGATAATTCTGGCAAAAGCTCCCTTGAACACTTTGATAAAAAAAGTCAGCAAACAATAGCATACAAAAAGCAAAAACTAAATGTGTACAATTGAAAACACAAGCTCATCTAAAGCCCGCTTTAACTTCTGGACGACAGGGAACACAACAAAAAAAACGTGGTTCAATCTAAACACGGTATAGGAGGAAGAATTACAAAGTCAGGTGCTTCAAATACTCCCATCTCGACCTCGGCAGAGACATATAAAGTGCAGGACACATTCAGATGCAGAGAGTTCCTTTCTGCATACAAACATACATCAAGGATTTCTTTGTGGAGGGCTCAGCCCTCGTTTTCCCCTTCCCTCCATAGCGGCGCCTTTCAGCTCCTTCTCAGGTGTAGATCCCATGATCCTGAACTTTCCCCAACACAACACTGACTTCTGTCTGCACAGAGCACGAACTGCCGGCTGTGATTCGGTTTCAGGTGCTGGGTACTGTAGATGGAAAGCTGGTAAAGCAAATGAACGCTAGTTTTACTGAACCAGAGGAAAAATAAACACACACAGAGCCCATGCAGGCCGAGTAAACGCTTTCATTTCCATCACCTGTGTGCCAAGCTGAAACGTGAGGCTTTGATCATGTGAATGCCTGAAAAATAACTCACAGGAGGAGAAATCAGCTAATAAATAATAAACAAAAACAAAGCAAACGCAGTGCCCTCTTTACACCTTTCATTGCCATGCCTCTCGCTTATCGATATGGATAATTCACAACCACGCTCAACACCAACATTGTCTCGAGGTTGACTTTGTCCCTCTGAAACGCCCCTTTGCTTTATCACGTAATAAAAGCTGAGCTGTTATATTGTCTCGCATGCCTTCACGTCTTCAGCTCATTATTTGTCTGTGCTGAATGCTAATAAGCAACCGGCTTGTTCTGAAAGGCTGACTTATTTCTGTCAAAGGACAATGTGAGCGATTAGTGTCACCGTCTGTTGGAAATAAATAGATTTTACAGTCATTTCATGAGCTGTGTGTGTATTGGGTGAATTTGTGTTTTGTCTGGATAAATTCTGAACGACAAAGATGTTAATGGCAGATGTAAAAGGAGGTAGTTTGATGACTCAGCACTTTAATTGCTCTCCAGACAACACTCGGAATACTTTTTCAGAATACCTCAACCACTCTTGTGCAGTCTTTCAGGAGCTCCTGAAGTTTATAACATGCTCCGACCTGAATTCTGCAAAGTGTTCAAAGAGAAACAATCAACTCTTCAAGCCGCATTTGCACCAAAAGCTACATGTTAGAAGCGTCCCTGCTGTCTGCTGAATTCACTGACTAGCCACCCACACATGTTGCATGATGTAACCTCTCCTCATGACGAGCCTGAGAGACCTGTGGGTTGTGTGCCACCCAATGCATGCGTATCAGTTGTGAGTCGGAGCGCTGCAAGGGGTGAATCTGACCCAAGACTCCTAAATTAACCTTTTTTCCCCCTCCAAGATTGCAATTCATTTTGAGCCCGACAAGTGAAATGCTGAAGAAAACACAAATCTAAGTCACCGCAACTGTATTTGTACAAATTCGGACATTACGCCAGTCAACGCAGACAAACTGCTCTTTGCTTATTAGCATACAGCTAGCTTTTACTAAACCAATGCAAAAAATAATACAAAATATGTGAGGCCGTGTATGTCTTCACCAAATATAAAAAGGTATGACAACGGACGAGTCTGAAACTCTCCGGTGAAGAGATTTCTCTTTCATTCCAGACATGACACCGCATCATCACTTTCTTTTTCCCCCCTCGTGATTGAAATCATATTAATCAACAGATCACTCCTGCTGAATGAACACCGTCGTCCTATTATGCAGTAGTTACTGTATACCGGCACATGATCGGCTACTTTAAAGACACATTGCCTTGATAAATGTCAGGAACAGTTTAGCAGACTCTCTCGTCTATGAAACGGTCTGAACCCAAACTCACCACACAGGATACAAAGCCACTGATCGGTCAGTTGTGCTTCTCACCATTCATTTTAAGCAGCTATTAGATTTGGTACCTAACTGCCCAAAGACTTTATTGGTGTAGTATTCTTTGTGTTGCATCCAAGTCTCTGTTTCAGGAGAAATAGAAAATGAACCAGATTGAAGGATATAAGAACTCCATCTGTAAAAGCAGGGTTGTGGCACAGCACGTCCGTTCAGCTGTCAAGAGACACTGCAGTGACCGACAACACGGAGAAATGTTTCGTCATCAGCAAACATTATTTCCTGCAGTTTAAAAAGCCTGGTCGTGTCTCATTTTAGGCCGTTGTTCAGCCTGGTCCGCTGCGTAAAGAGGGCTTAAAACTCAGGTTGTTCCTAAATGGGAAGGTGATGGAGATGGAGGGAAAAGCCGGACGGGCCGATCCTACGGTCACTAGGTGGTCTCCATCATGAGTATATCGTCCGTTTCTGTAGCTTCATCCTTTGTCCACCTCCCTGTGCTTGTCCACAGTCCAGCCTCTAAACAAAGCTTCATAGGATACTCTGCCACCTAGTGGGGGGAGAGGAAGACAGGAGGGTCCAAAGACGATCAAAAACAAACAGTCATAGGAGAGGAATGGCGTGCACAAATATAGGTTTGAAATGAAGCTGCAGAGAGACTCTGGGGGATTAACCTACTGTTGCCTAGTTAGAGGATTATGATGGTTATGTAACTGCACTCTGCCTCTTCAACATGTAATGCCCTAATCTGAGCTGGAACTAGAATCTGATCAGGAATTCACGTGTTTTCCATTGCAGGGATTCTTTACTATGACTAAAACAAACCTGGGAGGACTCAAACATCTACGTTTCTTTGTAAAGAAAAGATTTTCATGCGTGTATTCTCCTCTACATCACCCCTCAGAGACTGAGTTTAAACTGAGACGAAAGCTACGAGAAGAAAAAACGACAAAAGCATATAAAAGCAGGACCGAGAGAGCCAAGCTTCGCTTTCAACAGGCCGGATCACATTCCCGGGCAGCCATCTTTCCTTTGTGGGAGAAGGGGAGGATGTTTTTTTCCCCCTTTTTCTCTGAGTAGATGTTTGGCAGCTAGTCAAGATTTAGGGCCAACAAGGTGGGAGGAGGCCTCATTCTCTCTCGACGACAAAAGGCTTTCAAACTGCAAAGATCAAGTTTAGCAGAAGAGCATGTGGAGTCTTTCACTTCTGTTAATACAGACAGTTTAAAAAAGGTCCAGAGAGTGAACATTTGCCCACATTGTGTCACATACAACTCCTCTTTCCCTTTAAAATGGTGGAGCATGTAAAAGCTCCACTGAATGATGCAGAATAATGATCAGTGGGGATTTTCTGTGATACCCGAGTGTCTGACACTATGATTAGTGGGAGGAGACAACGACTGATTGTAGAGGTGAGGACATTATCTATTGTTTGGATTTGGAAGAGTACAGGCAAATATGCATACATAAGGAACAGTAAATTCATCTTTTTGACCATGTAATAAATGAGGGAAGACAACAAAAAGGCTGTTTGGTGAGACTGATAACACCAGCAGCATGGACTCAAGGTCCTGGTATGCAGGTATAATCAACTTTTGGCAGCTGCTGTGTATTTACTTTATGTGAAACAAATGATTTGCATGCTTTGTGACAAATAAAACACGAGTGCTGACACTTTAAAATGCAGCACGCAACTAAAGATGACCCGTACGTGTACTAACATACCACAGCTCAATGGTGCCACCGACAGCTGTGTGGAGTAACTGCAACCGCCTGTGAAAATGGAGAGAAGGAGCACTTACTGGAGGTAAAGAGTCCAAGGCTTCTTTGGGGTCCAGCTTGCAATTTGTGCCAGTTTTCTGTTGTTCGACATTGTTTGTTGCATCGTCTACAGACTTGTCTGTGTATTCTTTCACTCGGTGTTTGAAGGCCTCAAGCTCGGTGTGGAAGACTTCTAAGTAGACGTCTTGTCCTTCCTACAAAGCAACCAAGGGAACGATTTGAAGGAAAACTGCCTCTGCATACATCAGAATGAGCGCCACAGATAGATACACAGGGTGGTGCAGTACAGTCACAGTACCAATTAGATGCTTTTGTCCTACTTTGGCTTTGTGGAAGAACTGTCTGAAGCAGCCTCGAGGATCCTGCTGAGAGTTCGAGGCCATCTCCAGGATGAACTGCATGACTACAGCTTGGTGCGCCACCTGCTCCATCAGCGCTTGTTTCTACAGGACAATACACAATTTTAAAGTCATGTTTCAAACCACTTGTTCTATGCAATTAATTAATTCTAACACCCAGCATCTATGCAGTATGTGCCGTTGTATATGGTGACTTTTCAGCTCCTTTATCAGTGTGTTATTTGTGGCAAAGTTTCAGAAGCAACCTACTCAAAATGTCAGATTTCTATAGAGAGGTTAGCACTGACAGCACAATGGTAACTTCATATTGTGTGAATACAGCCTGATTATTTCGGTAACGTACCCCTTCTTGCTGTAGTCTCATGCACCACAGAATTAAGTAGTTGGCGGTTTCATCACATATGAGCTGAGGCATGTCTGCGAGGAACCGCTGACTGTCGTCCCATCTCCGCAACATACCTGATAAATGGATCAAAAGCACATCGGTTCATGTTTTCTGAAGACATACGGACCTGTGACACGGACTCTTCTGCACGACTCACATGCAGCACAAACAAAATCCTGCTAAATGATTATATTTTATTTACCGACAAACATACTAGACCTAAACTTTCTTTACCATTAGTCTGAGGGCTGGACCATTCTGATAAGAAACGTACCAAAATGCCTGAGCTCTTGGTCATACTTTTGGAGAAACGTCTTGCACTTGTCCTGATCCATTTCTACAGGTTGATTTGGGACATTGATGATACTCTGGAAGAGAGAGAAGACATTGATTAACTGTTGATAAAGTTATTGAATTGTTAGTAAACAGTAGGTACACAAAGTCAAGTAATAAGAAAATATTAAGACTACACCGTAATATATTTGCTCTTTCGAAATCTTTCAATCGTGACTTATGTACGGATTCCAGTAATGATTTAGTTTTCATTTTTCCTGTCAGCTTTATGATGCATAAACAGCTCACCGCTTGCTTACCTTATCAAAAACGTCCCAACTTCTGACAGCTCCGAGCACAGGACTGCAGCGGCTGGGTTCCTGACATCCCAGCATGCTCTCCTTGCGGCGCCACTCCTCCTCAGTGTGCGTGAGCTCGGTGGGGCACGCCAGAGTCCGAGCACGTTCCTGCTCCAGGGACTCGGAGCTGTGGACGCCCAGAGAGCCCAGCTGATCCTGGGCCTCTGCCAGTCTCCAGCTGGAGACGATGGAAGCCTTCACACAGCGGTGCTGGCTCTGGCAAAGCGACGCCATGGCGCAATCGCAAAGGTGCGATGGCGGTGACTGGTGTGAGGTAAAAGGAAGAAGAATGGAGAAGAACATTAGGATAATGAGAGAAAGGTAATATACCGTCAGGGACTCTAGTCAACTCAACGGTTCGTAACATAAACAATGTGTCTTGTACAAATTAGAGCAGGTATCTATTCGTCTGTGGTCTGCTTACTACACCTCACAAATTAGCTAAACTAAGATTTTCTCATGTCCCAGATGGTAAAAGCAATTCGGTGTTTCAATCTAGACTGATGGAAAGTAAGCATTGACCCGTCTGAGGACGCTCTCCTCTGCAAAGGAGACAGAGGGTCTAAGCTTTAAAAATAGAATAAAGTGTGCACATCTACAAGAAAAGTAATTGAAAAAAAAAAAAAAACACTTTTACAGGTTCAGCATGTGCAAGAATCCTGTGATGGTGAACTTTATATTCAACAAGCAATAGCACCCAAGGGGAAGCTACTTTAACAACATCCTGCAAAGGCCTTAACTTGGTGTTTTAATCTCCATCCTCCTTTTTCCTGAATACATATTGTTCCATAGAAAGAGTTGCTCAGCTACAAACTGGGTGCTCATTCTTAATCACACACACACACACACACACATACAAACAATGTAAGCCATTTGACTTTTAACCACAACCATGCTGTATTTAGTACAGGGTGGGGCGAGAGGGCTAAAAATAAAAAGGCTTGTATCCATTTTATTCATGGCTACCAAAACAGCCAAATGCCTTATCTAGTCAACGACAGACACCACACACAGCTGCCAGTTAGTGCCCGAGTATATCAAGGACCTGAGGGGGGGGAGATAGTGAAAGTGAGCTGCTGCTTGATGTCTTGTTGTGGCCTCGAACCGGCTCACCAGAGATGACACAGCAAGTGATCCGTTCTCTTTATAATCACGCATTTATAGCGTGATTGCGCAAGTCTGGGTTCCCACGAGGTCAGAATTCACTCCAACATAAAGCCTGGACACTGGTGTTGTGCACCATGGGAGTTATTGGCTACGTGTGACAATTTAGCTAGCTAGCTGATAAGACAGTGGCCCATACGTTGCTTACTGCCAAGCAATCGAGGTTGGCATGAACTCACTTCACTGATCCCCAAACAGGTTTAGCTAGTTAGCATGCTTTTAATACCGTTAAGTTACCTCTGCTATGCCAAGTAGCATAACAACCGCACCGCTAGCATGAGCCGATTACCTGCTGGTGAGGATGAACACCACTGAGTCCCTTGTCTGCTGAAGCTGGGTCGCGGCTCGAGTCTTCATCGCGGTAGACTGGAGCTCCGTTACCCAGCCACTCCATCGCTGCTACACAAACTAGCTAACTGGCTAGCTCCACTGTGGGCTTCAGCTAGCTAATGCTAGCTGTGCTGGAGGAAGCTCAATGCTGCTGCCTGAGGTCAGCTGTCTGCCAAAGTTATGTACGATTTAAAATACCAGTCTGAAAAGTCAGCAGAGCAGAGCCGAGCCTGCTGGGGAATGTGGTGCACCGAGTTTAGGTTCTGTTAGTAGCATTGCTAGCTACACAAACAGCAGTCCCTGGCTGCTCCAAGGTAACCAGCTGCGTCTTTTAAGAGGCGTCCGTGTGTGACACGCAGAGCACGTGGTAAACAACTTTGACCACGTGACATGAACTCATTTATTTCAGCATTAAACCTGTTCATTGCTGTTTTGCTGTTGTTGTTGTTGTTTTTTACCTCGACTCTTAAATTACTTGTACTTCTGTGATATATCTGTGATTTGTGTTTTTACACAGCACTACCCTTTCCCAAATCCCCAATAAGTCTATTTGGATTTATCTTATTTGAGTTTTAATAGCGTTTCATAGGAGGTCTAACATCACTGTGTAGGTTAACAATTGTATATTTCTGGTCATTATTTGTCCATGCAAAGTCCTAAAAACATCATGAATCATGTCCTCGCCATATATAAAGGTCCTCACTGGCCCATGGCCCACCGGTGCGCCTCAGACCGCCATCTAGAGGGGCGCGGAGGTACTGCCAAATGGTTAGATTGATGGAATTAAAACGTCTTTGGATATATGACCCTGGTTACATTATATTTGACACATAATGGCAGGCTGTGATGGTTGAGGGTACTCAGAATATTTATTATATATGTATCATTACAGCTGAGCTGACAGAGACTTGTAACAAAAAACTATAAAAATAAACAAATGAAAAAACAAAAATAAAGACAACCCACACTGTCAGAATGTGCAAGTAGATAGCAGCTATTTATTAAGAGTTGAATCACTGTACATGCTAAAAACATTTCATACATTACACTGTCATCCATCAACAAAAACCAACATGCTCACCGCCTGAGGTACACGTTCACATTTTTGTGTTATGTGGTCATGTCTACAGTATGTTTCATTATTGAAGTATGTCCGTCACGACCGCTGATGGCCATCATTCACACCAGTGATGTCACACCTACAGTAAAACAGAAAGAGGTCAACATGATACACACTAAAATCATGTCAAAATCATTGTTGTTTAAACGTATGTGTAAGGAGTTGCTGTAGCTCCCTATGAGAAGTCACTAAATAAAAAATCTCAACTGTGAAAGTGTAAAAACTGTAAACGTTCCTGATCATGTGATATGCCAGGATAACCAAATGTAGTTACATGAAGCGTAGATGAAGAATTACATACACATTTAAAAAAGCTGCCTTAAGTTAAGATAATTCTTGAAAGGTGCACGTGGCTTGCTTTATTATGTGGCTCTCGCCATCATTCACGACGGACTCACCGCGGGAGAACTTGCACTGTTTGAGCGCCTCATTGAAGCCCTCACATAGACTCAGGTCTGACTGGTTGGTGGCACAGTCGAGGAACTGTTTGACCTCAAAGTGACATGGGCCTGGCTGGGCTGGAGCAGGCCGGGGGGGCTCCTGGAATTGTACAAGCAAGGAAAGAAACACATCACACATTGTGTCAGAACAGCAGAGCTGCTAGAAAGTCAGAAATGGGCTCAGTGGTTGAGTGGTCATGTGCTTCGCTCTGTGGTCCGATATTCAAATATCAGTAACTTGGTAAATCATGTGTTTGTCCCCAGTATCTCAAAAATAAACAGTTTAACCTGCAAGGCCCTGACACACCTGGAGAAGCAGGGAAGGATTTTGAGAGTCATGTCCTTTGGCTTCTGCACTGCTTTCAACAACGACCTGCCTTTTTAGAGAAACGCTACTGGCAATGCAACTGCACCCTGACACTGCAACATGGATCATGCACCAGGTCAAATCCTGTCCAAAACACAAGCAGCGGTACAACAACTCTCCCCTAATAAAAAACGGTCAAAAATCATGATTTAAATTGGCAACCATTTAAGAATAAGTTTGTGAATCGGACATTTATGCTGACATTTCATGCTGACTTTGAAACTGTTTGGTACCTGTTCTTGTACCTTCTTGCCCAATTTATTGTCTCTCCATATAATAAAATCCTAACAAAATTCTCCTATCCATCTGGCCACGTTTTCCCTCAGAATTTGATTAGTTTTTTTTTTCCCTTGTGAGATAATTTAATTTTAAATAAAATAACACAGGAGTAGGGCCATAAGCAGCAACACTCCTCATGACTTTTACTTTACCAAATTGCTTCCTCATCCCGCAGTGCAGTTTTTTTTTGTTTATTTGAGTTCAAATATTTTTAAATCCTTGGTCCAGGTGGAGAAAAGTCTGCCTTTGAACAGCTGCAGACAGTTGAGGGAAAAAACACCAAGACAAGTCAGACTCAAAACACACCCAGACAAAAGTTCAAGACCTCCCAATAAGGAAGGACCCACTCGACGTGCTAAAGTCCAGCTATAGGTTCAGTTATCCATCCATCCCAATCCTGTATGATTATACTCTTACCTGGTAAGTGGGCTTGGCTGGCTCTGCGCTGCTGCTTCCACCACTTGGTCCTGTCAGGGCGCTGACAAGGACGTGGCCCACAGCTGAGCCTACTGCCACCCCAGCAGCTGTGGTAGCCATCTGGGCCATGAGGCCCGGACCCTGGGACTGAGCTGGAGCCGGGGCCAGCGCAGCGGGAGGTGGATGAGCGGGGGCCGGAGCATGGGATACAGCTGGGCTACAAACGTAGCAAACAAACAGTCAATTTATTTTGCATCAGGCAACATTCCTTATTCTGTGGCATGCCACCACCGTTTCTGTCCATTCAGCAGTATCAGGATCAATGCTGATGATTGTTAGTTGGTAAATGTGCATGGCAAGAGATGATGATAATCTACATTTTTTGTATTTTGATGCTTTGGCAACATTGTTTCTGAAACTTTCATGCCATTAAAGCCACATTGAATTGACTTATGCTTAATTTTGTCATCAGCTATCGAGTGTAAATCAAGCAGGTATGATGACCTTCAAACAAAACCTTCCGATTGTCAACTCATTTACACGTATTTGTTATAATTATTTCATTTACTGATATCAGTGTTGCTCTCTAACATTAGTTACCAAACCAAACTAACTTCACTATTCTTCTGTGTTGGGGGAGTTGCAAGTTACATTTCTGTTACACTCAACACCCAAACCAAGAAAAACTTGTCTCTGCATCGAAGTCCCGCAACTCTGAGTATGTTCAGTTAACTGCTGTCAAAAGGCCAAACCGAAATACATCAGCAATAAACTGTCTGCATTTTCGTCATTATGTCATCTACAACTGAGTTGACATTGTCTCAGTAAGTTGTGACGCAACAACTATCACACTTTTGTCGTCCAGTGTATAATAATATAATATGACTTATTATTAGCCTGACTTCAAACTTTAGGCGACACTGTTAATAGTGTATCTGTTTTAAGTCTGAATTAGCGCTATTTCCTGCGCTTTAAACTGAACGAGGTCATCTGTAATATATCTCAACACCACAGAATAAGTCCCTTCTAAAATGACTGTAAATGTACCTGGCTGGAGCTGAGTGGTGGCTGCGGCTTCCTCTGGCCATCTCTGAGGCAACTTAAGGTCTGAGTTATTGATGATCGGGACTAAAGAACGGGATCGGCTCTGTCGTTGCTTCTACAACGTGCTCTCCTAACGGACTGCAAGTCGCGGCCAGCTGACAGCAGCAGTTCACGCACGGGCCGCTGACCTTGTGCGGCTTGCACAAGGGTTTGACGCTACCGGCTGCGTCCACAAGTGTCGCAAGACTTAAACACGCCAATCCAAAAATACCTTTGCTTCCGCTGTGGGTTGAGCATTGCAACTGTCGTAGGCACACCTCCATCTGTCGGACCGGAGTGCACGCGCGTCACCACCGCAGCCAAACAATGTGGTGCAGCTGCACCTCCATAGCACCTCACCCTCTGTGGCCTCGGTAAGGGCAGGGGGGGGGTCCACCCATTTTGAATGCAATCTGGCATCTTATTGTCTTCATCGGAAATGTATTTATAATATAATATAATTCATAATTTCCTTATTTCCTTATTTAGAAAACAAGTTATTCAATGCATTAAAGATAACAATAGGGGAATGTAACTGAGCACATTTACTCAAGTACTGTACTTAAGTAGGCTACAATTTTGAAGTACTTGTACTTGAGTATTTCAGAATCAGAATCAGCTTTATTGACCATGTATGCGTACGCATACATGGAATTTGGCTCCGGTTTCCACTCCGCTCTCAATGTACAAACACAAATTTACAATAAACAAGAAAATATATGTATAAAGAATAAAAAAGGGCAGCAAAAAAGTAGAACAGATGTAGGTATAAACATTTAACATATACAATATAACTATAAATATATATCCCAAAAAGTGTATATATATATATGTATATACACACATGTGAACATAAACCTATAAACAATAATGGCAATGGAATTGAGATGACAGTGCAAGTGGTGGTAATAGTGCAGACAGAGGTAGTAGTGCAGTATGACTTATTAATTGTTCATCAGAGTGACGGCCAGTGGAAAGAAGCTGTGTCCGGTGGTTTTGGCGTAGCGCCGACCAGAGTTGGAACAGCTTGTGTCCAGGGTGTGAGGGGTCTGCAGTGATCTTTCCAGCCAGTTTCCTGACTCTGCAGGTGTACAAGTCCAGGATGGAGGGCAAGCTGGAACCAATGATCCTCTCTGCAGACCTGACAATCCGTTGTAGTCTGTTTCTGTCCTGTTTGGTGGTCGATCCAAACCACACAGTGATGATAGCTGAGTAAAACAGGATCAGCAGCTCCTGAGCTGGCACAGGAAGTACAACCTCTGCTGGGCCTTTTTCCCGATGGTGTTGATGTTGGGGGCCCACTTCAGGTCCCAGGAGATTGTGGATCCCAGAAACTTGAAGGTCTCCACAGCGGACACAGTGTAGTTGAGTATGGTGAGGGGGGGGGGCAGTGTTGGGGTCTCCTCCTGAAGTCCACTGTCATCTCCACTGCATCCCAGAGGCATACATTGTACTAACTCCATTACATTTATCTGACAACTTTAGTCACTTTACAGATTCAGACTATTCATAGGAAAATATAAATAAACTAAGACATTAGCTCCATCTTTACTGCAACATTAAAGTGATGAACATGTTAATACATCAATAATTATAATCCAGCAATATTTATTATTTTGCATAATGAGTACTTTTACTTCTGGTACTTTAAGTAAATGTTGATTCGAATACTTGTGTACTTTTACATGAGTAATACTTTGAATTCATATTTTACACTGTAGTAAAACTGGAAATTTTGCCAGGAGGGGGCGATATTGCTCCAGTTACAGATGATACTTGTAGTTCACACAATCTCAATCAAATAGGCCTGCAACACACACAGTCATAAAGTAAGGGAAACAAACAGTACAACAGCACCATCCTCATTCCTGTGCCATTAGCTCTTCTACTTCCAATTTAACTCTCTCCTCGCTGCTTATGTTTTTTTATTTTTTATTTTTTTTTACAGAAAATGAGTCATTCAGTGCAACAAAAAACAACAACCAAATAACAGATATGCTCTCGCTCTCTCTCTCTCTCTCTCTCTCTCTCTCTCTCTCGAAGGAGCCGGTCTTCCTGCTCTGAGTTCCCAGAGTTCCCGGCTGCTGGCAGCAGAATGCTGGGAATATCCGGAGAGGAAAGGGAAGTGACATCACAGCGGTGACCTTCCGTACCAGGCCATATCACCTGGCACTGGCTGGAGGAGAGCTACCAAACACACACACACGCACACACACACGCACACACACACGCACACACACACACACACACACAGCAATAGCCAGAAATACATACTTCTCTCTTTCTCAGCACACACACACATTCACTGAGAAACCGTATTGACACACTTCAGTTTGTTCTTCAGGAGAAGAGAAAGAGCGAGAGAGGAAAAATTCCCATGAAGAGAGAGGGGAAGCGACAAGTGCAGACTTTGCATAGAACTGAGCTCACCACATGTTTTGAAAGTCCCACCACGCTCCAGATGGTTCCTCACATCAGCTCTGTCTGTCTTTCTACTTATTTGCCAGCTTCTACTGGATGACCATCTAAATTGGTCAGTGCTACTTAAGTTATATTCAGCCAGCCCCACAGTGTGTGGTGCTGTGCACACCTGCTCACTCAAAGTGTTTAAATAAGATACAGAAAGACAACTTCTTATGAACTTGAATTAGTTTATTACTTCAACAGCACTTTAACTGTTACATCTGATCACGGTCCAAACAGATAGCTTATGAAATAAATGAACGAGTGGGTATTTTTCTTTCTGGACTAATGTTTTGGACCAAGTACATTTAGTTGTCAAGGCACAGTTTGTCACATTTCAGGGTTGCAAGCAGTTCCACCAAAAGTGACTTTCCCCCCTAAACTTCTTCATTTAAATAAACGTTTGAGGTAAAGTCATCCCTCATTTCACAATAAAAGCAAAGACCATATAAAAATGAATACACGTTTTTGTGGCAGAAGTTCTTTCTTCTTGTCTGACCCTTTAATCCTCCCACAATCTTGTTTACAGGAACATTCACGGTGCAGGCTGTCCAACCCTACAAGCAGATGGAGGAACCAGACATGCTGAACAAAGTGAAACACACAGGTTGCACACAGATGGGAGCTTGGCGTTAGTTAACATAACATGGACTGCAGTGGAGATATTTACTGAGTTTAGAGAGTGTCTCAGAGGTTACATTCTTCGGGAGCAAAGGCTGGAAAACACAAAAATACAAACCCACGTACTTGCACACAAACAGACATACAGAGATAGTCACATGCACACAGCAAATACTTTATAGAAAAAGAGCAGGATGGACAGAAGGAGACATGGAAGCCTTCAGGGGAGGTGTGGTCAAAAGAAGAGAGGGGAAAGAGGGGGGGGGGGGGGGACAAAAAAGAGGCCAAGAAAGAAAGAGAGAAAGAAAGAACATGCAGAAGCCAAATCAGGCAGAGCGGGAGGAGGGATGAGTAGTGATGGGGTGAAGAGGGAGGGAGCAAGGGAGGGAAAGGGAGAGACAGAGTGTGTGTGGTGGAGACGTCATTATACAGGGAGACAAAAGAAGAAGGGATTCTCTGGTCAGCTGCTGCTGCTGCTGCCACTGTCTATTGTCCTGTGGACGGAGGACCCCCCTCAACACACACACACACACACACACACATTTTACTCTCTCTCTCTCTGTCTCTCATCTTGTGTTGGACATCACTTTCTTTCCTTCTTCAAGTTCAACTCTGATTACACGGCTGACCAACTGGCAGCCCCCCCGACATTTAAAGATCCCGCTGACCCCCTCCCCTGAACCCCAGCTGTGTCATCTGAGTGTTTTTCAGTAAGTCTGAGATTCAACAGATGTTTGCTCCCAAAATACAGAATCCAGAAACATTTGCAAAGAAGTTCAGGCGTGGAAAAAGAAAGCAAGAAAAGAATACATGCTTTTATCCCTCAAGCAGAAGTAAGACTGCTCGGGTTGAAAACGAATCAAGTAAAAATATTTGTTGTAAAGACTGTAGCCTTTTCAAAGTGGATATATTCTACCATCTATTTGCCTGACAATGCTGCTCTGTTGACCAACTCCTCTCTCGTAAATAACTTTATGATGGACGAAAGATTCATATGTAATTTAAATGGCATATGCTCCTTATTTTGTAACAGCAGCATAGTGGTAGCACAAATAATAAGGGATACTTAATAAAGGGGTTTTAAGTTGCAACTTATTGCCGTATTAACCTTTGGATGCACCGGTCTGTCATGGGTGGGTCATAAATTACCCCTAGCCTATAGGCCTAACTGTGTTAAATATAAATGCTAGCTTCATCATTCAGCTAATAATCACAATTCGAATGGAATACCAGCACTAAGCTAGCACCGCTACGTAGCTCATGCATATGCTTTATCCATCTACAATGTTGGCAAGATGATGTTTACTAGCACCAGATAGTCTTTTCACATAATTGTAAGTTAGGTGAATCAACGAGCGAAATCTAAGTGCAAGTGTTATGTAGAACTGCAAATAAAGACTGCAAATCAGTCATAAACAACAAATATTGTTCACACTTACATGTGTCAAAAGTAAAATTCTCTTGCCATGTAAGATAATGTAGGTGAGGACTCATGAATAGTAAAAGAGGTACAAAGAAATTTGGCATGAACCTTTAATAACTCACTTACATAACTGCATACATGATGCCTTGATAGAAAGTAATTTACAAAAAGTCATTTTAGGCAAAAAAAAAAGGCATATTAGGCGTATTATGTCATTAAAGCAACATTATCCAGTGATTAATTGTCAAGAAATAAAGCTGTAATTTACAACTTATATTGTATGTCTTACTCATAAGTAGTAGTCATCCAAACTCTACTTTAGCGAATGCAGAGTTTCTGATTTAAGACCGTTTTTTGTTTTTTCAAAAGTAGAAGTGCATGAAAAAGCTGCTCAATTAAACAAACAAGAGTGCTTGTAATTAGTTGTTTTCCACCCACGGAGAAGTTTTATTGTTATAAAGAGGGATGTTTTATAAGAAGAGGCAATAAATTCAGCCAACTAATAGAAGCGGCTATGAATGAAGCTCCTTTCTTCCCTTTGTGTGTGAGGCGTGTATGTATGCGCCTCACGTAGCCGCCAAAGGTGCTGAGCTCTGCATTATCATCTATCTACCTCCCTGGTGTCTCAGGCGCTGTGCACTGCTGCTCATGTTGAGTACGAATATTAAAGTGTGTTTGTGTTCATGTGCAGTCAGTGTGAGTTCCCAAATGTTTACAAGTCATTTTTTTGTGTGCGTCTTCATTTCTGCTTTCAAATCAATCAGGAGCAAATGACCCTTGACCAACTGACCTCAAGAATATTCAATCGTCCACTGTCTCTGCACAGTGTGTGACACTCTGGTCCATTCTGCTTTGATTGACCTCTCTTTGACACACACACACACACACACACACACACACACACACACACACGCACACACTCACAGACAGACACAATAGGAGACCCGGCGCATTCCTTTCCCCCAGGTGGCATAAAAGACACGGCCAGATCAATGGCCTAATGGGCTGCAAACCAATGGCCGACGATCATTAACCCCCGACGAGTGTGAGTTCCTCATATCCCTAGCCAGACTATTGTGT